CTGCCGTCACCACTTAAGTTAAAAAATATAAGAGTAAAAAAATATCCTCCATGGTGTCAGACTGTCGGTGGCATTTCTTTGCGACAAACCCATTCAGAGCCATCTGAACGATCTTTTCGTTCAAACATATGCATTTTCTTTGTACAAACAGGACACTTATACTGACTTCTAAGTAAACCTTCATTTACACACCAGTCAATGCTTTTTTTCCCTTTCGTTCCAAATCATACAGAAACTTAAGATTAATCTCATCACATACAGCCACTTTATGGCGTACAGCACAATATGTGCAATGTACTTCCTAATTGGCATCCAAACAAGCCCTTACAAATATTTTCCCATCAGTCAAATTCACCACAATCAATGCAACCAATCAAGTCATAATAAGGTTTTCATAACATTCAACTTCTCAGGTTACCATAAATGAAACAACAACTTAGCAGGAATCCAAGAGACACCCTAAAATGTAGATTAACCAAATTTCATTACTGTATGTGTGTGGTTACATTGTATAAATTGCGTACATGCACCACATATATGTATCAATACAATTTGCATAAAATATGCAGCCACGTACATAGCAGTGCTATTATATTCATACATATATATGTCATAATTAGCAAGGAAAAGCCGAAACACTGTTGATGTGTACTTAGATCCATATTGAAGAATTCTGATTGCATAGTATGCTAATATGTTGATTTCATAATATCTAAAAAACTTGGCAGTTGAGGCGGTTTTAGCGTATTGTAATATTTTCTCATTAAAAAAATATATATATATATTTATTGACCTTGATATTGAAGTGGCAATGCCATTTTTTGTATTGTGTAACCATTGCTGAGCAACATCAGAAAATGTTTGAAAACGTTATTCTGAAAGCTTGCCGTTTTGTAGACGTGTGAAAATTTTTATCCGGAAAGAAATGTAATAGTAAGCTGGAGTGTGATGCTGTAATGAATAGAATTGTATTTCAAAATGATCTGTCTTCGTGAACTGGAAATAAAATATGTGTTTTACTAAGAAACTCATCTGCTGTTTTGTTAAATACTGCAGAAAAACCTTACAATGTTTATATACATAAAGAAAAAGCTTTTTAAAAAATTTTAAACCTCTTCAAGGAAGGAAAACAATATAAATATGTATTTTTTATTTGTTTGTACATATATAACTTGTATATTTTTGCTCATTTGTATACATATATATGTAGTATAAGTGTACTTCTTGGGGTAGATTATCATCTGCATTAAAAAAAAGAATTTAAATTGCTATGAAGAGGGTTTTTTTTTTAAGTAGCAAATGGATTCTGAAGCCTTCTTATTATTTCCCCCCTTTTTTTTCTTTTTTTTGCATTCACAAACGAAATGCAAACACAGATAACAAAATTTTAAAATTGGAATTTTTTTGAGTTTTAATGTGTTCAGCATTAAAAATTAAGTTTTGCAATTTGGCACCTGTTGTTCTTATTTAAGAAGGAAAATAAAGTATTCTGTATGTTGTTTAGTGAAGATTTTCTAGGTTTTAATATGAAAAGTGTTTTGCTACTTTCTGATTATCTGCACCTACTGAAAAATGTTCACAAGGCAGCATGGTGTGTCATCAAAATTGGTAACATGTGACATTGCTTAAATGTATTTTTATGGGAACCCATATATGTGTGTGCAGTAAAGCAGAGCTGGTCATTAGTGTTAGCAACAACATTCATAAGCACAACTGCAGAATTTGAGGCCAGATAATCTCCATTCACTACATGTATTGGAATGAAGCAGCACAAAAATCAATGTCTGGTGTGCTTTATCACGTGATACAGTCATAGGACCATTTTTATTTGCAGAGACATCCGTGATGGCAAACATTTACCTGGACATGTTACAAATTTATGCAATACCCCAAATGCAGCATTTAAAACCCACTGTTATCTTCCAGCAAGATGGGGCCCCTCCTCACTGGGGCAAGCACATTCGTGCATTTTTGATACAAATTTCCCTAACCAATGCATAGGACACAGTGACCCAATTGCTTGGCTACTAAGGTCTCCCGACATGACTCCTCTCGATTTCTTCTTTTGGGGCTACGTGAAAGTCAAAGTCTACTCAGGGAACATCCATGATATTGAAGACCTTCGTGCCTCTAAAACCACGGCTATTGCTGCTGTGACTAAGAAAATCCTACACTGGATATGGCTGGAACTGGACTGCCAGCTGGACCTTCTCAGGGCTACTAAGGGAGCCCATGTGGAATTGTACTGATTGTTTAATAAAAACTTTCTGAGTATTGGTATCTAATTTTACAGTTTTCTTATGCTTTTGAACTCTCCCTTAAGTAGAGTGATCTGTCCAAATTTGATTCAGACCCACTGTACATGCATGTATATTTTAATGCATTCATAGTGGTTGAAAGTGAAGGTTTGATGAAGCAGCTAACAAAACTGAATTGAACAATCACCATCTTTATTTTTACACATCTCAAATCATCTCTTTGGCAGACAAATTACTTTTCAATCATCATTGAATACAAAAACTTTTTATGTACACTGGTTTAAGAGGTATAACGTAGGCATCTTAGGCTAAGAAGCAAAGTAAAATGTAACAAAATTACAGTTGCATTTATTTATTGCTTGCGGTTTCCACCACAGTTACAGTTTTTGATATAACATTCATGCATAATGTGTCTGCAGTTTTTTATCGGTGTAGTTTCAAAACGGTATTGTTACCACATAAATTCTGTTTGGCAAGGGGATACAGAGCTATAGGTAATATTTTTTCAAGAAAAATACATTTTATCTTGTAGTAGAATATGTGAAACTGACTATGAAATGAATACACTCACCCACAGATATATATATTGTATATTCTGGCATATAATGTGCACTTTTGATAAAAAAAATTAGGACTGAAATTTACAGGTGTGCATTATATAACCGGATATAAAAATCATAGCTTAAAAATAAGGGAAAAAAAAATTAAATTTTTACATACATCAAAATGCTACTGATTTAAAAGAAATGACATACCTTATGGAATTTTCATTTCATTATCGGACACCTTGAAGTTCGTCTTCCATTATACCTTCAGGCGAATCATTGAATTTTGTTTCATCTTCATCGTGGTTGTCATTTTGATCCATAAATAAATAATCATTATCCGTTTCATCTTTCACCAGCATCAAACATCCTTGCTGCAGCACAATTTCCATTTTCTTTTGCAAAATGAATGGTTTTGCATTTGAAACCAGCACTGTGCTTGTTTCTTTTTGTGAGAGCTATATTTAATACTAAAAGAAACATTAGTTCAACTGTATGTCAACTAAAGCAAATGCGATTTACTAAAGCCTTTGATTTTCACTTCAGGATCTCAACTTCAAATGACTGCAGAAAAAGAAAACATCTAACTCCTAATTCCATGAATTCATTCAGGTTGGAAGTGCTCTAAATAGCATTCTTATGGACAACCGCATTGAATACAATCCACCCTTTTTGCCAGAATATTTATGCCCTCAAACATTTAACCCACACACATATTATTCCCCTTATCGCTTGTAAATGCAGTTTACCACTGTTCAAAAAGTTAGGATAAATGTTCAAACAAATGACCTCAAAAGATAAGAGCACATGTATCTTTTAGGCTTCTCCATGAAGAATAAAGTGTGCATTATACGGCAAATATATCTAAAAATTAAAAAGTATAGTTTGAAATTATAGATGCGTGTTATGCACTTGAAAATACAGTATATATTTATGAAAGCATTTGAAGAAATGTTAAAATTCCGTAGAAGAAAAATACATTTCTAAAAGCATTCATGACATTTTCTTAAAAGCATTGTAGTTTATTTGCTTTGGGAGAACTTCTATCCATTAAATGGTTAAGAATCACATAATTACAGAAAAAAAAGTTGCGTTTTCTAAAACACTTTTTAATAGATTTGTATTGAAACATACATCACAGATAATAGAAATTGAGTCTGATCATCACAGGCTGCATTTCAACATTAAAAATAATCCTAACAGTATCTACGATTATAATACTGTTTAATGTTCTATCAATTATGAAATTGCTCAAATTCTTCAAGTTCAACTTTAATTCATTTTCTCATTTAGCAGTAAAATATGTTGTTCAGGTTTTAAAGATTCCATCTTTAATTTTAGTTCTTGGGGAATTTTAGCCTATTATGTCGATGCCATTTTAAATACATTGGCTAAATTGAAATCATGCTGAAATGTCTTGTCTGAGAACATGATACGTGTGTTTTAAAAGGGAAAATAAATTTTTGATAGGTAGTCATAATTGGATGTTTAATCATAATTTTGACTATCGATCCATAAAAATGATCCATAGAGCTACTTCAGTTAGTAAACTGGATTTCTCTGAATCCTTTCACATTAACAAAAATGTTTCTTTTTTTTAGTTAACAACATTAATTTTTTCATAATTCATATATGTTAGCTTATTCGCAAAAATGAATTACCTGTCCATAAACCTCCATGTCCCTGGAAACAGCTTTTTGTGAGAAAAATATGAAAAATTTTACTAAAACATTGTAGCAAGGTTTTTGTCTACATATATGCATTGTCAGTTAAACTTGCTGTCTGCTAAATGTTCATTTTGGCTAAATGTCCTGTCATGTGCTACATGCACCTGTGCATGTGGCTAAATGTCCTGTCTGCTAAGTGTCATGGACACAGTTATATTGCCTGCTTTAGGGTTGGTTTCCAGCTAGTACTATGGCAGCTCATCGTGGAGGTAGCAATTATCTTTCATAAATGCTTGTATAAAACTCGAATGCCAATCGTTTTTATTGCTGAAGAAATTCTCTTGATTTCTTTTAAAAAGTCTGATTTTTGAGTGTGATAGACTTACACAACTGTTTTGAGAATTTGATTTTGACATTTGATGCATACATTTTTGAGTTTGATAGGTTGGTACCACTTTGTTGCAAATTTAAAGGGTTAATGCATTTTAGTTTTTTTAGTGTTTAAATTTTTTTTTTCCTTTTCTAAATAGGAAAATATGGCTGCCGAGAAGGTGACATTGTCTGATGCGCTTTCTAATGTGGATGTCCTTGACGAGTTGCCTTTACCTGATCAACAACCATGTATTGAAGCTCAGCCTTGCAGCATTGTATATCATGCAAATTTTGATACTAATTTCGAAGACAGAAATGCTTTTGTGACCGGAGTAGCAAAATATATCGAAGAAGCTACTGTTCATGCAGAATTGGTATGTGCTGGCTTTTGAATAAAATTATTTAGCCACCTACTATTACAATATTAACACTTTTCTGACCTCTGAAAATTAAAAGCACTTTTTAATTCTAAAGATTGTGCATAATCTCTTCTGTTTGGTAAATATATTTCTTTTCTTTTTCTTTTTCTTTTTTTTTTTTTTGTTAAAATGACATTTTGAAATAGTGTTTTGAGTGTTACATTTCTGAGGCAGTATATATTTCCCTTTCAGTTTTAAAAAATTCTTAGCTTGAGTATCCTTCATTATTTATTTTGTAAAGATTATTTGATAAATAGGGTTGTGGGTCAACCACAAATGTATCCTAAGCTGTACTATCATTTATCATGCAACACTCCTTGTACTTTTAAAATTTATTCATGGTGTGATGAAATCTGTTCTTAAAATTATGGAAGAGAATATAATTTCAAATTATGTATACACTTTTCTTTCACATGAGAAACTAAACATGTGTGGTTGCTGTAAATCTGCTTTGTTATAATAAGATTTTTTGTAATTAGAGTTATGTCATTTGATAGGATTATAAGATAAAATTATTTGTATTAGATTTATGTGGTGATCTTTGTTCTTTTAAATGCAAATTTAATTCAGGATATGTTTTGCACATTCTTTCCTCTGTATCATTATCTTGTAATTTTGAAATTCATATTATTTGATATGTATTTTAAATGTTCATTTGTATGTTAGGATATTTATGCTTTTTCTCCCCCTCAAACAGAATGAAATGTTGGAAGAAGGTGAAGAGCATGCAGTAATGCTTTACACATGGCGATGTTGTTCTCGAGCCATACCTCAGGTAAATGCAATAATTATTAGGATATTATTTTCTCATTATTATGCAAGTTTTTTTTTTTTTTATTTTATTGGGAATAAATATGCTTCATCCGGTTTCAGGGATAGGCATTGTAAAGTTTGCTTATGAGGGCGTTACATATGTGATTTATACTACCGGGATGGGGAATGTTTTACAAAAATTAAAGCTTCCGGCTGCATTTTATTTTAAAGAAATTTCACCTGTCTAGGAAAATAGCCTGCATACAAGGAAACATTCAACAGAAATATGAATCTTAACTGGAAATTGAATGCGAGATATTTTCTACTATTTTCACAATTGCCATTAGTTTTTTTTAAATTTTTTTTATGATTGATATAAATTTTATAAATCATTTGTCAAATTTCTATATGACTCCCTCTTTCTTGCCCTGTTTATGTGATAAAATATGTGAAATTCATAAGTTTTAGACACTGATGATAATTATTTAAAACAAATATGAATAAGAAATTGTGTATTTTGTACTGTATGTTTTATTTGTCTGTGTTCTCAAGTAAAATAGCCTTTTTTTTTTTTAGCCTAAATCAAATGAACAGCCTAACAGAGTGGAAATCTATGAGAAAACTGTGGAGGTTTTGGCACCTGAAGTGAATAAACTCCTTAATTTTATGTATTTTCAGGTATCTAATTTTTATATATTTATAGTTTTGTATTTGACTTTGTCTGTTGGTATTTATTTGTAGTTCTATACTTGTATTGCTATGAAATATATTAAAAGAATAAAATTTTATGTTTGTATTAAGGTGTATTGCTTTGAAAGTAAAAGTAGGTACTTGCACATTATCCCATAGATGGTTAAACTATTGCCAAGCAGTGCAATTTAGCACCAGTTATGTATAAGCCAGACGTAATGACAGACTTGTAATATCTGTGCTTTCGTTTGATGTATGTAATTGATTCTCGGTGAGCCACCTTTTGTTTTTATGAACAAGCATATAAATTAACTGTTATTACTGTATTTTATCGTGCATTTTGAAACAGAATGATTACAATTTGGGACCTGTCTTCTACAGAATAACAAGCAGTAGATTATTTTTCAAGTTATGGGATCTTACCATTAAAAAAATGTGTATAGTGTTTCAAAAGTGTGGCCACAATATGGCCATCTGAATATGGCAGGCAAAATAATAATAAAATGAAGCAGTAATCTGCAGGAAGTGTGTATGCATGACATTCTAAATAGAACTTCTGATAATGACAGAATGTTTAAATAAATAGTAGAAATCGGGGGGGGAACACCTTTTTATGGAAAACAAAAATGAAATGAGCTGAATGCTGACTGTTTACTAAATAAAGAGGCATCAGTTCCTGCAGAATTCCACAGAAGTGATTGGCACAACTTTTGCAAGATCTCTGTCAAATTTCATGGTTTTATTATAAATAACTTTTATGGTTCGGGGGGATGTGTGTTATGCAAGTACCAAAAAGTATTCTGGATAGTTTAGTGCATCTCCTATAATTACATTTGTAACATTCTTATTGAAAGATATCACATCATATACTGCTATGCAATTAATAATATTCAGTGGAGATAACAGAAATAGTTGAGATATTACATTTTGAATATACTATAATACGATACAGTAACTTTACTAATATACAGTAACTTATATTCAGAGAAGCTTTCACTATGCTCCTAATAAAAGTAATTAAGAATGGTGTGTGTATTTAAAATTGTGTTTTTTCCTATCTGTTTTTCCAGTACTAGGTGTTACTTTTGAATTTATATTCAATAAGTTGATTTGTGAGGTTAATTGAAAATCTTCATCATCTGGAAATCTATCTTGAAATAACTGTTTTATCATTGTTCTTTGGTAGTACAGATTTTGTATTTTTGGGAAGCATTTTTAGGTTTTTTACTATCCTTCTGATGTCCCTGGTTCTGTGAGAATAAATGGTGCATTCCCCTACATATATGTTTTGTTTTAATTAAGTCCATTGTGAAATATTTTTTTAAGAATCATTTCCATTTCTGCTGTTTTATGACAACTGTTAACCACTCCCCAGTGTGCTGTTTTTGTCATAATATTTTGTGTTGAGCAGACATTTTGTGTCATTGCAGTAAATAACATCTCATAACATCATATTATTGCATCAAAGATTTGAATTCCTTCTTTAGAGTTAAGAGCTTATCACATGCCTCAGTATTATGTTGAATTCAACATGCTGTTAAAGAATTTGATATGAGTTCAGAAAACTCAGTAGCTGAATGATGAAATGTTGAGTTATCCCCCCATAATTTTGATAAATTTAGACACTCTAAATGTAATTTTTCTTGTATGAACTGATATCAGTGATCTCTAAATATCTTTCTTGAATATCTTTTAATATTTTAGAATATGGCATTCTTCACGGGTTCATCGATTTGGAATGATTGACACTCGTGAAGAATCAGACACAATTTATTTAGCCAGTATTACTCAGGACAGCTTCAAAATCATGTTTACAGTCTTCGAAAAACTACTATAACCACACTGAAACAATCAGCAACACAATCTTCAGGCTACAGCTCCCGACTTGGTTCGGTCATTCTCGGAACTCTATGTACTCTCCAGATTCCAGCCTTCAGGATATAATTGTGAAGACAGCTTCTCGGCAAAGCACCAGAGTACAACTCCTGACTCTGTTCAGCCGTTCTCAGAACTTAATTTACTCTGGGGACTCCACGCTTCAACTCGCGATGCACTCGACAATACACTTGATAGACTCGACAATGCACTTGCTCACTAGACTCGTGATTGTCTCTATGACGAACTTGAGACTAGTCTGATGATTAACTCGCTAGATGAGGCACTGACTGACTGTCTGCTATTCTGCGTGCAGGCAGGATTTGTATAGCTTTTGAGAACATTCTGGGCCAAACTGGTAAGAATTCGTTCCAGAATGTTCTCCATCTGTCTTTGGTGTGAAAGGATAAAAACTCATCAGTAAATGAAAGTGATGAAAGATGTGAAAAGATCTGTGATGAAAGACGTGAGGGGATAAAAACTCATCAGTGAAATATTTTGTGTCAGTTTAGTTTCAGCTTTAACAAGTACTGTGTAGAGTTGTTTACCAGAAATCATTTAACTGAAAGTCATATTTTTCAGTACTATATTAGCAACTGAATGTTATAGATTTAAAACTAAGCCATTTTCTCAAGTATTGTTGATGCTTTGTGTTTTTTGTCTTGTCAAGAAATAACATATTTGCACTGAGATCATATGTGCTTGTTTCTGTTGTTCTTTTCAGAACTATATTGTTTAATGCACTCTTCAGTGTTTTCTTTGAAATGTTTTGATTTTATCATTGGCATCATTGCACATTTGAACATGACACTGGGGATTTTAACATTAACGAAGAGTAATTGGACTTCTTGATTGGAAATCTCTATCATGGTGTGTAGCTAAAATGAAATGCCTGTTAAAAGAATTTACCAACCCTCTCCCGCCACTTAGTGATTATGAGGATATTGTACATGAAAATGTTTAACAAAAATGTGTCACATATTTAATACCAAGAAAAAATATTAGTTAGTAAAATGTAAAATTAAAGATAGTCAGTAATACATAAATTTTATTCATGTATAGTCAACTAATAGAATAGTATAGCCAATTAGCAGTGCATTATGTTCTGCTTCCTAATTATTGGCACTTATAAACATATAATCTATTGTTTTGGTAGAAAAACTCCAGTAGCCTTAAAAAACTGAAGGCGAATGAGAAGAATATTTGTTGTATAATAAATTTCTCTTATTTGTGTAGTTATCTTCTGTTATCCAGTATATTACTTTCTGCTGTAGCCGATTGCTGTTGAGCTCAAATACAGATGCAATATAATCAGTGTAGTTATTTCCTGTGCACTTTCTGTTAATGTGGTGTGAGTCACCAAATGTATGCTGAAGCACCAAATGTTGTAGCCTATTTTTATTGTGTCATGAACAGCTATGCAGTGATAATGTGTATGTTTTATGTACACATTGCTGAATTTATGCTATTCTCTGAAGTGAAAACATCATCATGTATATGGGAAGAATAACAGTTTTGTTTACTATGATCAGCTAAACAAACAAATGAATTGAATGTATTGTCTTTCAAACTTGTGTAGAAAATTAAAGTAAATACCATTTATAAGTTTAGAATCAAAATTTCTGCCTTACTTCACTAGGATGAACATATTAAAGTTCTAAAATTTATTTAAAATTTTATAGCAATTGATAATACTAAATATAAAGAACATTTTCAATATGATACTAGGATTTTGGTCAAACTTCAGTGGAAAAAGTGTTTAAGATTGAATTACCTAAATTTTTGCATATTTTGATGTACTTCAGCATTATTAGTAGAATATGCACGATTGATCTTCTGTACCTGAAAGCTAAAGAGCTATTTTGTTGTTGTCTTGTCTATGTATTTCATTGAAGAATGGTTGCCAGAGCCTCAAGGAGGTTGGACTTCTGCGTCCACCCTAGTTTCAAAGAAGAGAATCGGGGGGGGGATTTCCTACCACCAAACCTCATGAGAGGACTTTCGGCTTGCCATATATTTAGAAGTGCCTCCAAGCCACAAAATCACTACATTTATAAACATCCATCCTTCTCCAGGATTCGAACTCGGGTCCTTCAGTATCGCTGTAGGCTTCCCTAACTGCCATACCATCTGGGTGGTGAAGAGCTGTTTTAAATTGATTTTATAGCCTTTTCTAAAACAGAACATGGAAAATCAGCTGCTTTTAATTTTGATGATATTTTGTTTTTATTTTGCTGTTGTACTTTTGGAGCTTTTAGTGGTAAGGAAGTGGTTAAATAAGTCCGATGTAAAAGTTTTCAGTATCCTATAACATAGCAAAATGGAAAGGTGCAAGTTATTTGCAGTGTTAACTTGCACTAGTTAAATTTTGCTGTTGAACAGAAAAGGGCGGATTTTTTGCCAGCCAAAGAATAACAGTACATTGAACAGCCTTTAAGTGCATTAGGATGAAAAAAAAGCTTAAATGTTTATTTCTTATGCATGCAAAGTTACTCAGTTCAATATTCGGTTCATTGTACAGGATGTGGTAAAAGCTGCATATTTTGGTGGTATACATAATAAGTGGGCTAAATAAATAAGTTATATTTTATTATGAAATGAGCTATTAGTGCAACTGAACAAAATTTGCAGTCCTCCCCCCTTTTTTTTTGAAAAAATAATATTATTTTTTGCATTACTGAATGTTGTTTTGCCTTTTAAAATCATAATTGGAAAATCTGATAAGAATGTTAATTTCAGTTTTCTCCTCCTTTGTTTCTTTTATATGTAATAAGGACTAGTTTTATATGAATTGAAACTAGTAGAAATTTATTGAAAATTGCTAATTGATATTTTAAATTTCAGAGGCGAGCTATTGAACGTTTTAGTGCTGAAGTGAAAAGGCTTTGCCATGCTGAAAAGCGGAAGGATTTTGTTTCTGAAGCATATTTATTAACTCTAGGAAAATTCATTAATATGTTTGCTGTTCTTGATGAATTAAAGAACATGAAGTCTAGTGTGAAAAACGATTATGCTACGTACAGACGGTGAGTGTATTTTTATTACTCTGTGCATTTTATGGTTTCATTATGAAATATAAACATTTTTTATATATTTATTTTGTAATTTATTTTGTTTGTTTATGTTGAGCTAATTCATGCACTTTGTTTTCTATTATTAGTTGCATTTTCTTCACTTCACCGTCATTTTAATTAGGGAAATAAGCACTGTAATGAATTTTAAAACCATTTAGCCTTATTTACTGAAGCCTTCCTTTCTATTGACCACTCCCTTGTGAGGGCAGAAATGTGCAGAAGCACCCCAGTGACAGCAATCTTACACCGTAAGCTGTGCCAAGCATTGTGACCCATCATTCTTTGATCCAGATATATTTTTATGCTTGATTTTTGACTCATTGCTGTCTTTTTTTTTCTTATTTTTTGCTTTTCTTTTTTGAGGGGGAAGGAACTGAGGTGTATTAAGGAATTATCCATAGCAAAATACTGTTCAAGTAGTGCCAAGATAACATTATGGGATAATTTTAATGCAGTACTAAAATGAGGCTTCAACCAAAAATCATATCTAGAGGTTAATACTCTTTGTTAGTAATCTTTCTAGGTTTCAAATGTAAGTTTGTACTTGTAAAGTAAGTCCCTTGTGACAAGGGAGCAATGAAATGAAAAGTTAATCTTTCTCTTGGAAGCTGCTTTCAGTCGGAAAAAGGGAAACAAGACACTGGTGAAAAGTAAATTATGGTACAATCAAAAGGATATTTCACATTCATAGAATTCAAAATTCAGTTATTCTTTTTCAGTTCTTAAACAGTGTTAGTAAGTTGCAAGGCATTCCAAGACAGGTTCCAATGGGAACGAAAAGAGAGTGGGATGATTGGACCACGTGCCCAGTACGTGGAACTCATAATGTGGATAGAGGCGAAATTTTGATCATCTTTGTTTGTACTAGGACTGAGGAACAAAAGAAGAATTGCACTGTACTAAAAGTTTGAGAGATTTATGGCAGACATTTAGAATAAATAAAAACAAAGTAATTCATATGATAAAGGATCAAGAAGAAATACAAGTATTATGGATTATAAATTCAAATGAATATGAAAAACTGAAGCATGTGAAGTTGCTACAGCAAGTGTTCAACTTATTTTGTTCTGTAAAGGCAAGCAGTATTCATGTAAGTGGAGTATTACTGAAAGAAAAGGAAAAAGAAGTTTCGGAAAGACTGGAACTACAGAACTTCAAAGCATCAGATGGTTAGTTAGACAAATTTAAGCAAAGGTATAATGTTACTTTTACGACTATTTGTGGAGAAGAAAACTCAATAGATATGCAACATAAACCTTTTTATTCAGAGATTTGCGAATTTTTTGGCGATTTTTTATGAACATTGATAAATATCATAAAAATAATGATAGTATATTAAAATTGTATTTAAGAAATAACATTAAAGTAAAACATTTTTATTTTCTCCTGCCATATTTTAAAGTGGCATTACTTTCCATATTGGGGAGGAATATTGTAATTCTGGGAAATAACCAAGATAATAAATGCTATATAGCACAGTTTCCAAAATACCTCTAAGAAAAAACAAAAATGCTATTGTAATTATTTAAAAATTAATTTCATTTGTCTTTTATATTATTTCATGTTAAGTATTTGTTATTTTCTGAGTTATAGTTCAAAATATTTAAATGTGTATCAGCTTTCTGTTGAAATTTCACTTTATACTTTTCCTTTCTGCCTTTTTTTTAAAAAAAATTTCTGCCTTTTTGCCCTTACAGAGTTGGTTGGGATAATTTTTTTTTTTCGGATTTTAAACCTTGTACCTTGGAAGGCTCAGATTTGAAGGCAAGATTTGAAACCTGCAATTTCCAGAAAAGTGTGACAAAATTAAAAGTATCTTCATGGTATTAACATCTAATGGACGTGTTTGATAGGAAATTTTTGGAATTTCTTATCCTTTTGGAGAATATTTGGGAAAATAGTGAAAGCTAAGCTATTTGAATATTCTCATTTTGATCACAGAAGTCTTTCAACATGTTTATCTTCACTTTATTTTCTTATATTTCCACTAGACACTTAACACTGAACAAGCAAAGAAATCGAAAACGGATGATTATATATGCCTACCATAAATTCTAAAAATTTTGCCATCCCTAAGTTTTGTTGCTCCATACTTCATTAAATTCTGAAAATCGTTAGTTCTAGCTCCAACTCTGACCTTATATCATTTCATATTTATTCTCAATACTCATATTATTAAAGAAATAACAGTGTCTCTTATGCATTTGAAATACAATCAGTTCTTCAGAATAAGAGAAATCTTATCTAAAAATTCTAAAAATGAAGAGAAAATGCATTGAAGAAGAAATTGATTTTGTAAAGAAAGAAAATTATTCTTCAAAGGTACATTGTTGAAACATTTATAAATTAAGAGATGAAGCAGAAATTTGACATTAATTTGTTTATTGAAAAAAACTTAGAAAGATGCTAAAATGAACTGATGTAAATCAGCTAAAATGTCTGGAATTTTTTCAAGTTAAAAAAATGTATAAACATTTCATTATTAGTTGTTGCAACATTATAACTGCTTTAAAATGTTCTAAGTTATTTTTTACTGGGTATTTTTTAGAAATTAAAAAAAAAATTCTAACAATGTAATCTATTGATTAACTATGTAACTTAATTATTTACAACTAACTGCTCACCTCTAGAAGTTATGAACCTTGGAAATCTACATGGTTACTCTTCAAAATCTACATGTTGATTTATTACCTTTCGTTAATCTTTATTGTGGGTATCCACTTGACATAAAATTTGCATAAAACTCTGGACTCATTGAGTACCTGATGAAATGAGGCATAAAAGAAATAATCAATTGAAAACTGTTAGTAATTTTTTTTTTTAAAGCTGCTAATCTTCTTTAAAATATATGGGACTGTTATAAGGGTAAAATATAAATGCTTTAAGAAATGTTATAATTTAATGTTAATAACTTAAAAATTTCATGAAGTTAGGTTTATTCTTGAATTTGTTTTATAATTAAGTTGAATACTAGATTGTGTTTAATAATAATGCATCTTACTTGGATTTATTTTATTCTTACAAATTACAAAACTGAAGGGCTAATCTTTGGAATATGGTAGCAGGTAGTTTGGCAACATTTTGGTAAGGCGATAAAGGTTACTAGCTAGGACGTTAGCAATAATCTGATAAGTACATTCCATCTTGTATCTTGTGTGAAACAGCATTGCTTAATATTTGGATCCCATGGCCCTCTCTAAAGTAAATTTCAAAATTTTATTGCATTTATGTGATCATCCAAAAGAGTTGCTTGAATGATGTATGATTGTAGGATTAATTGCAGATAAGTATGAATGTCCAACATGGAGTGAAATGAGATTGTGTGAAAGGAAGGATATTACAGATAAGTTTGAACGGTGTTGGAAGAAATCTGGTGAAAATGGACTTTCCGAAAAATTCCGATCGTGATTTTAGCTAATAAGCACTTAGAAACAATTTCGCACCTGACCTTCATCATGATTAAGCACTTTTGTTCCATAAAAGTTCTAGCATAAGCGTAATTCGGCTAGCAGATTGTTGGGGAAAATGTTCAGTTAAAAAAAAAAAAAAACATGCCTTTACTTCATGAAAACAAAATAGCATAAAAAAAAAACCCTGGTACAGCAGGTTGCTGTAGCAGGGTTGGTCGCCAAAAAGTTGCCAAGTTACCAGAATCCAAAGATTCACCAACTAAAGTTCGAATGTAGCTGATTTGTGTAGTTTATTCAGTTCCTGTTTGCTTGATAGGTCCTTAATTTTTTTCATTGATGGTCTTTAGAAGTCCTTAACAGTACTTAATTTCCACATGCAAAAATGTGTATGAACCCTGATTGCCTGTTAGATGATACCTTCACTTCATGCAGCAATGTGCAGTTGGGATTAGTCTTCTCACTTTGTGTTTAAAACTAAAATTAGCTTTTGATGTCTTGCTAAAAACACTTTGACGAGTTTGAATTTAGTTTGGAGAGGCAAACAAGTGTAAAATAGAAATTTTACACTCATTTGCCTCTCCAAACTAAAGTCAAGCTTTTCCAAATTTGTTTCTTTTTTGCTATTTTTTATATTAAAGAATAATAAGTTTCTGTTAAAGTGGCATAAACCAAAATATGATTTAATTTCTCTAAAATGAGCTGTAATGCAATTTAATCTAAGTTGATTTGAAAATCTTTTATTTCATTGCAAGACTATGTATTCTGCGCTGAGTTAGTAAAATAATTTTTTCACTCACTGTACTGTAAAACATGTTTCAGGAGCACTTCTGTAGGTGATCTTTCATCTTATTTTAATACTGCTGTGGTAACTTGAACTTGTGCTAATAAATTGGGGTGTACTGAGTGCTTTTTGCATTTTTGTGTGTTTATTGCAGAATTTTAGTGTTTATTTGTTGTTTGATCATATAACTTATCTGAAAAACTGTCATTTCTTGTAAGTTATTTGGAGAAGTGTATTGTCGTATTTCATTAAAGAAAACTTATATTGTGTTAAAGTTCCAACAGGTTAATGCAGTTTCATTTAATATTTTTACATATATATTATGTTTTCCAAGTTCATTTCCTAATTATTATCAAAATTCTGTATAAGCTGTGGTACTTAAGTGTATAAATAAAAATATTACTGTTTATCATTTTCTATAGTGCTGCCCAGTTTTTAAAAGTTATGGCTGATTCTCAAGCCTTGCAAGAATCGCAAAACCTCTCAATGTTTTTAGCAACACAAAATAAGATAAGGGATACTTTGAAGGAGAGTCTTGAAAAAATACCTGGTTATGAAGAGCTATTAGCTGATGTTGTTAATATTGCTGTTCAGATGTATGAGTATAAGATGTATATGCTTCCAAGTGAAAAACACATGTTGGTTAAGGTGAGTAGATAATTTTTTCAGACTTAATACATTCTTCAGCACCATATGCATGTAAAATTGCTTTCAATTAAAGTAATACATCTATGAAAATAAAATTGCATTTTAATTTTGATTAAATTTTATATTTTATGCATACAGCAGTTCTCAGAAAATATTTTGAAATAGTTGTGAACTTACTATAAGTAAAAAATATTGGTACTTTTCCATTTTGTCGGCGCAGGCGATAAACTCACCAATAATGGTACAACCGATGCCAAACGAAATATCCTTGCTGGTAACCTTTTTTCAAAACAAGTTGCAGCCATTTCTTAACAGATTGATTATTTCTTTCAATACTGGCAATTTTTACCAGATAGTTTAATTGTATGCTCCAAGGCCATTCGCGGTAATTAAGTCAATTAGGATGCAATCACACCATCCACCTGAAGGCGAAAATATAGAAAAGGGTTAAATTCATCAGTTCTAATGAGAATGCCCTAGCGAAGTAAAGCACTGCAGTTTTACATAACTTCTGAATAAGCTATTCGTATGAATTGAAATAATACTTGCATTTAAACTTGTATTCCAAATTAAGATTTAACTTGAAATTAATGTAGATAATTACTGAGACAATTAGATTTTTATAGCGTAGTTTACTTGAGATGAGATAACTTGGGGTCACGTGATATGAACTGGCGAATCAGGATGTCGAACCATGAAAGCATAGTAAATTCTTAAATTAATGTCTTTTTACAAATTTATTGTCTTTATTTATTGGTTTTTTACAAAATTTTAAACAATATTAAAATGTTTGTGCCTTCAAAATAAAAAATTCTTAGAACTAATATTTGATAACATTTTTTATGTGTATACTGTATGTTGTCACCAATACAGTCTCTTGGCGAGATTTGCGCCGGCGAAATGTAAAAGTACCAAAATATAGAATAATAAAAATTGGATGTTTTCAATTACTATGCAAATGCAGTTTTAAATGAAATAATCTATTTCTTACTGCTTACTTTCCTTTTCTTCATTCTCTTGTATTTTGAACATCTTAATGTAGTTTTATGCTTTTGTCTTCAGTAATTGAATAATTTTTCATGATCTAACCTCAGCTAATTTTTTACATTTAATATAAATACATTTACATGGTTTATGGGTATTTATTTGTATGAATTAAATTTGTAATTAATGCATTATTTAATTAATTTTTAGGTGATGGGTTTTGGTTTATTTCTTGTTGATGGAGAAATATGTAATATAAATAAAATGGATCAAAAGAAACGTGTGAATATAGCTAAAATTGACAAAATATTTAAGGTATGTATTTTGTTTCCTAAATCTTATTTTCAAATATGATCTAATATCCTCATTTGAAAAACTCCATTCTTAATGCAGCGTAAGTTGTAAATAAAATATATTTAATCATTTTATGTTAATTAAAATGAAATTGTTAAATACATGTAGCAGATAACCCAGCTCATTGGAAGTTATCAGTATCTGAAAAATTTAACTGTTGTCCCAGATCAATGATCTGCGAACTTCAGTTTCATTGAAGTCAGTCCCACTGAAGTGATAATTCTTTTGGTACAGAATAATCCAGGACTGAAGCTTTCTCTACGGGCACTTTTTGCATCTTGGTGGCTACCAGCGGTTTTAGGAGTGAGCATGTTTATCAAAATATGAGCCTTTTTTTTACAATGCAAATCTCAGCATTTTCAAACTCTTGAGTACCCATTTTAATATTTGCTTACTAGTTATTTTAATTCTTTGTGTTGTTTAATAGCATGCAGCAGATATTGTAGCCTGTAAACATGAAATATTCATTGGCCTTAACAGCTAAATTTTGTCTGACACATATTGTAATTATTTTCTCCCTCCTTATTGTGTGCCTCCGCAGTTTAATTGTGTGTGTCCGGCTAGCATCGGAAGGTCCACAATTCAAATACTGCTGAGGGGATTTTACATTTTTATGTCTCCTGTTTTGAAGTGCATAACTATTTTTGATGAAGATTTTGCTGAACGAGTATACTTACACTAAGGTTCAAAAGGATTAACTGTAGCTGGCACATATGCTGGCAGATTTGTTGGTTTATTCACAGCTGTGATTAGTCTTAGTAGAACCTCATACTGTAGTTTTTTTCACTGCAGTGATAGATCGTAACTAGTTCATATCGAATCATTATTGACGGTTAATTTATCACAAAAAAGTGCTCAAGGTGATTCATAAGCATATGCATTCTCTTTAGTTTCTAAAGAAATCATTTACAAACCTTTGGAGCAGAAGCTTATAAACCTTTTTTTCTCTTGCAATTTGGGAAAAGGATTAAAATTTGAGACCTGCCTTTTACAGAACAGGAAGAAGTTTCAAAGCTGTAGAGCTAATTATACTCAAAACATATTCAGCTCATGCTCAAAACAATGAAAGACTGCAGAATTCATCAAAATGATGCAGAAAAAGACATCACAGAAAGCACACTACCACTTAGATTCGTATTTAATTGAATTTATGTGACACCAGGTTCATAGAGAAGGTGACAGTTTTGTTATTTATATTCCATTAGGGATATTTGACTTCCAGAATATTCTGTCCTATTTTCAATGAAATTCTTTGTCAAAAAATTTTATACACTGTATTTGCATCTGGTATTTGGTTATAATCTAATTCAGTGATTCTCAACCGCTGTGCCGTGGCACTTTTGTATGCTGCCAAATTCTTAAAGTGTGCCGCCAAGTTTTAGAAATATATATAGTAAAAGTTATAATGGGTTTAATCCTAGTATACGGTACTCATGCAAATTGGCAAAATTTGGTTTTTAAGACATTAATAAGTGCGCCAGTTGTAGTATCCAAGCCAATTTTGGTGCCAGATACATTTGTAGTTGAATTAACTTTGAATGAAGAGGAAGAACTAATTTGCTTTCTAATAATCGAGATTTGATTAAAAAAATATTCTGAAGAATCAGTTGATTCATTTTGGACTAATATTAGATGCAATTATACCACGATGGCCAAAAAACTTTAAAAATATTATTACAGTTTTTTACATCTTATTTGTGTGAATTCGGATTTTCAGTATTAACCAACATAAAAACGATAAAAAGATCGAGACTGTTAAATGTAGAAGACAATATGAGAGTTGCATTGTCATTTTTACGACCAAAATATAAATGAAATTATCAAAAAACATCAATCTCAAATTCCTCATTAAAAGTATTCTTATTATTAACTTGAAATTTATCCCCTGATAAACCTACTACTGTTTTTGTAGTACGTTATTTTATTTTACATTCAAAATTATGACCATAAACTATTTTACACGGGATATTATAGGTAAGTAAATAACTTTTAAGATTCTTTTTCTTTGTGAGCTGCCAAATTCTGAAATCATTAAAAGTGTGCCACGAAAAAAAAAAAGGGTGAGAATCACTGATCTAATTACATCTAAAGCAACTTCTTATTATCTAAACAGCAACCTGTTCCTTCAAACTTTTAGCAGAATTGTTGGTGCAATTTTGATGACATTACAGCCAAACTTTTATGAGTTGATGTGGGAAATATTTAATTTCCTTAGAAAATTTTGCCTTGTGATATACGGAAACCTTTAAATTCGTGGCTATCATTATCAACACAAAATATGATAGCTGGCTATAAATTATGTCAAACGTTTAAAAAAAGTATCTGCAGATTTGTCCTTCCATGATTTTGCAGTGCTCCACACAGCAGATTTTATGCTAACATATTTAAAAAAATGCTTAAATTTTCTTCCCAGTGTTTAAAAAATTAGCATAGATTTTGAAAAGACTATTTTATATCTTCATTTCAGTGCTATACAGTTAGAAAAAAAGAATAAGATAGAGATGTTATCTTTTACTAAAACATTAATTGAAGTTGTCTGTAATCAGGGGCAGTTTTTGTATCATCCAGTAAACCAAATGATTTCAAATGCCTCGGGTATGACATTGTGTTCAAACCAATCATTAATTAATGTTTGTGCCACTTATGCTGTTCATTTGAACAATAGATAATGGGGCCAAAATATTTATTCCTTTTAATGCCAGAGATCTTGTATTTTGGGAAAAGTTTATTTTGTAAATTATTTACTACATGGCTCAACCTTTTGGCTTGATTCTGTATAAAGCGAGAGGAGCAGGTTTGCAAGAAACATTCTTCATTAGGAACTAATATAATCTAGCTGTAAGCCTAGCCACAAAACTTCTCTGAAAATGAGGATTGAATGGCCCATAATTCTCTCAACACACCATGGAAGGTGTGGATTTTGTACAAACCATCTAAAAGACGGAGTTTATACTTCCTTTCTGGATGATGTAAGTTAAAAACCTGGTTTATATATTTTATACCCCTAGACCCAAGAGCATTAGAGTACAAATTTCTGCCAGTATAATAAACAGCCTAGAGAGAGACATGAAGTAATATGAAAGAGTATTAAAGACAAGAGCTGTCCAATTGTAAAATATAATTATTAGTACTAGTGCATCTGTTCTTGTATGCTTTTTATCTTTTGCATTGTTCCTTCGCATAGGATATCTCTTATTTTCTGAAATGGTATTTATTGGGTACTATTTTTAATCATGATTTTCAGATGAAAAAATTAGTGTAAAATGGGGGGGGGGAAGTAATTATGGTATTGTTTACAGATGTAAAGGAACATTTATTTAGAAGTTTTCAGAGCAAAAAATTCTTACTGAATAATTTCTTGTCTATTATGACTACTGAATTTGTTTTCTGAACCCTTTTCTTTTATTTCAGCAACTGGAAATGGTTCCTCTGTTTGGTGATATGCAGATTGCTCCTTTCAATTATATTAAGCGTAGTCCACACTATGATCAGTCACGATGGCCATTAGCTAGCTCCAGTTCCCCAAGTCCTCAGTCTGATTTGTTGCAGTACTTGCCGACTATTAGAGATGAATATGTCAGATATATAAGTGAATTAGCACGCCACAACAATGAGGTATGCTAAATTGTTTTATTTGTCTATTAGAGCTATTATATAGAAAAAAATTGTTACCTTTTTATTTTACTCAAAAAGCAGTCTTTGAGACTAGACTGATACTTTGTTGGAAGAGTATAGCAAAAATGTAGATATGGCTGAAAATTTGGTATGAACATTTAAAATGTTTGAAGTCAAGGTGTGTGATTAACATTTTATTATATATTTGTAACTTCATTTTGTTTTTTTTTAGCATATTTCTTTTAGTTAAAATTTTGTGTCTGGTTTTAATTTCAAGTAGCCACATAATTTAGGTTTTGCATGTATATCATCTCTCCACTCAGGTAACTACAACAGTAAAGGAAACACCTCGTACCGATTGTGAGAATAAGGAACTAACAGAATTATCACTTAGAGGCCTTCAGCTGCTCTCTGATTGGAGTACTCATGTTACAGAATTAGTGAGTTCAATTTTTTCTTACTCATGAAGCTATAATTAATAAAATCAGCAAATTGCATTGAAATTTTGACTTTTCCAATATTTTAAAAAAGATTCTGTAATTATTTTAATAAAAAGTGCTGATATGGTGGTCAGTTAGTAAGGTAGTTGGATATGCTGTTAAAATTCAAGCATCCTCTTTGGATAAAGTGCAACTTTTGAGAAACAAGCCTATTCATTGAGAGTGATTTATATTTGCTATGTAAATTTTATGATTGTGGGAATATATAGTGAGGTTATGTATATGCATGCACTTTTTGCACCATTTGCATTTCAGAAGAGAAAGGAGGAACATTACAAGGTGTATATGCTAACTAGAACATATGTAGGGGATAATATAAAATAAATATAAATGTAGCTACTTTTATGTAGAGAAAATATTGAATAGCAAGTTGCTAATGAAAAGTCTAACATTACAAGAAGTAACAAAATATAATCAATGCCTTTTGAGTCCCATAAATAGCATAACAAGATTATATATACAAAAATAGGTTGTTTGCAAGCTTTCAGGGATATTTTGCATGATATCCATTCCTTGCATGTAGAATTCTGCAGCAATCCTCAGATTTAGTACAGTGCAATTCAGAAGTTTCCTGTCTTTGCTGTGAATATTAATTATTCTGATTGAAAATGTTTCCACTATTTAAGCTTCAATGAAGCATTCATGAAACTTCAGTGGCATTAGAGAACAGAATACTAAACACAATGAGTGGCATGTGTGGGGAGAAAGGGTAGTCAGTGCATCATGAGTCTGGTGCAAGATTTTTTTCCATGACATCACAAGTAGCTGTGCATGGTATCCTAGTCAGCACCTTAACCCTTTGCGGCTCAGTGTTCCACTACATGGAACACCCAAATTGAATCGCTTCTGAAACCTATAAATTCAACCGTAAATAGATAAAAATGCCTTTATAATATACTTTGAAATTTTCTTTTTAAACAGTAGATAGCAGCATATCACAAGGAGACACAGAATTTTCATTTATTATGTGTTATTAAAATCCACTTTTTTCAATTAATTTTCTCTATATTTTAAATGATATAAAAAATTTTATTTGGAAAAAAAATTAAGCATAATTTTGCTGGCTGTACTCCACATTATTTGTTCTATATTTTTTTAAATCTTTTCATACAAAAACCATACGCAGAATCATTGAATTAAACCTGGGTGTTCCATTAGCAGGAACACTGCGCCGTTAGCGAATTACATCTGTGCTTAGGCGAGAACATCTGTTGTTTACGTTTTCTGTTTCCCCCTTGTTTGGGAGGGGATGAATTCAAACAAAGCACTATTGAGGGATGAGGTGTGTTTTGTGTTATGAAAGCCTTAATATTGGCATCTCGAATTTTTCGGGAGTCGTTTTTAGGCGGGAATTTTATTAGTAGCTTGACTCATCTTTACTTAGACCTGCGCGAATTTTTTGCTGTCGCTTTGTAGTCTCATTCCTGTTTACTTTCAATAATTGTGTAGATAGTTTTTGTGAATGTATATATTATAGGCTTATTTTTCTTTATTGTTAATATTAATCGTAGTTGGTTTGTGCTTCCAGCAAAAAGGTGTGACTTCCTTTGAACGATTTCACAAAGCTAAGAAATAGGAAAATTTGTAAATATTTTTGCATAGATATTTATCTCATTTGTCCGTATATATTCAAGAATATTGTGTATATCCTAGAAACCATGTATACAGCCATAGTACACCCCACAGAATTAAAACGGTAAGTGCAATTTTTAAACTTTTACATGTATACTCCTTTAGAACTAAATAGACTGCATACAACTTTTTTTATTGAAATTCCGACGTTAACGTATAGTGCATCGCAAAGGGTTAAATGAAGGGGTGAAAAACATTGTGTGTTAAAGAACATGATGGCCACTTCCAGCATCGTCCATAAAGGCTTATATTTTTGTTCATTCTTGTAATCAGTAATTCTGTCTTAATCCTGTGTGTCTGGGGAAAAAAAAAAAAGTAAGGCCTAAATAATTGCATGATCTTTAAGATAAGAGCTCTGAAACGTCTAAATTGCCCAGTATTTGTTTGCCTTTATTTAAGTAATGCTAACATTTGCTGGTATTGTTGATCAGATATTCATTGTGGCATAGTCATTTTGCATACTGAAATTTGTTGGTTGATTTGATTATGGCAAATCACACTGGGCTTGCCTAATCTTTCAGATTGAAATCCATATTAAGTATGACTTTCATTGATTGGGCAAGTTTCAGGATATTGTAGTATAATTGAATTTATTACACTCAATTTAAATGAGTCACTTCAGTCGCAAAGCATAATTCCAGCTTAACAGAATTTCTAGCATGCTGGTAGCTAAACATGTTTGTTACCATGTTTTTTCAGGGCTTGTAAACAGGTTATGATTCTAGTTTTGGAGACTTTACATATGATAAGCATGTATCCTTTTTTTTTTTAAAGTATTTGCCCTACACTGCATGAATTTTTATTTTGGCACCTAAAACATACATGCTGTAAAAAAGGTCATTAGAGACGGGGGAAATATTCTTGTGTGTGTATATATATATTCCTTAGACCTTTCCTTTTAAGGAATGATGCATTATTGAGCATAAGTGGTCCTGGAATAACTCCAACAGCAATTTCATGTTCCAGCACTTTACATTCTGCATGCAATCTTTGATGGTCCAGCCGAATGAATTTCACTTAAAGACCTGTTTTAAGTAACAGCATTTATTTAGAATGGCATTACCTGTTTTTGTGAATTTATTGCTATCATAAATTTTGTTATCATTCCCACTTTCATCGTCAGTGTCTAGGCAGTAGTATTCAAAGTTTTTCATCAGTCAGTTTCATTAACTCTTTTCCATGACATAAATTTTTTCTGTATTCATTTTATTTATAAAAAACTCATAAGCGAGATGTAAATCGCAGAAATAATATGAAATGCATCAGCAGTGAGTAGTCAGCTGATAGAGGTAACACCAGACTGACTGAATGCATGGTGTTACTACACAGCAACGCAGAATTTTATATACCTAGAGAATTATACAAGGATGAAATATGTATATAATTTAATACAACTGGCTGATGTAAGTTTATGTGGACAAGTAACACGAGTTTAGGGTTTATGATTTTGCATCCATGTTTTGTACAATTTATGTCTATACAAGTTTTATCACTAACAGAATATTTTTGACTTTTTGTAGTGAAAAGTACCTTCATGGGGCAAAAGTATACTTTTTTTTATGCAGCATGTTGTGAAGTCTTTGCATTTTGTTGCATACTCGTATAATCCTTTCTGTTCATATATAATAAAGCATTAAAGTTTTGTTATCTGTGAAAGGTTCTTTCTTGTTTTAAGCATGAATTGAGCAATAACTGTTTAATGGTTTTGCTTCTCCTTAAGATGTAAGTATTCTTATTTCTGGATAACTTTCTACTGTTTTTTTTTCTTATTTCAGTCCTTTTTGAAGTACAATCATATCTGCTCAGCTATCACAATTCAACATCTGCCAGTGCAATTCCATACCATAATTTGAGTTGACAGATGTCTAACCATAAATGTTTCTACAATTGCTTTGCTTTTTCTTAATTATAAGTAGAAATAAATAATAATTAAAATTCAAATAAACTGTTATTTTTATTGTCGTCACTTTTGATACCAAATTTTAGTTTTGTTTAAAAACCATTAATATCTGCTTCTGCTGCCTGATGAAAATTCTGTAGTACAGCAGTTTTCCCTTTATTATTTATTTTTCCCCTTCAACACTGATTTCAAATCTGTAAATACAATTTTTCTGTCACCCAGACTGTATGAATAATCGCAATTTTTTTTAATGTGCAATGCAATAAGTTTTACAACCATATTATTTACATACATAAATTTTATGAAAGTGAGTTTTTGGCTGTGCTCTATTGGAGAAATAACCTTTTTTTTTAGTGCAGTTTTTCAGCTACACTCTCTGGATTCCAGTTTTTTTGTAGCATCTTCAATTTCTGCAATGTCATGATGAAACATTCCATATTTTTGTCAGATACAGCCCCAAAGTTTACAGTTTGAAAAGTCAAGGTGAAATTCCAAGAGGTGTAGTTTAAAAAACATTCTGTGGTTTTGTAGTCTTGGAGATGTTCATTATGGATCTCAGATGTACTTCCTAGAGACCATGTGATCATTTAAAGATGTCTATGTAGCCATTTCATGAATATTTAATATGCTGTGCTTTTCATCAGACCCTTAGTCTCAGGGACCACAAGTATGTTTTCTTAATTTTAACTTAGAACCTTTTTAGATATAGAAGTGATTTGCTGTTATGATCCATTGTTTTCTCAAAATCTTAAACAAATCTAGTTTTATGTGTAGTGGAGGCAGTAATCCTTAATAAATATGTTATAACTAAATGGGGAACCGCAAGGTATACTTAATGCTGGGAGAGCAGTTGTAAGCTTAAGAAGTAATTTTATATTAAAAAAGGCTGTGGGTCATAGAAGGAAATATGATTTCATTTTTGTAATTGCTACATAAAGTACATAAGAACCAGCATACGGACATTTGACAAAATAAGTGCTGACCAATGTTGTTATTTATCTCTTGCCTTCGTGCTGTCATTTTGGAAATGAATGTGTACTTTTGGTTTTTGTCTGTGTCGATTCTACACAGCTAGTAATGAAGCTTCAGCTGGACAGTTTTAAAGTTTATTTTATTACCCAATTAATACAAATGATTATTTACTAGGAAGTTTTATTTTTCTATTTTATTAACTTCTGTTTTGCTTTTAAGTGCATTTTAGGTTGGTTTATTTTTAGTACTTTTGGTTTGTTTTTTTATTAGTATGTATGCTGCCTATTGTATTTGTTTTTTGTTTGTGTATTCTTTTTTATTTTGAATTTTTTCTATTTTTCAATTTTCATCTATGAGTAGTGAAGCAAAAGGCAGCTGGCTAACTGCACAAGGTTTCTGCAGTTCCTTCTGTTGTGTAATGGAAATTAAGGTTTAATTTCCATCTGTAAAGAAATCTCACTTTAGCCAGCCTTTGAGAGTTTTAGTGTAATGAGTTACCATTCTTCTGATTGTATTTATTCTCCTTTATTTGTGATATACATATGTAATAAAGTATTAATATTTCAAGTATTTTGCTGTGACAGTAGTTTCATGAAATTCATTGTGAATTTTATGAGTAGCTTATGTCACTGTATTCACTAATCCTTTAAGTATGTATATTGTTTGCAGAAAAGAATATGGCTAGTTATTACTAGGTGTTACTTTGTATGGAATGTAATAGAAATAATTTTCTTTCACCTAATGTTTTGTTTAAAATGCAATTTTTATATTTCCAGTACTCGTGGAAATTGATGCATCCAACAGACCATCATCAAAATAAGGAGTGTCCTCAAGAAGCTGAAGAATATGAACGTGTAAGTGACATGGAGTTTTTAAAATTTTTCTGTTTTTTTTTATTAAATCTGATAAATTTTTTTATTATTCTCCAAAGAAAGAGATAGTAACTGATAAACATTCTTAAAAAACATATCTAGCATGTCAAAGTATATGTTCTTTTTGATCTTAACTTTCATGAGTGTACGTTAGGAAGTTAAAATCATCAAAATCACGAGTTGATTGAATTTGAGAATGCAGTGAAGAACAGAATAAAAAGAGAAACTAGTATGATTTTAAATGAAGAGAATTGATACAAACGTAATTTATGAATATAAGTATTGATTCACGGAGAAAAAATTAAAATATCTCAATGTGAAAGAAAAAATATCTCCATTTTATAAAAAGGTATAATAAATTTTATATAAAAATCTATCAGAAGATGTCTTCTCGTTTGTATTTTGTAATTTATAGGATGGTGAAGCTTATAAATAAATCTCAAGTTGCATCTATATCTGAATACGAAATCAAAAAAAAAAAAAAAAAAAGTTATAAGATGTTCAAAGTTTGGTAAATACAGGGTGTTTGTAAATTCATAGGGTATGAAGGAATGGTAGAGCATACTAGAAAAAAATATTTTTCATAATACTGTGTGTAATCAAAACTGAAGTAGAGAGATGCTAACATATGGAATAATCAGAAAATGAAAACCTTTGTGCAGTTAATTTTGCAATAGTTTGCTAAAAAAAATAAATCTAAAGAATGTGCAAGTCTAATACATAGATTGATAGAGATTTTCAAGGATACCATATATCTTGTATGTAGCAAGAGCAAAAGAAAGCATATTTACTAGATTAAACCTTAGCACAGTTGGAAAGTTCCAAATTTGATCTTCACAAATAAGGATCTGGTAATTATGGTCAGAAGAAATCAAGGTTTATGGCCGTAAACAAGACAACTTTAGATCATTCTATCAGCCCTCAGAAGTGATGTCAAATGATTAGTTAATTAAAGAAAATTATTAGTCGAAAGGGGCTTTGTCTCCGAAGAACTATTGTTTTCGTTTTGCGATGAAAACTTTAAAAGGCTGTATCACTTTTCAAATCATTGTCACCAATACTATTGCCCTGCATTATATTTAAAGAAATTAAATAACGAAGAATCCGCATAGATGTATGTATGTGTCTCACATTGTGATAAAACCACTATACCTAGAGCCATCCAATTTTGAATGACATAATCCTACTGCGAATATGGGCATCTGAAAGCCCAAATTTGAAATTTGGAGTTTGTTTTATTATTGATTTCATAATTTGTAAAACTAACGAATTTTTGATTAACAAACTCAACGATTTAAAAGCGAGCAATGGCAACACTGTTTGGGGGGGGACCTTTTTATCTCCAGCGTGCGGATTTGTGTATCAGAAATTCTAAAGGTATGCTCATTTTAAAATTATTTTGTGACGTTGCTATTGAACTGAATTTTATGGTTTAAGTGCAAAGAACATGATATTTAATAAATAAAGGTAACACGCAAAATGTTAAAAAAAGCCCCTTTGTACATAATTTAAAATCTGAAACCTTTCAGATTTTTTTCTGGGGGGGGGAGAAGGGATAAAAATTTACATTTGATAAGTCTCTGTTTTGAGGACATTGTTATTTCTTTATCAGTTTACAGTTATGTAATTATCCTGACTAGGCATTTCCATCTTTTCTAGATATTATAATGTATTTTAAGCTATTTTATTTGAAATTCATTTTTATTACTTTTCTCATTTCAGGCAACTAGGTATAATTATAGTGATGAAGAAAAATTTGGTCTAATAGAGGTAAGATTTAAAAAGTGTCATTATTAGTCTCATTTTCCTGGTACATTCTGAATATTTTGTAAATTTTGTGATCCAACTATATTTGTGATTTAAATACACAAGTGTTTAAAATTTAAGCTACTTTTCCGATTTTGGCCATGATTATGTAAAAAATCAATTAGGAGACATGAAGTTCATACTACAGAGGCACGATGTAGTACCTAAAGGATGAGGAAAATGTAGTAACAAAAAATGAATTACAGTACGGAACAAATAAGAAACGTTTTATTGACAGAATGGCATTGGTACAAAAAATGTCTGTCCAAGAGGAAGAACAACAAACCAAAGAACCTTAGTATGGAATTTGATCTCCTCTAACTGCTGTATTCAACAGTTCTTGGGGAAAGGAAATGTTCTTCAAAGAGCATCTATTTCAGTTATCTGGTGTTCTTGTGAGGGTAAGATTGTGCTGCTAGGTGTCTTCCTAAAGTATTCTAGACATTTTCAAAGGGATTTAAAGAGGGAGCATGCCGGTCAGTCCATTCTGTACATATCTGCACTTTCCAGGAACTTCTCAACAGCATGAGTTCTGTGTGGCCATCCATAAAAATGAAGGCAGGGCCAATGGCATGCTATAAAAGATACACCTGGGGAAGATCAAAGTGGATCATAAATATCAGCTGTTGCTCAGAATCTATCAGACTGAAATGACTCTCATTGGTGAAGAGGATATGACATCATTGACGTGTCCATTCTTTGTGTTCTCTACATCACTGTAAACAATGCTGTCAATGGTATGCAGTAGATGGGATGGCAGGCAATTAGGCCACCTTTATGAAGTTGTCTATCCATAATAAACCAGGACACCTGTTTACTGATTGCTGTGTGCAACTGCTGAGCAATGTTGCCCACTGTCTTGCTTCGATCTTGCCTGCAAAGTGATATATATCGGTCGTCAATGATAGTTGTCTTCTTTGACTAACCACCACCAATCTTTTTTATAGCTGTACCATTTGGAAGGCTTTCCAACCTCATAAAGCAACACTTATCATTTTCACACTCTTGGGTGACAGACATCAAGCCCATCCTCAAGCTTGCCGATCATTCTACCATATATAAAGGTGTCTTGGTGTTTTCTTGCAGCCATTCTACATGTACAATCTCAGTTTCACCTGGAAATGTGCCTTCCTTCCTTTTGAAGTTGCCTTGCACTGTGTGTAGACTCCACATTTTGCATGCCCTGACAATGCTGATATTTGCATATGCAGCACTTTTCAGCTGAGTTAGCTTTTCACTGTACTGACTGCGAAAGTACTTTTTAAATAATTTCATGGTTGTCAGTTGAAAAATGAATTTGTTGCTCAAGTTTTACACACTAATGTATTGAAGTTAATCACTTCTTTAAAGTGTAAACTAATTTTAAAATAGTCGCAATAACTATGTATTTTCATGAATACTTATTAATGTCAGTGTTATTATTTTTTACATTAGGTTATTGCCATGATAAAAGGACTTCAGGTGTTGATGAGCCGTATGGAAACTGTGTTCACTGATGCCATAAGAAGGCATGTGTATGCAGAATTACAGGAATTTGTACAAAGTACCTTACGTGAGCCCTTAAGAAAAGCTGTAAAAAATAAGAAAGATCTTATTCGTAGGTAAGTTTATGATGGAATTTTTTCCCTTTATTTCTTAAATTTTTTGCTTGATTTGCTATAGTATTAACTTAGTAATATATTGAAAAAGAATGCTATTTATATTTAATTATTGTCTGTATATCTGTTTTGTTTTTTATTGGCCACTATGATTAAAAAAATTAGGGTTTTTTTAAAGTTAATTTCTCTTAGAATTTCTTAGTCTTTTCATAAATCATTTATTTATATATTAGTCATGATATTGAATATTTATATTGCTGTAGGAGTAGTTATATTTTGCTGTATTGCTGACAAAAATAGTGGAAGAAACTGATTTATAAGTAATGTGTATTTCAAATTTTATTATTAAAAGGATGAAACACATTATATTTAAAGATTCAGCTACTAGGCTGAGTTTGCCATCAAATATCTGAGAATTATTTCATATCCCTTACTAGAGAATAGGTGAAATGCTTATGCTTTCTATTTTTCAATATAAGAGCTTAAGAAAAATGATTTAAAAGATAGTAGATATGAATATTTTTAAGTCAGAGAAATTAATTTCAGAGTACAAAAAATTTGCATTTACATTGTTTAATACTGCAGGTTCTTTTTTGAAAACCATTTGGTGTCCACAATTGAAATTATTTATGAATGAAAAAGTGATAAGTTTTGAAAGATCTTAAGGTATTGGAGTATATGGCCAGAATTTTTATTCATTTTGTCAGTATGTTACATTCTTCTCTTTGATATAAGACATTTTCTCTTATTTTCTACATTTTTACTCTTTATGTGGCATTTCTAGCTATCCCTAATACTTTTGAATTTAGTGAATTTTGGCAGTGCATTTCATAGATTTATTGACATAAAAAAGAGGTAGTAAAATATGTTAAAATGTTTATACTGGAATCATAAAAATTAAGTATGAGTCAATCAGGTTGCTTTTAGTTAAAGGAAACATATCTCAAAAATGGGAGTGTAATGAGATAATGAAATATATAGTCAAATCTAGATTTAATATATTTCTCAAGAATAATAATAAAATCTGTTGAATCAAGATTATTCATTAAATCAGTAGAGATTTAAGTCTACAAATATGCAACACAAAAATTATGGGTAGTCTTCTGTTATCAGGACTGGATTCAGAAATGTGTGTATATATGTGTTTGTATACACATACACATATTTATGAATCCAGTCCTGTTAACAAAAGAGTACCAAATTATGTATTTGCATCAGCATGAAGATCTCAGTTAAGCAAATGTGTAAAACCTATTTATTATAGTGTAATATGGAAATTTTTTAGAATTACAAATTAATTAATCTTTGAAATAATAAATTTGCTCTTGAAGTTTGTGTTCATTTCCACAATGTACTTTGAATTTGTTTACCAGTTTGTTTGAAAGCTTTAAATATATATATATATATATAATATTTTGGTTAGAAAAAGCATCTGTGAATATGATTTGTGATGTTTCCAGTTTTTTATTAGTATCAAACCCATTATTTTCTTCATTATCACCACATTAAACTCCATATGTCAATATTCTTCACAGTTTATCATAGGAGGTAGGTTGTATTCGATTAAATTTAGTAATATGTATTTGTTAGATAAGTAAATTTGTAATAGATATATATTTGAGTTTGGTCTTCAAAGAAAAAGTACTTTTCAGTTTATCATCATCAGAATTCTAAATAAAAATATGATTAAATCTCTGCTAATGGACATTCCTCATTAACAGATAATTCCTGAATTCCTAGGCCTCTGAATTAGGAGACCAGTTCACTCTCATTTAGGAAACTTTCCCTAATAGCAGACAAAAGTCATAGTCCCATGAGTTATAGCTGATGGGAGTTTTCATTTGATGCTATTTTTATTCTCTGCATTACTATCCCAAACAATAAATATTGGTATTTTTAAAGGATGTTGCTATGTTTTAATTAGGAGTTTAAGTAATGTCTGTGCAGTTATGTTTGAAATTTGATTCTCTTGTCTTTTATAAATTTCTGATAAAAGCATTTATTTTGTAGCATAATTTTATCAGTTCGAGAGACTTGTGCTGACTGGTTAAGAGGAACAGAGCCGCAAGATGACCCAGCTTTAAAAGGCAAAAAGGATCCCGAGAGTGGTTTTGAAATAAAAGTTCCTCGTCGAAACGTTGGTCCATCCAGTACTCAAGTAAACACTCTATATAGTTATGAGCCTCTTTGCATGAGTATTTTACTTTACATATTTAGCTCTGTGTTAAGCCAAATATCTGAAGAATTTTTACATGGGAAATCTGTGTTAAGCCAAATATCTGAAGAATTTTTACATGGGAAATCTCTGTGTTAAGCCAAATATCTGAAGAATTTTTACATGGGAAATCTCTGTGTTAAGCCAAATATCTGAAGAATTTTTACATGGGAAATTATTATGGGCTCGAGGTCTGTTTCAAGCACTCAAATAAACACCCTATATAGTTATGAGCTTTTTACTGTACGTATTTAGCTGTGTGTTAAGCAAAATATCTGAAGAATTTTTTATATGGGAAATTATTATGGGCTCAAGGTCTGTTTCAGGAAGAATAAATTATGTTCATTGTCAGTGTGTGTTGAAATATATTGATGCATATTATTAATGTGTGTCTTAGATTAAGATTTTTTTTTTTTCTTTTTGGCTTAATGAGACTAAGAACTTTCAGTCCTGAAAATCATGAATCATATTTGACTAGATTTTGCTTTGACTTAGGCTGCGTTATAGTAATGTGTCTATACATTTGTGTGTGTATTAAAAATTAAATTTACTCTTAAAAGAATTTTTTTTTATATATCATCTCCAAGGACCATAAATTTAATTAACGTGGTGAATTATTGGAATCAATTTGAGTCAATAAATTAAGTGTAAGTTATTTAGATTTCTATTGTAATAAAAATATTTTAATACGCTGTATAGAAATGTTCTTTTAAACTGAAAAATTCTAAATAGTAAAATTAAAAAGTAGAATTTAAAGTACTAAAATGATAGCCATTGTTATTGACTGTAGATTAATTGACATTTCAAAGGGAACAAACCAATCCACTATCAATTAACATTAACAGAATTAAGTGAGAGTGTTTTGTCTTTTTTCCTAGTAAGGATCAAATTAGTTAATTTGCTAGAATTAAATCATAAGCTACAAATAAAACTCAAAAATGAGAAAGATAATTAGTCTGCTTGAAACAAAAAGAAAAATGAGTAAGATTTTCTTTTTAATTTAAGGTACATGTTTAGAGCTGAACTGAGATCCTCACTTTAGGAAAAACATTCCCCGACACTCTCACAAAAATCAAAATACAAATCGATTCCAGAATGAAAATTTAACTTAATTGTTTGCAGAATTTGAAACGAAATGGCTGTAACTAAAAATGTACTCAGTCGTGAAATTTAATGAGAGAAATTAGTGGTTGATGACGTGTTGTGCTCTATTTGAGATACTGAAACCATGAAGTTGTTGGAGACTAGTTTCTTAGAAAAATTTTTTATCGAAGAGAAGAAATTGATCTATTTCTGGCTAATAGCCTAAAAAGCATAAAGAAGGAGGTATCTTCACTGGTAAAGGGGTATTTACCAGAGTGAGGAATATGAAATAGGCACATTAGTTAGTAAAAGAATAGACAAATATGCCCAAAAAAACTTGTAATTTACATTATGTACAAAATTTACAAATCTTTAACTAACAGACATCCAACTTATTCCACCTTTTGCAGATTTAGGAATAAATTATCATAACCTTGTCAACATTATCATAACTTATTAGTTCAAATTATTTTTAAGAACTTGAATAAGTATTAATATCTCGTTTTGAATATCTAGTGTATCGGTATAAATATTTTTTATTCGTTGCAATTGACTAGTGACTGTGTTACTAATTACTCTTCTGGAAATGCTTGAAGTTCAATTAATTTATTAGTTGTAAATTTGAAGTTCCTGGTTTTGCCATAGAATTTAATCTGTGTTTAGTTAACTATTTGGAGATCTGGAAATTTGATAATGTTTTACAAAGAATTAGTTTTATTAATGAATAAGGCTTTTGGAATAAGTTTGCAAATTTTCTGTTTTGTTAAAATTATTAAAAGGGGTGTAATTATGAATGTACCTGAACAGAATACCTTGAAATTGTTCAGTTAAACACAGCTTCCTGAAACCTCAAAATGACTGGTTCAAAAACACATTATAGTACATTGTGATCATGTGCTGTACTACTGAACAGTGTTTTTATTTTGGTTTCTTTGTGAGCTTATTGCCTTTGATAGCAGATACTAGATATCTTCACCATTAAATTATACATTTTATAAGCATGCTTAGTTAAGTATGTCAAAATCTTCTGTTTGCATCATGTCAGTATTAAAGAAAGTTTTGGAACCCTTTTTTAATTATCTGTTTTCATAACAGGCTTTGAAAATGCTTTCTGTTAGTCTGATATCATTATCCTGCATGTAGACAATTTTTTTCATAGAGATGAAAATTTCCAGACGGAAGAAATTGCTTTTCCCCCCTCTCAGTTTTGTAACTGTGAGCAGCACTTTCAACTGTGGCTTCAACTTTAAACTTTTATATTGTAGTAAATACATCCATGATTCTTTCCATAATAATAACAATTGTTATAATAATGAAGTATGTGTAATCCAGTGCAAGCTTTTGTGAAGGGAAAAAATGAGAATTATGTTTGAAGAACAAGTTGCGTGTTAATGATTATGATTTCTTACATACAGTATTCATTCATTTCAATATTTTTATATGTAAAAGTTTGTACACTAAGCACACTTTGTATGTTGTGAATCAAATGCATGATTTAATTTTGTATTATTTATTATATCAAATCATAAAATATTGAATTATTTTGTAGATATACACATAAATATATATATGTATATAATATTTTTCTTTTATTACTAATTATTTTGTCATATGGAGTATAATTATGCATGTAATTTTGGTACTTTTCCGTTTCGCTGGCGCAAATCTCGCCAAGCAGACTGTTGGCGATAACATACAGTATACACATAAAAAATGTTAACTCTAAGAATTTTTTTTTTATTTTGAAGGCATAAACATTTTAATATGGTTTAAAATTTTGTAAAAAGCCAATAAATAAAGACAATAAATTTGTAAAAAGACATTAATTTAAGAATTTACTATGATTTCATGGTTCAAAATCCTGATTCGCCGGTTCGTATCACGTGACCCCAAGTGATCTCATCTCACGTAAACTACGCTACTAAAATATAATTCGCTCAGTAATTATCTACATTAATTTCAAGTTAAATCTTAATTTGGATACAAGTTTAAATGCAAGAATTATTTCAATTCGTATGAATAGCTTACTCAGAAATTATGTAAAACCGCAGTGCTTTACTTCGCTAGTGCATTCTCATTAGAATTGATGAATTTAACACTTGATTTCGCCTTCGGATGAGCGGTGTAATTGCGTTCTAATTGACTTAATTACCGTGAATTGTCTTAGGGGATAAAATTTAAATATCGTGTAAAAATTCTATATTATTGTATGCCAGTATTCAAAGAAACAATCTGATAAGAAATGGCTTCAACTTGTTTTGAAACTGAGGCGTTACCAGCGAAGATATTCCGTCTGGCATCAGTTAAACCATTATTGGCGACTTTATCGTTTGCGCCGGCAAAACGGAAAAGTACCGTAATTTTTTATCTGGTATTGTTTTTTATGTTTTAAAAAGTAGAGTTTTTAATTACTTTATTTTTTTTAATAGTTGTATATGGTCAGAACAATGTTAGAATCTTTAATTGCTGATAAAAGTGGTGGTAAAAGAACCCTTCGAAAAGATATTGATGGCCCTTATTTAATAGCAATAGATGTCTTCCACAAAGCATCATTTTACTGGAACTACTTATTAAACTTCAGTCGTAAGTTTCTTTATACTTAACCTCTCCAATCTCGAATAAACAATTTCCATGTGTTTTTATGTTCATCACCTGATCACTATGTTAGCTTAGACAGTTTAAAATATATATATATATATATTTAAATATATATTGTTACCAGAGTTATTTATACTTCAGAAACTGGAGTATACTAAAACTCTGGAAATTTGTTTGTACCTAATTGTGTGTAACATGTATATCCTTTCATGAAGGGAGACAGCCCTCTTGAACATTTTCTGCCATATTTGAATAACTTAGTCAGTACAAGAGCTTTTGAAAGCATGGTTTGTGATCTGATATAGAGTCGCATGGCTAAATTTGAGCCTTGCTGGAATCTTAGAAAAACTTAAAAATTCTGGTTGGTCATTGACCAGAATTTAATTCGCAACCAATCTGGAAACATTACATTTATTGTACACCGGTGAGTTAATGCTGTTTACATCAGCCCATCAACTGTGACTGGTCACTGTACCTCCACTGACTACAGCCCTGAAACAAATGCCATCCTTGTTTTTGAGAAGCTGGTCTTCTACTGTTGGATTCTGTTCTTGCCTCCACCTTTCGCACTTCAAACTACTGTACATTTTGAAGTATAGTGTTTTATCGTAAAATTTTTCTATTGTTATTTATTGGCAAGTAGCTACAAAATTAACAAGTCCTTTGAATGTTTCATCTATATAAAATGCTTTCCTTCCAGAGTTAACTGTTGTAAATAGGAACAATAATAAGAAAATGTTGAAAACTTGGCTGCTTTTTTTTATTTATTTTTTTTTTAAATTATGAAGCTATAATATATTCCATTAATAATAAATCGTGTGTTTTTAAAAAATATATAGTTTCTGTATTATTTTTAAAATAAAGGATAAATATTGCTAATGACACACACACACAAACAAGTTGATTCGCTACCAAGCCAACAAACTGGCAGGTTGTGTACGGGGTACAGGGACAACTTGGAATCACAGAGGAATGCAGGGTCACAAATGCTATAGTTTCGAGCTGTGTTGCAAAGAAGCAGAGAGAAAGAACAGAAACAGCAACACATTATTGGGACATAAAGCATTTTATTGAAAGGTTGTACTACAACATGTGTTCAAAATTAGACCAGAAAATCAACAGACAGGCCTGACAATGGTGCTGAATGGAGTTCCTTATGTTCTGGAAGATTCCTTTCAGTATATAGCACTGAATTCAAGGTTGCATGAACAGCGATCCTGCTGGAAGTCATCATTTGTGATCCGTCTTCAGAGGTAGTAAGATGAATGCATATTCAAATGACAAACTGTTCAGCATGCTGATCATGTATGGAGCTGCGGATTGTAATGAGCAAATGCCGCCCGGCAGTTGTACCAGGAACGTTACTCAAAATGGCATGCTCCACATCACATAACCTTCACAAGTGTGAGCAGATGGTTACATGAGACTAGTTGTTTAATGAGAGCTACAATGAATCGACAGCAAACAATGAGGACACTGCCAGGTGTGAGGGGGCGATTTTACATCTGGCAGAAGACAACCCAAGTACGAGTACTCGAGCGATAGCCCAACATGTAGTTTTATCTCAAACCATTGCCTGGAGGACACTTGCAGCAAACCAAATGAGTGCATACCATTTTCATCATGTTCAATTATTAGAGCCTGAGGATTATCCACTCTCTGGAGGATGTTTGCTACATGGTTTCTGCAACAATACTACAGACAGTATTTGCTGCACCCATATTTGTCATGTGTGAAGTAAGCTTCATTCAGCATAATGCCCATGTGTGGACTTTGGAGAACCCTTAACGTACGCAGCCACAAGTAGCTCAAGAACATTTCTCGGTCAGTGTTTGCACCAGCATTCTTGGAGACTACGTCATTGGACCATACCTTCTGCCCAGTCCTTTGGACGATAGGGCATACCTGATCTTGCAACAACTTCTTGACGCAGCACATGTTCCTCTGATACCTTCAGCACATTCCGATATGTGACATGCCAGGAATCCTCCAGAATGTAGACTTCTGGTCGTACTTTCAAGTACCTGTTGTACAACCTTTCAATAAAATGTTTTCTGTCCCATTAATGTGTTGCTGTTTCTGTTCTTTTTCTCTGCTGCTTTTCACCATAGCTCACAACTATGGCATTTTCGACCTTGCATTTCTGTGCGATTTCTAGTCATCTCTGTACCACACACTCCAAGTTTCTTGGTCTCATAGCGAATCACCCTGTATATTACATATATATATATTGTGTCACTTTTTATTTTAGTTATGTTACATTTCCAAATGTAAATAATAACCATAAGCAAAATTAATTTTGCAAAAATACATAAATAAATAAAAATAAAAACCCAATTATTATGGTATTTATTATTTTTAATTTAATCCTATTGTTTATATTTTACAAAATTTTTTTGTTAATAAGAATCTAAATTTAATTTGAAAGGCTAAAAATTGTGATGACACTGCTGCAGATTCCTTGCTAGCTGACTGTAATACTCAGAAAGTGGGGCCTTAACCAAAAAAAAAAGAAAAGAAACTTAATGTGATAGTTCATTTTTGTTGCATGGATTTTCTTATGTCAATCTGTATGATATGGAAACTGCCTTTTTTAATGTTAGCATAAATAAATATAGTTGTATTGAAGTTTTGGCTGCTGAGAGCATGAAACCATCCCAAACTAAAATATCTTAATACCAGGTACGTAACAGACTGCAACAAACCTGTAAGAAGGAATGCTTAGAATGGCTTCTGAAAGCTTCAAGCAATAGAGAACAAACAGCATTTTGAGAAATTTGTTTCTAATTAACAAAAGATGTTTACTTCTGTCTTCTAAAACTTTATTTAATTATGAAAAATAAAAAGTTTATGAAACTGGTAATGATAATTGCAGTAGTTTATTACTAGGCTTAGGAACAGCCCAAAGTTTAAGTTCATTTGGATGAAATAACATATTTCTAACTTGGCAAAATTGTTCATTTGTGTAAGATAAATAAAATACAAATGAAGAACTATTGTCTTGTCATCCTTTGGCAGTATGCACAATGAAGGACATTTAAAGTAGGTGAATATCTCTCAAATGAGGATTTACAGTGGAATGGTCTGTACACACAATCCTGGGTAAATGATGGATGAGAATGATGGACTTTATTAAAAATTAAAGCTGATAGCAACTAGTTATAATATGCTTTGGTAGGGTTGCTATACGAATAAATAGTTAAGGAAATTCTGTAACCTCCGCTGTTAAAAAGATTATTTGAAATTTTAAAAAATATATATATCATTTTTGAGTATTATGTTATATTGGTAGGGTGATCAGACTGCCCATTGCTGATGCTGTAGGTATAGACACATGTAAATCTGAAATTAAAAGCATTGTTTAATTTTGATGTGTTTAATTTGATTGTTACAGGATATATAATGTCATATCCTCCCCTGCATTGCCTAAATTTTTACATGCATGCTGACTTTATTTAATTAAAAAGGCTATAAAATGATAACGGATGCTTGCTTTCTGTAATTAATTGTTATCTCATTTCATTGCAATTTTATGACAAGTTTTAGAATACCATGAAGAAATTTTATATTTTCTTTTAGAAACGCTACAAGAATGCTGTGATTTATCCCAGTTGTGGTATCGAGAGTTTTACCTTGAGATGACTATGGGAAAAAAGATTCAGGTAAGGCATTGTGATAAAATCTTTTTAGATGTTTAAATTGCTAAGACACATGAGAAATAGCAATTAAACTTTGGACTTCATTATTTTATTCCAAAATTAAGTTCATTGAAATCTCCTATGTACTGAAAAAAAAAGAAAGAGGGAGAGAGTGCTGGGAGTTTTATTTATTTATTTTAAAGTTACTTTAACCATATGCTTTCATTTGCAAGACTTCTTTAGATAAAGTACAGATTTTTTTTAATAAATTTAATTTGTGCCTGGGTACTGCATGGGGCAATAATATTTTGCACAGCTCTCATTAATTTCTGTGATTAAACTATATATTATGTTTTAACAGAATCCATACCTTTATATACAAGATGCACTAAAATACATATGATAAAGGGGGCAAATTTATTAAGAAAAGACTGTGTGCAAATTCAGTAACAAATGCTGTTTTGCTCCAGATGGAACCATTTTTACCAAAAATGCCATGTCTGTTATAACTTTCTTCTGGAAATTTTTAATTATGCATCTAAATTGGCTTGGAAAAATCATCTAAATCAGTATATTTGCTTGTGACGGTTTTGGCATAGATCTTTATATTAAAAGTGATATATATACAGGGTTGCCATGCTATTTGGAAAACCGGTAAGAGTCAGGGAATTTAAATATTTGGGCAGATTTTAATTTCAGTCCTCAGTGGGGAATACAACTATTATAGTTATATTAATAATGCTTTGGCGATATATATGTAATAAAAACTGCTGTATTAGATGTAATAAAATTGTGCTTATATTGAAATAAAACTGCGTTATTTTTGAAATAAGATGACTTGGAGAGAGTTGCAATGGCTTGGTGGCAGTTCTCTGCATCATAACTTGAAGACTTTGCTGCATAGTTAGAACAATTGATGCACAAACCAAGAAACTTGTAGACATGGCCTAAATTCCACAAATAATTTTATTTCTTCAATAATGCACATTATCACTGTGGGTGCGCTATGCACCCCACAGTTATGTTCAGCTTATATCCTAAACAATGGACAAATTTACAGAAATAAACTTTGTGTAGCTAGCGACACAGCGGAAAATAGCGGAAGAGATGAGCAAAGAGAAGAAGAGAGAGTTGCGATGTAATTAAGCTTTTATACAAATTCCATTTCAGAGCACATGACAATTTGGGTTCAGATTTTATTGGTAAGTGCACATCAGATCTGCAGGAAGAAAAATTTATTGCTGTTATTTTTAGAATGAAACAGAAGTTAAAGGGCTATTAATTTATTATTTGAAAGCTAGATTTTATATATTAGACACACACACACACATATATATATATAAGTCAGTAACCAAGTTTTTCACAAAGACCAAAAATTGAAATTCATAAGTAATAAATTTCAAATAATCCTATATGTTGCAATAAAGAATTCAATAAATGTTAAAAACCAAAACTTCAAACAAGCAATATCCCAATTTAAAAAAAAATCAATGAAATTTTAAGAAGCATAATACAAGAGAAATTCAAGAGAACTTCAGTGCCACTTTGTCAGAAGGAGGAGCATTGAAATCTCCCTTCCACAAAAATTCTTGCTTTTCGGTATCCAGAATTAGCTGAATTATAATAGTTCATTCAAAAATTCTGGCACTTTTTTGTAATTTCCTCTGGTACCTTTTTGCATTTTTTTACTAAAAAGATTGAATTGTTCATGTACAGTAGCGTAAAAGGCAGATTTACTATTAATAGAAGAGTTTAATCCATATGGTTGAGGGTTCTTAATTACAAAACATATAGAGATTCCTAAAAAAGACTGTTTTTAAGGACTAAATTATAGAGATTCCTAAAAAAGTTTGTTTTTATGGACTAAATTAAAAAAAAAGTAATTATGAAATATATATAAGTCTTATGTAATTGGCAAATTTTGGTGTTTTTAAGTGTTACCCTAATTAATTTACCCTCGGCACAGCAATGTGTACTATGTAGATAGTCTGGAATGTTCTTAAAACGCACCTGGAAAAGTTGGGGAATTTCATTCTTCTGTTTGAGTGGCAACCCTGTATACACTGGTGTGCAAAAATTAAGGATGAGACGGTTTTTTCAATATAACTTTGTACAAAAGCTTTCCAAATCAACACATTTAATACCGTAAGATCCCCAATACGTAAGGACATGAGTAACGTAAGCAACACTTACTAAAAGAGAAATTAGAGGGATAAAAAGAAGCTTTATTGAAAAAGTAGCATGGAGCGCAATGCGACTGAAGGCCGAAACATCCCTGTGATGGGTGTCCAGCAAGAAATATCCTGTCTTTAATAGGGAATATGATCTCCCCCTGACTGCTAGGCAGGTTTCACAGCGTCTGCCCATGCTGAGAATGAGGGTGTCAATGAGTTGTTGAGGCATTGCTGCCCATTCATTTTGCAGCACCAATCGAAGCTCCAGAATCGTTACTGGTGGTAAGGTACGAGCTGCCAAGCGTCTGCCTAGAAAATCCCATACATGCTCGATGGGATTGAGATCCGGAAATCGTGCCGGCCAATCCATACATTCAATATCCTCACTCTCTAAGAGCTGTTTGGCAATTGTCGTCCATGAAAAGGAACTGCGGACCCATAGCGCCTCTAAAAAAGACGCACATATGGAAGAAGAATCTCGTTACAATAACGGGTCCCAGTGACTGAACCTGCGTCGAAGATGTGAAGGTCTGTACGACTACCAAGCATGATGCCTCTCCAAACGAGAACACCGCCACCTCCATACCTGTCCCTTTCAGTGATGTCCGATGGATGATTGCGACTTCCCCGCTCTCTCCAGATGAGTATGCGATGAGAATCGCTACTCAGACTGAATATGCACTCATCTGTAAAGAGTACTCGTCCCCATTCATTGTCTTTCCAATTCCGGTGTTCCCGGCACCACAGTGAATGCCTTCTCCGATGGGCAGGCATTAGAGGTACACACTATACAGGGGCGTCGTGCAAACAGACCACCACTGTGCAGTCTTCTGGCCACTGTAAAACGTGATATTGGTCGTCCAATCACCTGTATCGTGTGTCTAGCGATTTCTCCCGCTGTCAGCCGCCTGTTTCTTCTGGCCTGTAAGGCAATATACCGATCATCTGCGGGTGTGGTTCCTCGTGGACGACCACTACTAAACCCCCGGATAGCTGTTCCTGTAGTTTGAAATTGTCTCCAAAGTCGTGAAACGATGCTGTGAGCAATTCCGAACTCTGCAGCCACACTTGTCACACTGCGGCCTTCCTCCAACTTCCCAATGATTCGACCTCTGGTAAAAGCATCCAGATGTTGTCTAACAGATTGATTATTTGCCATTTCTCACTGAGGCAGCAACTCGGTGTGATTTTAACTGCTATACGGCGTGCAATCTCTTTGCCAGAAATACTGATCTTGACAACATGCTTTATACTACTCAGACACTCCCCCATTACGTCTACCTGCATATCTGCGCATGTGCTACCGTACATCACCTTACTTAATCTCCTGATTTGTCTTTCTGTCCACTCTGTCTCTTTGTTCAGCTGATATGCTAATTTTTCGACTTCGTCCTTAAATTTTGCACACCAGTGTATATATGATATTTGAACATCTGAAAGGAGGCTTATTGCCTAAGTGTGATATGCAGCCCATTTTACAAACTATCTATAATTCAGTTTTTAATAAAAAAATTATATTGAAAATTTCTAGTCTTAAATAGATTTTGTGACATGTCATAGGAAATACTGTAGTCAGTTAAATATTCCCAGTTTGCAGCAATTTCGCTTACAAATCATTGCAGTGTTTGTATGTTTTTTTATTCCCAAGCTATTTGTAAGTGTTCCCATATGCTAACAATTGCTCTGAAAGGAGAAAGAAAAAGAAATATCAAAAATGCATCTGTTACTCCCAAGAAGTGTCTAATGATGAAATAAAAGTTATTAACTAATTGTTAATAATTATATCATTATACAGGGTGTTTCCAAATTCGCCTGAAAAATTCATAGGAATAATAGTAGTCATCAAGAGGATGAAAAATTACTGTAGAACGTGGAATCGCAAACCACATTTAGTAGGTGAAAATTGCAAAAATAGACATCGAGAGGACATTGAGACTGGTGAAGAGAAGTGGCCAAACAAATCCATGGGTTAGGCGCACTGTGATCGAGAGGAAGAAACATTTTTGTATGCAAATTTCCAATGTGTTTGGGGGGAAAAGCAGTGAACAAATATTATTTGGCATTTCAGAATTCAGGAGTTTTAGTCTTTGTTCGGAAACATATCCGATTATGTGAACGAGAAATAAGCATCTGATTTATGGCCTAGCAGGAGGCAATGAATGCCTAGTACAGAGGGCATACAAATAGCAATATCCAAGGAGGCTTTGTCTGCATCATATCACCTTCAGAAACATCGATTGACAGCTCCAGAAGACTAGATTCTTCCAAAAATTGAGGCGTAACGCTGGGCAAAAATGTGGTGTGTGCACATTTGAAACAGAAAACCGACTATTGCAGTGGTTTGCCATTTCTCTATCGACTGGAACATGATCGATTGCTACTAAACTGGGTATTGGTCATAAAATGGTTGGAAGTTCTACATACGGAAAACATACACCTTTTCCTTATGTTGAAGGTCCAACTCCTAGGTGATGCCGACTACTGCCTTCTGGTAGAGTTGGTATGCTGGATGTTTGATGCCACACAAAATGATTCACAGTTTCCCACCTTTGTTTTATTCTCAGATGAAGCCTGCTTTACGAGAAAAGGCATGGTGAAACATGCACAGTTTACATATGAGTTGTCTGAAAATCCCCACAGCATTGTGTTACCCAAAGTTTGGAACAAATGTCTGGGTAGGGATTCTCAGAGAACATTTGTTGGAACTGAACCTTCTTCCCAAATGCCTCAATAGCACAAATTACCTTGTTTCCCTACAGCATATCCTCCTGGATTTGATGCAGCGAATGCTGGCCACTGTATGCTAAGAGATGTAGTTTATGCATGATGATGCACCAGCACATTTTGCTATTGCAGTTTTGTAACCACCTCCATGATACTATCCCGGAGAAAGGTTTGGAAAGGATTGGATGCTATGCACCTGTTGCTTGGCTTCCACACTGCCCAGCTCTCAATCCATTGGATTTCTTGCAGTTACACTGGAGGATCTGACAGCACATCACCAGCACGTCGGGTATGTTTGAATTGTCAGGTAATACTTCGTCCAGTATCAGCTGTGCAATGACATTCATTGCCACAACTTCAAAAATTCTTATAAAACTCTCTTGTCATCTCTTTTCTGACTTTGAGCTGTCATGCATTGTAATCCTGCTTTACATCAAATACGTTTTTCTACTTATTATGGGCCCCCCTTTTTTTCCCATTTGACATAACACCCTTCATAACTATTTTTACGATTTTCTCCTACTAAATGTGATTTGCGACTATGTCATGTTTTATGTCAGTTTTTCATCCTCTTGGTGCCAACTATCACCTCTATGAATTTGTTAGCTGAATTCAGAAACACCCTATACATAGAGAGTACGAAGTCTGAAATTCAGATGCCCAATTATTGGAATAATATAATATCTGGACCTCCAGACCTCTAACAACTTTTGTTTTATTAAAAAATTCTTTTTTGCATGCTTTATTCATTCGTATTTGATGTTATTCAAAACATGTGAAGAGTCCCAATTTTTAATTTTGCTTCAGTACTAAATAATGTACCTCCATTTAAAAGAAGCAATCATTTATTTGCATAAATCTGTCTCCTTAATCAACTTTTTGCATAGCATACATCTCAAACAAAAACATTGTTGATTTTAAATTTACAGAATAATATACATGGCGTCCGAATCAAATGTACCTAATTTGGGGAGGTCAATCTACTTAAAGTTTAAAAGCATAAGAAAACTGCAAAATTAGGTACCAATACTCACAAAATTTTTATTAAACATTTTGTACAATTCCACGTGAGCTCCCAAGTAGCCCTGAGAATATCCAGCTGGTAGTCCTGTTCCAGCCGGTTGTCTAATCGTAGCATTTCCAGAGATACAGTAGCAATAGTCGCAGTTATAATAGCATGAAGATCTTCAATATCATGGATGTTCCTTGAGTAGACTTTGTCTTTCACATAACCCCCAAAAGAAAAAATCGAGAGGAGTCATGTCAGATCTTGATGGCCAGGCAACTGGGCCACCACATTCTATCCATCGTTTAAGGAAAGTTGTATCTAAAAATGCATGAACATGCTTGCCCCAGCTTGTTGGAGGATAACAGTGGGTTCTAAATGCTGCATTTGGGGTATTGCTTAAATTTGTAACATGTCCAGGTAAATGCTTGCAGTCGCAGACGTCTCATCAAAGAAAAATGGTCTTGTGACTTATGTGATAGAGCACACCAGATATTGATTTTTAGGCTGCTCCATTCCAGTTCATATAGTGAATGGGGGATTTTCTGAGCCCTGAAATGCAGCTTCATCTGAAAAAAGATGTGGTTTAGAAAATCGTGTTCATTTTCGATGCAAGATAACATCTTCACAGCAATTGCTGCAGGCTGCGGCCCATCATTTGGTTGCAGTTTCTGGACAATTTGCATTTTATATGCATGCATCCTTAGTTTTTGATGCAGCACATCATGAATAGTTGATCATGACACAGATAATTCAGAAGTTGCCTGCGTGATTGACTGGCAAAGGCTTCGAATAAAAGCTTTTCGAACATCTTCCACATGTGAATCGGAATTTAAACGTTGATCACCTCCGCATCTTTTCCGCACACTTTCTGTTTCGAGAAATGTATTGTGCCACTTTTTTATGCTCTTAGCCTGGGTTGGATTTCTTTTATAAAATGTTTGAAACATTCTTTGCATTTGTAACTATGGATTTGTGTTCTGCATGCCAGAGAATTGTTTGTGTCTTCTCTTTCAGTGATGCCATTTTTCCATTTGTCAGCTTAGCAAAAGCGCAGGTGCGTCAGACGCGAGAAAAAAGTATTGTCACCGAACTATACAAATTCAGCTCCCACATGTGGTCAATATCACCCTCATAGCATTAAAACTTTGTTTTTAATCGACTGTTCAAAATAGGTACATTTGATTCGGACACCCTATATATCCCTGACATCAAACTGGTGAGTCATTATTTTTTATTTTTTGCTTTACCCGTGTCTATCAACACACAGCAGCTTGAGAAATACAACACATAGCAATGTCTAAACAATTTTTTTCAAATCTTAATAATTGAATCCGAAAAGCATAATAACCTTCTACGTTGGGATTACACTTGGCGATGTTTACAGACTTCAGCCAACTGCATTATGAAGTATTGAGTGCATTGATGAGGAAAAATTTAGCATATATTTCTTTCCATTTGCAAAAAACTGATTTTGTAAATGATATTCATAGGCCAAAAGATTACATTTTGTACTGTTTGAATTGGGAATAACTGATAAAGAGGACTAGTCCTCGGGCGGATGCAGCCATAAGAGGAGGCAAAATTTTTAGAAGCACCAAGCAACAAAATTAAGGGAAGGCATAATCTTTAAAATTTAGGGAAAGCACTGGGACACAAAATTTAGGAGCAGCAAAATTTTTAGAATTTGGAGAGGCACTTGGCATCAGAATTCAGGACCCACAAAGACTGCATTAGACCACAAAATATCTTGTTCTGGCCCTGGCAGTTTGTCTTAAGTATATGTGTGAATTGATTTATTTGGGATTGAATTAAGCATTAAGCATGTGTGGGAAATAGGTGTAAGTATAATAAATAACTGAATTAATATTATAATCCAGGCATAATTTGTCAATGGATGAAAGAAGCAAGACGGTATTTAGCAAAACAACATGTTTTTAACCTCATGATACATCGTCAACAGTGTATAGCAGATGCTGCTTAAGGTTAATAATGATAGCCACAAATGGATATTTGGGATATTGCAGACAAAAGGCAAAATTTTTCAATTTATAGAATTTCTGAGTAAATTTGAAGAAGTAATAAATATTATAACGGAAGTTTTTCATTGCAATAGCAGTGCTTCAGTCAACTAACTGATGGTGAAATCTATGATGTGTGGTTCTAAATCCAGGAATATCGCTACTGATAGTGAAGAAAGTGACAGAGGTTTTCCTGAAGACAAAAAATTTCAAAAAGTGTCTGCGATAATGTAAACAAATGAAGGGCGATCTTTTTTTTTTTTGTTTTTTTTTTGTAAATTTGATTCCTTTAAGGTCGTAAATTCCTTATTCTTTCATAAATCACTATTAATATTTTTATTTTTATAATTTCTACATGCCATCTTACTAGATTTAAACTGATGATCTAATATCCAGAAAAATTCCAAATCCAGAATCCCCAGAGTCCTGCTGAATCCAGATCTTGGACTTTGTAATGTATGTGTAAATGTGTAACTGAACAAAATCTTCAGAACTTTTCACGATCCACCAAATAATGTCTTATGACTTGCACTTTGATGGTTGCATTACTCTGATCAGATTAAGTTAAAAATTTATCTGTTCCCTACATTGTAATATAAAATTATTCTTAGGTATCCAGTTTTTCAAGAGCTACAAACCATAAGCATTATTTTGAAGAAATATATATTTGTCCTCCCCCCAAAAAATGTCATTACAAATTGTCATTGCTTTAGTTAAATTTTAATTTGCATCTTTTAGGAATGTCTTTAAAATCAAGTTTTCTGAATCTTACATTTTACTTGAACTTTTAGACTACAGTACAAAGTCCGTAATCTGGACTTGTTGGGACTTTAGCGATTCCGGATTAAGGGTTTTTCCGGATTATAGATCATCAATTTAAATCTGGTAAGATGGCATGCAGAAATTAATACAATTTAAAATATGGAACCGTAATTTATGAAATAAAGACCAATTATGATCAAAAGAGTATCAAAATTTGCAAAAAAAAAAAAAAAAAAGGAAAAAAAAGCTTAATATTTATTAGTTTACTTTATTAGACATTTCTTTCAATGTAAGTTGTTTAAGATGCTTAATTTTTTGTGCTAAACGCACATGCGTAAAGCATACACACACACACACACACACACAAAAAAAAAAAATTGTGGCTTTGAGGTCCAGATTATAGATCATTCTGGATAATGGATGTCTGGATTACAGACTTGTACTGTATTATAAAATCTGTAATTGAGTGCATTTTTTAACCCAAGTTTCTTAAATTGTTATTTCTATAATGCATTTAATATCAATTATTTTATTTTACATGGTTTCTCAATTGCTATGAAGAAAATCTTTTCCACTAAAGAATCTAAATATAAGTGATAGAACACTGTCTTTGAAAAAAGTATTTTATGAAATAAACAGTATTCTTTTATATTTACAAAGTGATAAAAATTTTAGGCTAGATTAACTTGCAATAATTCCTGCTAATAATAATAATGCACAGAAGCAAATAAATATAACTATTATTATATCTTTTGTAGGGAGCAGATTTTTTTTTTCAGAATGGATACTATTCAACACAGAAATGAAAACAATCATTATAATAAGTATTTATTTTGTGTTTTTGATGACATCTTTTTTCTCCTCTTACATTTTTTGCTGCTCATAATTAGTTGAATCGAGATGATTATTTGCTTTTTTAATCATTTTACACCTCTGTGATTTGCCAATTACAGAAGACAAAATATGCTGCTATTCATCATTTTCGGGCTTGTGGATGATGGTTGTAGCAATATATAGATTTACTCATCAGTTGGCGGAATTTCTGTTGATTAACAGAGAAGTGCCGAATGCTTAATTTTAATGAATTGTTATTTTTATCTTATAATCATTTCAAGAATGTTGTTTTGTTCAAATAATCCTTCGAGTGAATGAACTGATTTTGTCTGAATGAAAAGATTTTTTTTAATATCATGCATATGCTATTTGCATATTTGATAACTCTTTTTAGTTTCCAATCGAAATGTCTTTGCCATGGATTCTGACTGATCATATCCTTAATACCAAAGATTCTTCAATGATGGAGTGAGTTTCAGTGTTGTTTTCTATTAATTCTTATACCTACTAATTCTGATTTAATATTATTGCTATTTTGAGAATTTTAATTGCATGAAATTGAATTAATATTTTAATAAATATCCATTAAAATTTCTCAGATGTAGCTGTTACATTGTTTTATTGAGAATCTGGTATTTTTTTTTTTTTTTTTTTTAATTCTACTGAAATGTGGAAACAAAAATTTGATATGAAAACTGTGAAACTGTTTTGAAATCTCATATTCTTACATTTTAAAATAATTCTTAGTTCCTTCCTATCAATAAGCTTTTCAGTTGTATATCAAAAATGAAACTAAATTTGATATTTATTTCAACAACAGATTTTTTTAGCACTATTTGTGCACTGAATTTATTAGTTTCTTGCAGGGAAAAACTTGCATTAGTTTTCCACTCTTTAGCAGAACTGTTTGCCTGAATTAAATGAACAGCTACTGAAAGAATATTTATATAATTTTAATCAAATGTATGGATTGGATTTTGCTGTTTATGCTGACAAATTTTTTTTCCCTAGAAAAGATGTATAGATATATTGTTTGCCATATCATTCAAAATATTTAAAGTTACATCCATGTGATATAATATATGAGGTACACTCTACTTCCATTTTGTGATTCAGCATCTTTTGCACTCTAAAGTATGTGTGAAAGCTCAGCTAAAATCAAATACAAAGTGATACTTATTTAAAGTGATATAAACAAGCAATTGTTGAGTTAGTGACAGAAGTGTCTTTCTTAGTCGAGTCTGCAAATGAAGCTTTACATTGACTTGTACTGAAATAAAGGGATTAGGAATTTTTCTTTGGTTTGATCTCCCCCAAATTGAACAAAGAAAGTGAAACTGGATTTTCCTTCCCCCTTTTTTTCCCAATATGAAAAGTAAAGCTATCTCTTTTAGTTGTAATATATACATTCCATAGTAATTGCATCAGGAAAGAATAAGAAATTGGTTAAACTACTTGAAAATAACAATTCAGTTTTTGAATGTAGAGTAGTGGTAAAAGCCAGAATTGAGGAATATCTACATAGGATTTGACAAGTGATTTTTTTGGGGATGGGTGTTCCTTGCATTCTTGTTTTGCATAGTGGAGGGAAGAAATGGTATTTGATAGTAGAACTTGGAGAGATAAAAATATTTCTGATGCAGCATGCAGCTCCGCAACAAATTCTCTTTAAAGACTGTATAGAACTGAATTTATGAGATATTTTAAATATTGTAACAGAAAATTTACACTAGTTTTTATATATTCTATCTTAGCTGTCTGATTACTTTTCTGATCAATAAATGTTACTGTTTATTATGTTAAAGTGATGTAATTTTATTGTATTAACTGATTGTAAAATAATATGCATATTTTTTATGTTAAAATGATATCAGTATAATTTTATATACACTGGTAATCAAAATTAAAGGATAATGAGGGGAAAAAGCTCACTAGTGTTGCAACCAATGCGCAAGGCTGTAAATATTTCTATAAATTAAATATAATCCAACACAAAATTGCACATCCACACATATGTCAGCAGTGGAAATATGCAAATTCACTGATTGACAGTGTAGTGCAGAATGGATGCATGTTGGAATTCCAGTCTGTAGTGTTGTTAAAGGTGAATGTAGTGGCTTCTGGGACTGATCAGTATTCAGTAGTTATGGCTCATAGCTCAAAGGCGTCATTTAAGTGAAAGTCAAAAGTGTCGAATAATTGGTAGAATCGACAGGGGTTAAGCACAAATGGAGGTTGTTCTAGATTTGAATATCCCTCAAAGTGTCACATCAAGCGTTTGGAACCTTTTTAAGTGCTGGATCAGTTGATACACAACCCGGTCAAGGGTGACCAAGAGCAACAACAGCATCAGAAAACCGTTTCCTGTCATTGTCAGCTTGAAGAAACCACAAAGCAACTATAGGAAATTTAGTTTTAGATCTTCAGGCTGCCACAGAGATTCGAATTAGACACTCTGCTTAAGTCTTAACGAATTTAGACTGTATGGGAGAAAACCAGTGTTTTGTGTCTCACTCATTTCAGCTTCCAGAGGGGCCCGTTTAAACTAGTGCCATGGTCATGTTCAATGGAGCCAAGATGATGGCCCGAGTATTTTTTTACTAACGAGACCAGATACAGTCTGAACTTTAATTCTAGATGTGTTTTGAGTTGGTGAGAGGAAGGAATGTGTAACTTGTCTTCTCCATGAAATAGCCTGTTTCTGTGACCATGTCTTAGGGAGGAAAGACAAATGGCCGCACTGAGCTGCATATATTTCAAAGAGGTTCTGTAACTGCTCAGAAGTATGTGGATGAGAAATTGGAATGGCATGTTAGACTGTTTAGAGATGCCATTGGCCCAGTTTTTGGTAATCGATGACAATGCTCAACCTCAGCAAGCATATGTGATGTCAGAGTACGCGCAAACACAGGATGTCACTCGAATGGAATGGCCACCTTACTCACCAATTGAGCATGTTTGAGATGCCTTAAGGCACTGAATTTCAGCACCAAATTCCTCTCCGGACCCTCGATGAGCTGAAAGTGCGTTTTTAGGAGAGGCATGCAATTCCGCAGTACTTGATCAACACTTTGGTAAAGTGTATGAAATCAAGGTGTGAGGTAAGTATATTTGTCTGAGGTGACTATACACCTTACTAAAGAAAGTATTTTTCCACATTTATTTTATTTACGTACTAAAGAAATACTTTAGACCATACATCATACTAAAGCAAAGATTTTCCACAACTTAATTTTTCCATCATTTTCCAATTTCCATAAATCTGGTTGTAAGGTTAATATTTTTTTAATAATCAACTGCAAAACATGGTAATTTATGTTAACTAATGCTTTTGAACAAATTAATAATTTTTCATTAAGTGTCACTTTTAAGTCATTATCCTTTAATTGAGATGACCAGTGTACTTAGCTGTTTCCTGTCTAAACAAATAAGTCGAAACAGTATTTAAATCTATATGTTAAAATTATTTGAATCAATATGTTTAAAATAATGAACTCAGATTGGCAATACCAAGTTGGCAATTAGAACGTTTTTTTTAAAGTTTTTTTTTTTTTTTTTTTTTTTTTTTGTGTGTGAATTTTAATTTTAGAAGTTTCTTGCAAGTTAGAAATTTCATTTTCATTGCAGCATTCTCATATTATATTAATATGCAAATTCTTGGAGTTTTGTGCATATTATATGTAAATGCTAGAGAGATTTTCATTTTGAAAGTTTTAAATTGCTATTTCTAGTTACTCAGCACTCATTTTCAAGTTACCAAAAATTTTGTTGTAATCAAAGCTAAAGTATTATTTATTTCAGTACAGTTTGTAACTGCATTTTCTCACTAAAATTTAGTCTTTTAAATTTATTTTCTGTTCTATGATAGCCAAGAGATAATTAGATAGATAACTGCTGATAAAGATGAATTTTAATTGTGTCATTCTGTTATCTTTGCAAGAGAAGCTGATTTATAAAAATTATCTTGTTTTCATTTATAGAATCTGTAATAGCAGTTTATCATAAAAAAAAAGGCTGTTATGTTCATGTTAAAGTACTTTTTTCATATATTGAATTTTTAGGTGTGTCCTCTACCCTTTAGATTTGTATAATGACAGTGCATACTATGCTTTAACAAAATTCAAAAAGCAGTTCCTATATGATGAAGTTGAAGCAGAAGTCAATTTATGTTTTGATCAGTTTGTTTACCAATTGAGTGAGCAGATATTTACATATTACAAGCACCTTGCAGGAAGGTTTGTGTCATAACATTTCATTTTGAATTTATAATTTTTATTTTGTCATATTCCTAAATAACATTTTATGCATGTTACAGCTGAAAAGGATGCTAAATCGAAGCCATATAGTTAAGGTTCCTTATGAATATGAAATAACTTTTATAATAATTTGTTTTTCAGACTATTTTTTGTAATTTTCTAACTTATATTGCTTATGTAATTTTCTAACTTAATCAGTTATTGATTGTGGTTAATGCTTATGTATACTTAAGGTAAATATTAACATTTTAGTAAAATGTAGTGTATTGTTGAGAGTTAGATTATACCTGTATTGGATAGCATTGTAATTTTTTTCAATGAACTTCAAACTTTCATAAAAGAGAAGTACCATTTATCACACATTTTGAATGCAAATGGAAAACTTTGGAGATCCATATAAAAAAATGCAATTCATTGTATTACTTAGCAGTCTATTACTTAGGTCACAGATTGAGGCAAGGAATATAGCCAGTTACAAGGCTTTTAGGTATCAGAATTTGATGATTATTACATATAAAATGCAACGTTTCTCTTGTATTTGACAAATTTCATCTATTGTAGTTAAATGACTAAATGTAGTCATATCTGCATAATATTAAAACTGCTGTCTTATTCAACATTGTGCATGAAACCTTGGCTTTTTCTTCTGAATTCCAAGGCAGTTAAATACTTCATGAAGCATATATAATTAAATATTTTAACATAGTAACAGATTTAGTATAGGTGATAGAGAAGTCTACAAATAAAGTGTCTCAAATTGCTTTGAAATTCTATAATCAGTTTTGAAAAAGCTTCATGCAGTCACTTAATATCCAAATTTTCTCTATTAGTTATCTATACAAATCAGCAGATAATGTCAGTTGAATGTCCCTTGTCCTTGTGTGTCGGAATATGTTGCAGTTTATAATTGTTATGAGCTGCCTCGGAAAGTTTGACTTAACATTCTAGCTTAAATGTTCGACTATTTCACGTTGAAAATGAGTGATTAGGTAGAGACCTCTTTACTTCATGTGTGGCATATTCTGTTAGTTGATGTGTTGAGTGGCATATTCAATTATTCATATATCATTGATGAATGGTTTTGAACTTAAAATTTACATTCCTGCTCCCTTTTAGATAATAGGTAAATGTAACTTCTATCTATTCTATCTTCTAACTAATCTCTCATATCAAATGCTAATGTTCTTTTTAATAAAATCTACCAAAAAAGGGAAATAGTAAAATTTATGTTTAGTATCTATTTCTGTGAAAAACTATCTAAAATAAATGAAGCTACTTTTCATATTTTTATCACTTTTATGTTTATAATAAAAATATTATTTTCCTTCAGGTTAATCCCTATTGTTTAAAGATAGTCTGGCAGTTTGTCCTTCATTTAATAAATAGTATATATTTTCTGCCAGCATTTTTTAGAATGCTATAGAGTTTATTTTATCCATTTCTAGTGATACATGTTCGATGTTATACCTACTGCTGAGTAATGAATTTGCCCTTTCTAGGATTATGTGTACTGCTAATATGCAAATTACAGTGTGGGTGTACCCATTGAAATATTTAAATGAGGTTTATTCAGAGGTCATATCATCACACATTTAAGTAAAGATGGAAGAAGCAACAAGAATGGTAATGTGTATTTACTGGTGGATGTCTTGATGGTTATTTCATATTTTGTTTTTTATACTTTCAAATAGTTCAACAAAGGCTTAATATTGAATACATACCTTTGATGAGTTATCATCATTTGTGTACTTTTCAGGAAAGCAGCCATGTAAGTCTTTGTGAAAAGATGGGGCCTGCAAGTCATATTATTGCACATTTGTACAAATGCATAAAATTTTACATGATGTTGGCAACATGAAGGTTTTTATACACGCATTTCATGCTGGCTAATCATAATGTTTTGTTAGGCAGTTTGTTCAGCGTACTTGATGGCCACTATAGAGCATTGTAGGAAGGCTTTGATGTGCTTCATCATCATCCATGGTTATTGCTATAACTACTCCAGCTGTTAAAAGATCTTACATGATGTAAATCTGCTCGGTGGGTAAAGTTTCACTGATTGACATTTGCATATATGAATGAATCACTGTAGGCTTCATTGAAGAATCACATTTCTGTCTGAGTTCTGAGGATTGACTTTCAACATTTTGGTGATACCTAGTGAGAGGACAGCTTGAGGCTCTATTTGTAATTGCAACACCTTCCATCAGTTAGGCATCATAGTATGTGCATGCTGTTGCCCATTTTAGCAGGCCGCATTGTGTATGCATTCCGAGCATACTGACATCTCTATTTGGTACATTAGCAAAATTTCAGTGCGAAAAGTTTACAGATAGATAAGCTTACTGAAACAATAACTAAAACAGTAGTCTTAGTCAATTACATTTATTTCATTCAGTCATTTTAAGCTTAATGAAACAATAACTAAAACAGTAGTCTTAGTCAATTACATTTATTTCATTCAGTCATTTTATATATTAAGATAGATATGTAAATAAAAAATTCTTAACTAAAATTTGCTGTAGCCTTTTGACTTTTAATTTCGGTTCTTTTCTTCTTTATCCTAAAAGTTGTAACTACTTATAATAAATTTCTGTAATCTGCACCATTTCCAAATGAATCTATGTTATATGATTTTTATATGATGCTGGTGACAATTGGTAAAATAAAAACAAACAACCAATAATATTAGAATGCGATTAATCAGCCAGTCAAAATTAAAATTAATTCTCTCAAAAGCATCGCTCCTGCTTTCTGCTTCTGTTGCTAACCATGCTGATTTCTTCCTGCTGCAATGGTATCAGAAATATGAAGTTTTGGAACAGTGTGGAACGATTAGCGTGCCAAGTTATTTGTGGTTATAAAGACTAACTAAAGCGAAAAGAAATACTTAAATTTGCCACTACTGAAGGTTTTTTCTGTGTATGCTTCACTATCTTCAGCCAATATCTAAATTTATTATAAACATACATACACATATTAAACTTGTATGTATATACACACTCATTGTGTTAAAAAAAAAAGTGATGCCATCAGCTGCTTTCAGATCACACATTCGTCCTACATGCAATTTGAGTTTAAGACCATTGGCCTAAAAGACCACAATTTCCAGCAAGATAATTATCACATACTCAGTACTACATGTTCGGCCATTGTCATAGCTTGCAATATTACTAGATTTATTTTCATTTGAAATTCATTTTGGCCAGTGTGCATATCATCTAAAATGAAATGCACTAATGCAGATTTTTGGGGGGTTATATCTGCTGTACTCAGTGTTTGGTTCCTCAGTGTTATGTATGTGTAGATTGCATAAGTCTGCTGCATCATGTTGCTGTTCTTGCACCATATGCAGCAGTTTTACCACTGGCTGAAGTAAGCACTTTGTATTGTATTATTTCATCTTCTGGGCACTGTACATAGCTGGAAATAAAAGTCAAAATGAAACTTTTTTTGTTAGTTTAGTAGCCTAAAGGGCTGTCAGTATCAAAGCATGATTTTGCATCGATTCATTTTAAAAGTTATTCATTGTAAATGCATTGTTGAGTCTTTTGCCATTCAGCACAATGCAAGATATTTATCTTTCAAATTTAATCTGTTATTAGTTAATAAAGTTATTTAAAAGCAATAGATGCAGTTCCTAAAAATAATGTTTTTTAATTCATAATCGGATTGATTTAAAGAGAAATGTATTTGATTCATGGTATATCTAATTAAAAACATTAAATATTTTTATTGAATTACATAATATATTTGTAGCTTTTCAAATATACAGAGGATATATAGCATTCCCATGTTAGTCTAAAGGTATTTATCTAATATCCTGCAAAATGTTTTGCTATTTGACCTTGGCTATTGGCTATTGAGAATTTGTACTGATAAACCATTTTGGGAAGAACCATGAGAACCCTTTTGGATGATCATTAAGAACTAAACTCTTTCAGACTTAAAAGAAAAAAAAAAAATATTTTGCATGTTTCACTTCATCTTTATAGTTTCAGATATTTTGGGTAGGGAAATTTCACTGTCAAGCAGTATTTTACTATCATACATATTGATGCCAATTTTATGTTATTTTTAGTTAGTTATTATTAGTATGCATTTCCAGCATTGTAAAGAAAATATTTTGTTTTAAATAATTTGTTTATTTTGCACCTTCAACTTAAATTTTTCTATCTTACTACTATCTAGCATTCTCCTTGACAAAAGATTCCGTGCTGAATGTGCCAGTTATGGAACATGCTTCCACTATCCTCCTGCAAACAGATATGAAACATTGCTGAAACAGAGACATGTCCAATTGTTGGGCCGTTCGATTGATCTTAATCGATTAATAGCACAGCGAGTGAATGCTGCTTTGCAGAAATCTTTGGATCTCGCAATAAGTAGATTTGAAGCTGGAGATATAACTGGTGTCTGTGTGAGTATTTTTAGTAATTCCTAGGATTTCCCAAAATGCTAAAATTTGCAATCTTTCTTAATTGTAAAATTTCATTTGAACTGAGGTATACATAGATTCATATTGTTGAAATTCTTTTTTCACAATAAAATAAATTATATTCAATTTTGATTTTGCTCTTAATTTTTTTTTTGTTTTGTTTTTTGTTTTTTGTTTTGTTTATGATATATAAATATGCCATGCAGAAATCAAAATTAAAGTGTTAAATTTGTGCTGTTATGTCCTTTTTGCATTCATATTGAGCATCTTATATTAAGATTTGTGAAAAATTAATATAATTTATGTAGCTGCATATCATTTATGTTTGCCAGTTATACATAATTATTTTTCATCGTATGGTTGTATAACTTTATTTTCCATTGCCAGTGTATAAATTCATGCAAGTAATTGGTTTTTTTACTTTGGTTTTAGGCAAGAGATTCCTGATTTCCATTCATTTTCCCATCAACCTAGTTTACAATGTATTTCTCCCAACTTTATCTTACTTAAAAAATTTCTCATTTTGATGTAGCTTGTTTTAATATTTCATTATTTGTGCCCAAAAGTAATGATTTTTGGCACTTGAATGTGCTTAGTTTTTTCCTGCATTACATGTAATAGAAAATCAAAGTTGTTTCTTTAGTGGGACAGTATGCACATTTTTGCTTTGTGTGTGAGAGCATATGTGTATGAAAAACTTCATGTTCCAGTTTTCCAATGAGCATCAAGCGCCACTGCAAGTCATCTATCATGTGAGCCAATAAGCACAAAACAAAGTTGAGGTTGTTAATTCATTTGTCTCGCCGCTGAACAGAATTTCACATGCTTTCTAGTAATAGTTTAAGAAATTGCGATATGTTGTCTTAGTTATGTCTGCGAAAGAGGTAAAAATATTCATCTACTTTTCAAAAATGTTATACAGATGACTTTCTTCTAATATTTCCTCTAGGAAATGCAATACATTTGTAATGTGTACCGTTTATCGTTGCGATTTTTTTTTTTTTTTTAATATTATTTCTTCTCAGGGTGGAAGGACCGATGTTCTAAAAACCTGTGCATACACAAGGACAATGTGAGTTATACTAAAGAAAATTAAAAATTTAATTTTTCCATGGAAACAAAAGACAGGGTTCGTACGGTCCTTAAGTGTCCTTAAGTTTTTTAAAATTGATTTTTGGTCCTTAAAAATCCTTAATTTCGGCCAAAATCGTCAGAAGGTCCTTAATTTTAATCAGCTGAAATTTCTGTGTTGTTTTTACAAGTGCTATTTTGAGTGTGAATTATCATTTTCGAAAAATATTTTTGATGATTCACTGACAAATATGATTGTTTTTTGAATCTGTTCATGGGTTATAATTTTTTCTTGTTTTTAATAAGAAAGGTGGGATACTGGAGTTTCTGAACAAGGTGTGAAACATAAGCATTTCAAAATTATTTCATTTTTTTTTAAATGAAGAGCTCTTGAACAACATTCCGTGTTTGTGGATGTGAATTCTTTTATTAAACGGCTCAAATTTGGTGTTTTTAAAATATATTAACCAGGTTACAATCCCAGAAACTCTATATGAAGGTACATCACTGACTACTTCAGACAGACGAAGCACAACTAACTTTCAGAACTTGCCAACCATGCCTACATCAGGCTTTTTTTATCAACAGGTTTCTTTCTAGGTAAGCAGCAGCACTAGCAACAGCTAATCTTCTGGTATGAATCATGCTGATTATGATATTATTTCTCATTTTATTCTATGCCATTTGACATAAAATCTACCTGCTATTTACTAAACCTCTAGACTGAGTAAATACATGGCAAAATGAGACATAAAAGAAAAAATCAACATAAAGCTGTTAATAAAATGTCCCTAATCGTCTTTCAAATATGTCCAACTGTTATACGTGTAAAATATTTAATGTTACTTCATAAATTTAATAAAGTGGATTTTCTCAAATTTGTTTTATAGTTATGTTTAATAAGAATGCATCCTACTTACGGATCTATTTTATTCTTAGAACGTTATTACAAAAGTAAAGTTCAGATATAAGCTGATTGAATTTAATTTATTTAGCTCCTATTTGCTGATAGGTCCATAATTTTTTTCATTAATGGTCCTTAAAAGTACTTAATTACAAACCCTAAAAGATCAAAAAGTTATTAATGCAGAATGCCTGTTCTTTAACTTTTCACAGGAGCTTAACCTGCTATTGCATGCATGCTGTAGTCTTATTTGTGAAAATGCTTTCCAATAGCAAAATCGCTAAAATTTGTATAGTTATTAAATGTGTTAGCTAAATGTCTGCTGAGTTAAAGACCTCATTCAGAATTCAAATTAAAAGCTACATTTGATGGAACACAAGACATCATGCCATTCATGTTAAAATTTAGTAACATGCACTGATTTAGTCTACATAGGTGTAGGGAATGTTTTTGCAAGTGCATACAATAGGATTCAAAAATAAGCATGAAAACGGAGTGTAAATTTTTGTGATATGTATATATTCCACTTTTTGAATTATTCAGAGTGTGGTTATGCATTGAAATGAACGAAGGTTCCGAAATTCGTTCTCCTGAATGATCACAGACATCATATGTTATCCTGAGATAAGTTTATTGTATTCCCTACTTCTCCAAGAAATAGGTGCTATATCTGTCTTGCTTAGCCTTAGATTAGAGCACAGAAAAAGGTGCTATATCTGTCTTGCTTAGCCTTAGATTAGAGCACAGAAAAAGGTGGAAAAATAAGAAAAAAGAACTCTAATGTGAGGTTTAAAACTTACCATAATTGTGGCAAAATTATGAGAATTGAAAAAAAAAAAAAAAAAATTCAGGCAAAGGTCTAATCTATAAAGCTTGCTATATCTGATATTGTACATTTGGAAGTTCACTCTGGCCATATAAAGGTAACATTAAATGTGAAGGAAGTTTGATGGGATCAGAAAGTTCTTTTATTATGAACTGGGTTTGCTGTAGTGGCGTTTAACTTTATATCACAGAGTTTTACCAGGCACACACACACACACACACACTTGTTCTCATGTTATTTTCTGGCAAATCAGTGTAATATATTTTCCTTTCTGTTAACGAGACAAGGGAAGACATTTCTCTCAGGTTTTAGCCTTTTGTGTACTATTTATTACTTACATTTAAAAACATTTATAAATTATGATATGTGCATATTGTTGTGATAAATTACATTGATAAAATCGCTTTTCTAAATCTGTAGAAATTTTAGTTTAAGGATGATCTTTTTAATTATTACGATTTTTGAAAAATATTTGCAGGAGCTGGAAGGATTAATCAGTGTCAGTAAATTGACTCATAAACTTTTAGGAAAATATATCACTTTGGATGATTTTGATGCAATGTTCCGGGAAGCTAATCATAATGTCCTTGCTCCATATGGTCGCATATGTCTTCATGTGTTTTGGGAACTGAATTTTGATTTTCTGCCAAACTACTGCTATAATGCAGCAACTAATAGGTACTGTATCGTACATGTTCTTGTATTATTATAAAAGTTTTGGTATTGTTCTGCTTATTAAAATGTTATTACAATACTAATGCAATGGATAATCAGAATTATTGTAAAATTCCTGCCATCATGGTCTATCATTTGAGGTTAATTTGTTTCTGATAAAATAATATCCTGCCTGCTCTGAAGTCATGTGAAATCTTGTTCTAAAATATGATATTATGACTTGTACTTTTTACATGATGAGACAAAAAAGTCCAGATGTTTTCAAGTAGTAATTGGATTCATTTCTGATATATATTTGGTAACCAGTGATGGAGGGAATAAAATAACTTAGTTCTCTGGTGCTTTACAAGTTCCTTTTGACTTTCTTAATGTATAATGTGAATGTGGAGTGGTTTTGCTATGACAGTTCTTTATAAATGCACTCATCTGAAACAGATAGCCATATAATGCTTTACTATACAGTAACTTTATTCAACCTAATGTCTACTGGGCTAACATTTACTGGTTAAAAAAGTACTAATAGGAAACTTGGTTAAAAAAAAGTTTCCTATCAGTTAGTTGTAAATTGTGTATAACTTTTTAAATATTTTAATTCCTGTATTATAATTCGTTTGATGAATTTTATTATCAGGTTATTTCTTTATTATAATTTTTTGCATAAATTTTATGACCAGGTTTGTGAAAATAAAAGATATTACTTTTACACAACCAGTTGCACGGGACAAGCCACCAGCTGCACAACCTCATTTCTTTTGGGGCACTAAGGTAATATAGCATCATTTTAATATTGCTTTTGTACACAACGTTTTTTCATATCTTTCTTTATTTTTGTGAAACTGAAACTTTCGAACTTATGGTAAATGTATAATGTCTTCTAAAATTTTTTGTACTGTCTGAAAATGTATGACACCAAGAATTGAGAATTTTAATGCAAATTTTACTTACTTTTGTTCATTTACTCAAAATATGTTACCAACAACTTGTATATGTGTTAAATGTTTCATAGACCATTTCATTCTTTTAATAATTTCTTGTAATCAATATTACTTTGAAAACATTAATATTTTTGTTATTGTTGTTAATATTAATAGCTGTACTCTTATTTTCATGATTTATCTGTTTGTTTTTAATGGATGATATCACAATATGTATACAGGGTTTCTCAAAAGGTCATTGCCAAACTTAACATGCTGGTCTATCATATCATGACAAACTAGATTTACATAGGAACTTGTGTCCAAAAATGCACTATAGGGCACTGTTTGCAAGCATAGAGGGGAAGAAAGAAAGGATGTCGAAAGAGGTATTAACATGACATTTATTAAAGAACATGGTTAAATTGATGTTCAAAATTCCTTCCATTTGCCAAATTGCATGCTTCACATTATTCATGCATGGGTTCATGGACCTAATCAAAATGGGCAGGTTGTCACGGACACGCGCCGCCACTTCCACAATCCTGGCGACGAGATCCATATCTGATAATACAGTCACCTCATACACCATGGACATTCAAGGGTATGTCCTCTTCAGGTGTTCCCACATGTTGCCGCTAAAATGTGAAGCCGCTTCATCATGCTGAAACCAGATGTTTGGCATGTAGCTGCTGGAATGTCAACCATCAGATCCTGTAATACTCTTTCCACAAAATGTCCATAAAGAACTGAGTTAGTAAACCAGTTGATCTTTCTGCAGTGTCCTTGCCTGAAATGATCACACTTCCCACTCTTCCATAAGCCTGCGAACATTACCCTCAGATACAAGTCGCCATGCACATTTTCAGACACAAGTTCCTACGTAAATTTTGTTTGTCATGGTATGACAGAACAAATTATCAACTTTGGCAGTGATCTTTTGAGACACCCCATATATGTGCAATTAAATTATATCCTATTGTGGATAAAAAGAATATTGGTATTGCTGTTATCTCACTTTTTTCCTGCTTGCATTTCCATAGAAATTTTGCTTTATTTGTTAAATTATTTTGTGATTTGTAATGGTAAATTTTCCATCGTTCTGTTGTAAACAAATTTAGCCTTTTTTAGATAAGTGTGGTTAATCTAGCCCTAGTTAATTGGGAGTTGACTGTAGGACTTAAGATTGTGATTAAATTAGGCATTTAGCATTTCAAGATAAGGCTTTTATTGTTTTCTCTGATCAAAAACATTCAAGCTTATACTGGTAGCTTGATTGCCATTGAAAATATACCAGCCATAGTGAGCTGAAAAATTAATAACTTTATGACAGTTACTCATTGATATATGCCATTTACAATTATGTGAATAGCAATTCTTAGTTAATAAATATCATTTACATATTTCTATACATATAAATGCCAGGCTTTTTGAAAATCAAAAGTATATATGATAAGCATTTAAGGTGGGGAGATTGTATATACTCATACATTTTCTTTGAATATAGGCTCTCAATGTTGCAAATAGCACAATATATGGGATGTATAGTGGATTTGTCGGTGCCCCTCATTTCCGCTCTATTTGCCGTTTGCTTGGATATCAAGGCATTGCTGTTGTCATGGAAGAACTGCTTAAAATAGTGAAAAGCTTAGTAAGTAAGCTTTGAGTAATGCATATTTTTTTTTAATTGATGTATTTCTTTTGGGTAGTTTGTATTTACAAAATTAAACAATCTGGTAGTAATAAAAACTTGCTTTCATTATGTAAGTTGTACTGACAAATCTTTTTATTTGAAAAATTGCAAATAAAAAGGGAAATTGCAAAGTGAAAGAATTTTGAAATTTGGATGCAAAGGGCACAGGGGACAGATATCTTGATAATTTAATATATATAAAAGAGAAAGATTCCTAACTTTCACTGAATTTTTATTGCTCTAAAATGGTAATATTTTAATGAAAACAATAACACATTTTTTCCCCATGCTAAATTTATATTTTGCAAAGTAAGAAAAGATTTCAGACCTTCTTTATAGTTTATTTATTTATTTAGGACGCAGTCCAGCCCATCTGACAAGCATACAGTTTATTTATACATTTGTGTCATTTTCAGAATTAGTGGAACTGTAAAAGTAGGCAAAGCAACAACCTTCTGTTTAGTGTAGATTTTAGTCAAGGCTGTATCGATTATCTTAGCAGGTTTCTTTGCTTTTAATGAAGAGAGACCTGTACCTGTTTGCCCTCGAAATCAATAGAGTCTTGACTAAAATCTGTGCCAAATACAAGGTTGTTGCTTTGCTTAATTTTATGTTTCCTTCGTGTTTGTCTTCTCTCTTAATAGAACTATGTTCTAGAAATGTAATTGTTAAACATTTTGGGGCAAAATTATGTTGCTCCTCATTTTATTAAAGTATGTTTGCTTTTAAAATCAGCTGTCACTCTATATGCTTCTAGCTAGTGGAGAAAGATATTTCTTGACTAATTTAATAGTATTAGGTATATTCATTTTCCATCCAGAGAATAATGTTCTTTTGATAATAGTTCAGCATGTTATGTATTTAATTTACAAATGAAAGTTATTTGGTAGTCTCATTTCATATCCTGTGTATTTAAAGTATAGGGTTCTGCAATGCAATCTCTAGAAGGTTAGCACAATGAGCATTTTCAAATATTAAGATAGATTTTAATTCTGCTAATGATTGTTTACTTGCCTTTTAAGAGAGTTTTGACCGAGAATTTCTTTTCTTTATTAAGAGTAAGATGTTTTTTTCAAATTTAATTGCAACCTTAATTTTTATTGAGGGGGATTTATAAACTATGGATCCAAAATGTAGTGAATACTCTTTAAGGCAACTACCTGCTGTACCAGGTGATTTCGGTGTTCTGTGGAAGTGATTGTCTTAGATACCTTTCTTTATATATTGCATCAGAAAATTAGTCACTTTCAGAGGCAGTTGTAAGAATGTTTACTTTCTACTTGCAACTAAAAGATGTTCATTCCATTGAATCATTAAGAAATGTTTGATTATTCTTCTCTCAATGTGGTGGTTCCGTGGTTACATTACAAAATTATTTACAAAACTTACATTATTGATCAAAATCGTAAAAACAACCTTGTATTTAGCGTAGGTATAATGAAACACTGAATCGATTTCGAGTGCAGCTAAAGGTCCCTCCTCATCAGGAGAAAGAAATACCTAGAAAGAAGAAAATAAAGGAGAAGGAGTCACAGAAACACATGGTCCTTATCAGCACTGCACGCTGCATGTGGTTATAACTAGATTTTTTTTTTTTCAGAGTTGCACTGGCCGCCTACTCTGATTACAACTCTGATTAAAAAATCTAGTTATAACCACGTGCAGTGCTGATAAGGACCACGTGTTTCTGTGACTTCTTCTCCTTTATTTTCTTCTTTCTAGGTATTTCTTTCTCCTGATGAGGAGGGACCTTTAGCTGCCCTCGAAATTGATTGTTTCATTATTCCTACGCTAAATACAAGGTTGTTTTTACGATTTTGATTGTCACATTAGCGTGTTTCTCTTCTAGTTTATATTATTGATTTTGATTATCAGTTTAATGCTTCATTTTATCATTGGAAAGGATTTTGAAATTGCTGAGTTTAATAGTATTATTCTCTTTAATGGTTTCTTTAAAAGGTCAAAGTAAATGTTACTAATTTTTAATTAGTAAGGAGTGATCTCCTCATGGAACTTTGTAACATTCAGCAGCATTATAATAATATAGATAATGTATTTAATGTCTTGTAAATATTATGCACATAAGTTTAAGTAAATTTTAGACTAATAAAATAAGAACATTTAAAGTAAAAAGCATCTCTACAACTTATATTTTCTAATTCTAATAAGCTCATTTGTTATGTGATTTAAATGAATATATTATTTTGCAATAAAACTGATATATAACTGTTATTTATACACAATTAAAATTAAAATGCTTTTTCTTGAAACTTCTTTTTTAGAGCATTCCTCATTTTCCCATTTATGTTTGCTGTTATTTACAAACATTTAATTACCTGTAACACATTCAGTGTTGCTCATTACTATCACTCTGATTTTTTCTAGATTTGTCTAAAATAAATTTCACAAATCGTAGCTGCGTAAGCAATATGCCTCAAAATTGAGTTATATTTTTCTGTATTCAGCCAGTGTTGTATCCATTACATACCTGTTTGGAAATTTGTTGATAGCCAAAAATTAAGACTATTGTATTTTACTCTCATTAAATTTCTTTCTTTTAGTTATGTGTTTTTTTAATCTCTTACATTATGTTGTGAATAACCAATGTTTATTTATAGATTCAGGGAACATTGCTTCAGTATACAACTACATTGATGAATGTTATGCCCAAACTATGTAAATTACCTCTGTATGAATATGGATCTCCAGGTCTGCATTATTTATTAAAATTACTTATTAAACTTCCACAGAAATTGTTTTTTATTTTGCAGGTTGTATAGTATTTTGTGAATATTTTTCATCTTTGTTAGTTCTGTGATGTACGAGTTAATTTGTATAATTCTTTGCTACATATGTTTTTGTTGTTTTTTCTAAATATGCCAATGCCAGTGTTTCGAAAAAAATGTAAACATAAAAACATATTGAATAGTGTTTTTGCTGCATGGAACATTCTCTTAAATTTGGTTCCGTAAAGTATGTTCAGTATTTATATTCTGTCTCATAGATGAAGTTTATTTTCTAAATAACAGGTTTCTCTTTCATGAACCCATTTCTTTCTCAGTTTCTAATTATGCAGTTATATTGTAGAATAGTTTTTGAAGGGATGGAGGAGCTCAGGTTTCAAGTAGTGGAAAATTTAAACTTGAATGAACTTTTCTAACCATATTTAGGGAAAATAAGCTATGTCTCTTGTATCATGTTGCTTACAAACTAACTTAAAATTATTTTTCGTAGATTCATGAATGTATGAGTGAAAAAAAGAGCTATTATTATGTCAGGTAAAATTACCCAGATTTTTAGAAGTGTGTGTGTATTTAAATATATGTGTACAGCTTTAGGAAATAAGCATTGAATTCATGCATAAAATTTAAATATGAAGTTTGCCATCCTGCAGTATAGTGTATGTTTTTTGACATTGGAAACATTCTTAAGAGCATAATTCCAAATTTTTGGGATTGTAACATACATTACATTGTGCTACCATACATGCAATATCATAATGCTTTCCCAATATGTGAAACATAAGGTTTTTATTTTTAGAAACTTTTAAATATATTAAAATATTTAATTTGCAACCTGTGCAGTTGTAATTTTCATACGGAGTTGTAACACATTAAAAGGCATTTTTAATGCCATATATTATGTACCTGGTACAGAATCATTACTTTTAGTCAGTTAATTCTAAATTCATTTTAAAACTAAAGTAGATGTATTTAATGTAAAAGTGATAGTCGTGTGATATCAAATGGTAATAGTAATCTCTGCATTGAAGAAATCTGACAAAGAATTTAAGACTGTTGTGATTGTTGCATTTATTGTGTCACCAATGCATTTTATTGATTAAATTAAAGCTGAACTTAGAATGCTCTTTTGCCCAATACTTTTTTTTGCATTTGTTTAATTTATGCCTGAAACATAGCCTTAAGAGTCAGTGTGATGTAGGTGCAAGCCAAATAATTTAAAAGATTTGTCAAGTTTTTTACCTATGCTGTATGTCTTTTGCTGCTTAGGATGCAACACTTGTTTGAGTTCTTAAATTAGGTATTTTGTTAGATATTTTGTATGTGTTTTATCCAAATGATGGATCTCTGGTAATTCATTTTATTTGTGACAGATTCTCTAGATCATAATAAAGTTATTATATAATAAATGTAACTAATTCTCATCTTATAAACTTATGAGATTTTTGCTTCCTTATTGGAAAAGAAACCTGGTAATGTAAAATTTTTAAAAAATTGGTTGGGTAGTAAGATCATAGTATCATAAATTCTGAATAATACCTTTTTAGTTTTGAGAACGATCAACCATAGATCCCTTAACCTTCTGGAGCAAGATATTTTTCAAAGATGAAAAGAGGAGCAACCAGTACAGTTATATGGAAGTGAATGGGCAGTGCAAAATGAAAACAGAAATCTCTGAAAGAAATGAGTACTGAAATGTGAAAAGTTAAGATACAGAAATTTTGAGAGTATTGGAGAAAACATAAATAGAATTAATATCATTAACTAAAGAGGATAAATTTTTATGAATATGAAAGTCAGCAATTAAAACCTGTTCACCAACTCAAGGTGTATGTATATTTTTTGCAGATTCAAGTAAGAAATGTGGTTAAGTGACCAGCATTGATTAGCTGTCAAATGTTTATTTGCTCCTCCTTTTTAAACATAGGATTCATGTTTTTTTTTATGTACAATTTTAATGATTTTTCAGTTTGGCCTATATATTAAGGATATATGTATCAGGGTCAACGTTCCTTCTTACCTTCTTCGGGAACATGCAAGGACCTGACTCGGAACAGAGAGCTTACTAAAGCTATGTTCAAAACTGTGGGAAGTAAACAGGATACACAAGAAGGGTATACAAAACCCTTTATTTTTCTCTATTTACAATGACTTCCGTACTTCGGAATACACCGACCTGCTACTTGGGGTCAAAACGTAAAAGTATAAAAATAAAACTAAACTCTAATTTAACTTTAGAATAATGAACGTGGAAGATTGGCCTTATATTAACAGGAAGCGTATGTAGTACAGAGAACTGTGAACACTACAATACATTTAAAAATTATCAAGAGGATTAAAACCTCTGGCCTGGAAGGCAACAAGCAACTGCGTAACTTCTAAGGTAAGCGGCCTGCTTCGACTCACTGCTTCCTCTCTCTCGCTTGGCAAAAAGCCACAACTTAAATACTTGGCGTTCGCCAGACAAACTTTGCATAAATACCTTCACGCTTGTAATTCTGGCCGGAAGTAGAAAATAAGAAGTGATAGTAAAGATTTAAAATAAAATAAACGTTAGTAAAACTTAAGATCCTTACATATGTTATCAGTGTAGTTTGTAGGTCTTCAGCCAGTCTAAAAATGCATTAAAATATTGCATCAAAAACACAAATCCTGTGTTCAAAAGCCCACGAGTGGCCGAGAGTGGTATAGTTGCTGAACACTGATAGTTTGGTCCGGGATTGGAATCCTTTGGAGCGGGCTAGCTAAGTAAGTATTTTCATGGTTTTTCCCCCCATGTGTAACATGTATATGAGCAAGTTTCCCTTAGAAAGTCCTCCACAAAGGCACCTTAGGCAGATACCCCTTACATGCTTTGCTATATTCAGATAATCCAAACCATGTTCCAAAAGAAGAAAAAGGAGGTCATTGATAGCTAATGATAGCTGGTGTTCAACCACATTTCTGGCTTTGGTTCTGTGAAAATTACCCATAAAACTTCTTTAGGTTGTAAACTGGATTTTCCTGAAGCTATTCACTTTTACAAACATTTATTTACTTTGTTAATCCATTTCTTCTTATGCTTTCAAAATTTTAAGCGTCTTCGTGTTTCATTACTATTTTATTCCACGGATGATGCTCTGATTATTTTTGCTTTTCTTATCCCACCTTTGCAAACATCTTTTGCTCCTGAAAAAGAAGGAACTACACTTGAACTCCATTGATATCATTAAAATTTTATTCGGAGTGTACTATTATGTAAGGTTACTTATTTGTCTGGTTTTAAATATTTTCTTTGTTAACCATTTTTTTACAAAATATTATAAAACATGATTTCATCTTTCGATACCAAATCTTTTCTTTGTATTTAATGATTTCCCCCCCCTGCTGATTAATTTTCTCTTCAAGAGGTAATTTCCTCGTGGAGCTTTCTCGCAAACGCTAAGTATTGTATGGCAAACTTAGCTTTTCATTTGCAAATAGTGTTTGCTTGATGCTCTCTTAACATAAACTTGTGTATAATTTTCACAGTAAGTCAAGTGTTCATAACATGTTATATGTACTATTTTCCCCTTGAAGTATTAAAGAGCAGACCTTGAGTAATCCATAAGAATTTTGATATGGTTATTGTGGTTTCTTGTTTTGGGAAATATCTGAAGGTAACTGATGCTTATCGAAACTTTTTATCTTTAGTAAAAACATGACAGTAATAATCCAGAGTAAAGGTCAGAATATATGTATTTTATGTATACTGGGCATATTTTGAGGCTCTACAAATACTCTGATATAAGCATGAATGCAAGCTATTCAGATTCATGTATAATGAGCTTTATAGTATTTGCTTAAAAGTGATTTGTATGTTTCTGGAAATTTGGCTTTGTTTTAAATATTCTTTTCGCTTACACGTAAATCACTTTTGCATCATGGTTGACTTAAAATGTTTTGTATCATAACAAGGTCATAATTAAAATAAGATCCTTTATAATGTAATTTCATGTAAATAATAACTGATCTAGCTTCTCAAGTATGTTTTTATGAACATTTATTAGTTTTCTATAAATCTTAGGGGTTCTGCACTATTACCAAGCTCAGCTAACTGACATTGTACAGTACTCTGATGTAAAAACAGAAATGTTTCAAGGATTTAGGGAAGTTGGGAATGCTATCCTGTTCTGCTTATTAATTGAGCAAAATCTGGTAAGTTTGTTTTCTGAATTAGGGAAAACAGAGTAATTGTTTAATTGCAGTTAAAATTTGTTCTGATTGGCAGACTCGTGAATTTATTTTCTCCCTTGATTATGAGACATTTTTTATTTTATTCTTTTTTTTTATGTGAGAAGGGAAAACATTCTGCTTATTTTTTTTTTAATCTTCAATAATTACATGTGGTAATTTCAGAATTTCTAAACTTAAAAGAAAAATTGTTAGCCGTGTAATGAATATGGTTTTAATAAAGTTAATAATGAATTAATACACAGAAAGAAATAATTTAATATATAGAAACCACTGTTCATTTCCTTAGTATTACAAGTTGCAAGTTAAGTGATGTCAAATTTATCACCATTTGTATACATGTTTCACTATACATGTTTTCTTTTATACTGCAAATAATGTTTTTCTCAATAGGAGTTATGTGCACTGTCGCACTCCTTTAAGTGTCACAGCAATGAGATTTCATCATCAAGAAGACCAGATTCTCTTAAAGATGTACACTGAAGAGCCAAAACATTATGACCATCTGCTCAATAATGCATTCCACAACTTTTGGCCTGCTAAGCAGCTGTAGCATGCCTTGGTTAGATGCCACATGTTCTTGACAGATGACTGCAGACAGATTGCATTATATGTCTAAGAAGCGGTTGCACAAAGTCAAGACATTCTTACATGGTGGTGTTTGAGACATGACATTCCAAATGTGCAAATCCAAATTTTGCTAAGATCCAGAGAGTTAGGTGGCCAAAGCATAAGGATGGAATTCATCCTTATGTTCCTTGAACCACTCCGACACATTTCAAACCTTGTTGCATGGGGTGTTGTCTTGCTAGAAGATTTCATTTCCAGTTGGGAACACGGACACCATGTAATGGTGCAACTGATCCACAGTTGTGTTCAGATAGTCCCCAGCCTTCATGGTCAGTTCTACTACAACTTAGGGTTCCAGAGCCACCCATGAGAACATCCCCTAAAGCATAATACCACTGCCACCAGCCTGTGTATGACCTGCTGTATACAAGGGGGAACAACTGTTTGCTTGGAAGATAGCATACTCTGACATGACTATCAATGTGATGAATAAGAAATCATGATTCATCTGACCAGGCAACTGTCTTCCACTTATCCATGCTTCAGTCTCGATGTTCCCGGGCCCACTGTAGTTGACTTGGTCAACAGACGTACACATGTGGGACATCTGTGCAGTCCTATATCCAACAGCATCCACTAAACTGTTTTCCAAAACACTTGCCCCTGGACCTGCATTGTATTGGGCCATCAACTGAGCCACTGTCTGGTGCCAATTTTGCTGTACCAGGTGAGACACTCTCTGATGTCCTTTTTCTTTGATGATGTGTGGATGTCCAACACGTTGGTGTTTGTTGCTGGTTTCACTGTCATTTATCCACTTTGCATAAATACTAACAATGGCAGATTGTGAAGAACCTACCAGTTGTGCAGTTTCAGAGGTACCCGTTCAGTCTTTTCAGGCCATTACAATCTGCCCTGGGTCAAATTCGCTTAGATGTGTTGACTTTCTCATCACTCGCAAAGGTAAGTGTAAAAATGATTCCAGCAGCAGTTAACTACCATTCCCGCTTAATCACGTGCCTCATGCAGACAGGTTCATTGAAAAATGTGGGAATAGTCATAATGTTTTGTCTTGTCAGTGTATAGCTGTTAAAAGAATTTCATAAAAAACATCATAGCCACTTTAGCTGTGAGGTAGCTCATTCTGTTCTTATTACTATGAAATGAAAACATTTGTCTTTTGGTTGATACAAGTACTAATGAACTATTAACAGATGATTTCCCTAATACCACAATCTTCTCCTTCTAAATATGTAATGATATAGTTTAACATATCATTTTCACTATCAAAGACTTCCTGTATGTTTTTTCTTCCAGATATTGAGATATGAAACTTTACTATTCAAGTTAATTTTGCTTATATGGGCTATATGCATTGCATCCATAAAAGTACTTATGTGGCTTTTATTTTTGCAGCCATTAGTCATTGACATATATACATACAGTGGTGGCCAAAATTGTGGACACTGTTGGAAATTTTGATGTTTTTGAACTTTGTATGCTTATAGAAATGTTATGTTTCGCAACATGCAAACTTGTATATATTATTTTAAAGAGAATTTATTACTGAATCCAATACAAAACACAAAATTCAATTATTTGCAATACAAAAAAAGTTATATGTACTTTAATATAAATAAAAAACCACAGTTATGAAGTGGTTTGTAATGTCTAGCTTTCCTGGCCAATCATTGTTCTTGCTTTGAGAACCAATCAAATGTTAGTAACTGCCAGTAGAAGCTGACATCATGTTTACACTTGAAACAATTCATTATTTTGCTTTGTTCCTGTAGAAGGAGGACCTCTTTCTTATGCACTGCAATTACAAGTAGGTATTTTTGTAAAAATATTTAATATTTAGTCAAGAAGCAATGACATCAAATAAAAGAGTAGATTGGACACCTAGAAAGAGATGTAATATTGTGTTACGAGAAAGTGGTCTTTCCTATGCTGAAATTGCAAGACAGGTGGGTGGTTCAGTGACTACATCTAGAGTCCGAAAGTTTTGTTTACGATACCAGGAGACAAATTCAATAAGAAACAAAGAAGGAAAAGGCTGAAAAAGGTGCACCACATCTATTGATGACAGAAGAAAAGACTATGTCTCTAAGATAGAAAAATGTCATCAGCAGCCATCAGAAGTGATCTGAATGATGCTGGGTATTCTGTCAGCTCAAGAACAATCAGGAGAAGATTAACAGATGTTGGACTGAGAGGTAGAATTCCACGAAAAAAGCCTTATCTTAATTTTCAGCAACGAAGCAAAAGACTACAGTGGGCAAAGGAACACATTAATTGGACAGATGATCAGTGGTCACAAGTTATATGGAGTGATGAAACTAAAATATCGTTATTCGGTAGAGATGGGCGAAAATGTGTAAGACATAGAATAGGAGAAGAGCTACATCCTGACTGCATTCAAGCAACTGTGAAGAACCCAGTTAGTGTTATGATTTGGTCATGCATGTCAGCAGATGGTATTGGTCGCCTTCATTTCATCGATGGGACACTGAATACTAGAAAATATATTGACACTATTCTAGAACCAAAACTTCTACCTTCCATCAGAGATCTCTTTCCCAACAATGCTTCGTTTATTTTTCAGCAGGATTCTGCTCCTTGCCACACGGCCAAAATATCGAAAGAATAGTTTCGTACAAAGAGCATTAAATTGTTGTCATGGCCAGGAAACAGTCCTGACCTCAATCCTATGGAAAATTTGTGGCACAGTTTGAAAACTCTTGTCCGAATGAGGCGCTCATCAAATAAAAGGGAACTAATTGAGGCTATAATTGTTTCCTGGCATCATGTAATAACGAAAGAAGAGCTTAAAACTCTTGTCAGCTCAATGAAACGTCGATGTGAAACTGTAATAAAAAATAAAGGATACCCTACTAAGTACTGATAACTCACTGCATTCATCACTATCTAATGTATATCGATAACTATTATTGTTTCTTTTTTTGTATTGCAAATAATTGAATTTTGAGTTTTGTATTGAATTCAGTAATAAATTCTCTTTAAAATGATATATACAAGTTTGCATTTTGTGAAACGTAACGTTTTCTATAAGCATACAAAGTTCAAAAACATAAAAATTTCCAAAATTGTCCGCAATTTTGGCCACCACTGTATATTCCAGATAACAGAAATACTTTTAATGAGAAAAATATTCGTATTATAATATTTTTAATTAAAAAAAATAATTTTGTGAAAATGCAAAATCTGACTTTTCATACGTCCCGTGGCCCTTATAGTTATTTTTAATAAACAGTTTACATGTATTTAAAAAATAAAACAGAAAGGTTTGACTCCTATATAGCAAAAGTTGACCAAGATATGTAATTTTAAAGCTTGAGTTCATGGCTCGCATGCAAACTGAATAGTGGAATATTTAATTTTGTATATAAATAAAAAGGAAATATCAATTTTAAAATATGCTTCTGGTGTTAGTAGAATAAATGATGAGCATTGTTATGCAAAGTCATGAAACATTTGGATTAATACAAATTTTCTAAAAGGGAGGGGGGGGTCATGTTCACAGAATCCTATCGAGTTTATGTTCTAGGAAGCAGTGACAGGCTGGCATATATAGCAAGTTCATGCATTTTTTGCATAAATTAAAAGTGAAGACTATTTCTAGGGTATTTTTTGTATGACTATTATATTATGATCCTAATATAATAAAACTACATGTGGATTATATTAATGCATTTTTAACATTCACAGTACTATAAAATGTGTCTGTGAAAATGCTTTTGCCTTAACAAATATAACAAAATTATAAATTTGAGGAAGTTACAGATCAATAGGTCATAAAGGAATATTGCCAAATGACACTGAAGGGAAAATCAACCTACAATTATCCAAATTTATATTTAACTGACGTTTCAAGAAAAGCTCAAAATGATGTCACAGATCGTAGATTTTGTTTTTGTTGGTCAATTTTTTTTAAGCAGGAGTCTAACTTTTGTGTTTTATTTTTTCGAAGGAGGTATACTTTTGCTAAATATACTGTAGGGACTGGATGCTCAAATTAAGGTTTTGCAAATTATACAACATTGATTTTCCAAAATGCCAAAACATGAATATTTGTGTCATTTGAAACATTTTGCAATGCATATCTTGTCTGCCACCAAAAGTTGCAGAAATAAAGGCTTCATAAAGATATGTTGTATTTCTTGCATCTTTCTTGCATAACAACACATTTTAGTGTTATTTAATGTGCATGTGTTATTTGGTATAAGATCTCAGAGGCCTGGGAATTCTCAAAATTGCTTTCCATGTGCACTACTTGCCAAGGTTAAAGTACCAACAGGAAAGAGTGAAAATATAATATAATGCATCTGCAGAGAATCCATTTCTAAAGTAATTTCAATTCCAAGTGTAGTACTTTCTGATTATCTGTACCACCTGAAATATATTCAAGAAGCAACACATTAAGTCACCCCAAATAGGCAGACTACAATGTGATCAGAATGTATTTATGTGGCATTTCAGGTGTGTGCAAGCGTGAGCAATAAACGGGTCATTTTGGTGTTGGCGACAATTTTGAAGATCGTGACAAGGCCTACCACAAAACCACAAAATCTTTTAAAACTTTTTTTCTTTTCTAATAAATGCCTTATTTGTCATTTTGCAGCAAAATTTTAAGAAAAAATGGTAATCAGTTTCTAGGCTATCCATTTAATATTCGCTAAAATATCGTTGATTATTCTAATTCCATTTTTAAGTAATTATCTTTATTTTTATGTTATTCGTATCATTTAATGTTGCTTCTTCCTTCTAAATTTATTTATTATTAGTAAATAATACTTTCAAGTTTTAGTAAATTTTCTCTGGCATAATTCTGAAATTAATTCTGGCAGTATCACATATCACGAAATTTAATGCACATATTTTTTGCTTATGTATGCTGCTAAATAAATATAAAATACCTGAATTTAAAATATCATTAAATAGGTTTCTTTCTTTCATTTAGCTGCAAAATGTCTGCAAAAAAAAAACTTTTAAATCCAGATTGGGCAGATTCTAATCTTAATCTTCAGTGGAGAAACAACTCCTATTATAGTTATAATAGTAATGCTTTGGGGGTTATATAAGTGATATGTAACTGACAAATTTTTGTGTTTTCAAGTAATACCATAATTAATTTACCTCTTAGCACAGCCAACGTGCATTTATGCAGATAGACTAGAATTTTCTTAAAACACACCTGGAAAAGTCAATGAATTTCATTCTCCTGTTTGAGTGGCAACCCTGAAATAATCTGAAAGTACCCATCTATGCTATTAAGAATGTACACTAAATAAAAAGAAAAACCATCTCTTTGGGCAATACAAGCAACAATTTTTCGTTATAGTGCTTCATTTCATGTCTGAGCTGTGTTTTAAGATATTGATGACTTTATTGTTTCCATCATTGTTCATAAATTCTTCGCCAGTTGTGTGCCTGATTAGACTCCACAATTACTAAGCAATCATTTGGATACCTGGGACCAGCTTTTAATGGTGATGACATCTTAAGTCATAATGCAACACTTACAAGTAGTATAGCATTCAGTAACTGTAGCAGCCTTCAATCTATCTCTATTTCATCTCTAGACATGCACTTGGTGACTGTCTTTAGCATTGGAAAAATGTGGTGCATCTTTAAACACTACCCTGCACATTGATCATAACTTGAGGTCCGTCTGTTATAAAGCTTCACGTCTGGCTGGTATCAGAGGCAAGTTTTCCTCAAAGAGAATGGAATGCAAACCACTTTCTCCAGTCTTTGGAAAATAGTTCTTACTGTTTTGGGAATATCCTGAGTTATCTGCATACTCTGTGGAAGTTGATAGTATTAATTATTGTAGCTAGCACTGTGTACTTTCATATGTGTTGATCCATGCATTCTGGATCCATCTGTACCGATATGAAAGTATTCTTTCTTCAAGCCATCATCTCCAGATCTTGTGCACAGTTGAAGAATGTAGCTATGTTATATTTGTAATACATGGATCACCCACAGCAATACATAGGCCTGAAATAGAACCCCCTTTTAGACTACCAGTTTAATGAATATTTTTCTGGTGACATCTTAGCATTTATTCTAAAAGGAAATATGGCTAAAAAAATGCTTCTTTAGATGGGAAAGAATGACAGATGTGTACGTGTCTTTTTCTTTTTTACTTTGCATCTCATTTAAGGATCATGTGAGGAACTTTAGAGTATAATTATAATGCCATTGGGCATGCCTTCAATTCTGTTTAACCCTGTTCCCCCCCTCTCTTTTTCCTCTGATTGACTGCAGTTGGCAACCTGTGGTGCAACTGGACAGTAATCTGAATAATGAGAATGTAAAATCATTAAGGGTTTTAACCATTCATATAGCATATGCAAATTTTGTCCCTCCCCCCCAAAAAAAAACAAAATCAGTAGTAAAGTTCATATTGTAAACAAATTGAGTGTTTGTGTTTAAACTGATGCCTTGTTCCAAAGTGGGGTAAATTACTCCCCCCCCCAAAAAAAATTATAGATTATTTTTAAAAATTTATGAGCATTGTTTCCTAGACAATGTTTATAAATTTTATATGTTACTCTTAACATATTAAATATGGATTTTTTGTCTGTTAATGAATAATATATTTTGAAGAATAGTTGCTTTCATATATTAACTTGTATTTATGTAAGGTTTCATTTTCTTTCATGTTTAGAAAGTGTTGTTTTTGAAATATTGAGTAATTTTATTTTGTTTAGTCTCAAGAGGAAGTTTGTGACTTGCTTCATGCTGCTCCATTTCAAAATATATTGCCACGACCATACTGTAAAGGTAAGTTTAAAATAATAGAATGCTCAAGTTTATATATTGAAGGAAATACAATTTTTAAATATTTGAATTTATAAAATATATCTTTTGATTTTACTCTTCCTCCTAACATTTTTAAATCTTAAATGGTATGGAAAATGATTATCATAGAGACTGGTTGGAAAAATCAAAATTTGAATTTGGTAATCAATACATTATGTAATAATTCTGTCATTTAAGTTATGTATTTTGCATCACATTATTTCAAATCACCGTAACTTTAATCACTGACTTTCATGAATGGTACACATTTTTTGTTAACTTTTCCTTACTTCTCACTTTACAGATATTTTGAATTTCTTAATGTCAAACTAGGTTTAATTGCTTGTTATGCTTTCTTGAATTCTGGAATTTTCTAATGCCCCCCCTCCTCTTCGTTTTTTTAATAACCTTATTTTCTTCATAAGTACTGGAACTGTAAGAATAAGATATTAAAGTTCAAGATTGGTGTTTAAGTTCAAGATATGTGCGAACTTTCTCATGTAGAACTCAATAATAGTGTGGCACTGCCTAATAGAGCTAGCAACATATTTTACAAAATGACACATTTGAGCAAAGCACTTAAATACATCACAGATGTGTGCATTGATAAGATCTAAACTTTTAAGAATTGAACATGTAACTAGGCACAGTGTTTAGGCAACTGATTCTCTGGTTGGATGCTTACTACTCGCATGTTTACTTCTTCCTGTTGGTGGAAGCTTTGGTCTCTGGGACCAATGCACTCCTATATCTTGGCCATCCTGCATGGCATCTTAAACTCAAATTTACATGAATCGCTTAAAAAATGGAAAATCACTCTGATTGTTAAAAGAAATTAAAATAAGTGAATGCATTTGAAGTGTGCAAGACAATGTAACTCAAAATACATTATAATGCAAAATATAGAACTTTGAAACAAAATTATAAGTACTTGGCAGAGTAATGTAAAATTTAAAGCAACATTTAAACCTGAAAATATTCTTAAAAAGTAAATCAAATTATTTAAATGTTGAAAAACACAAAGTGGTTAAGTTTATAAAAGCCTGTAATGAAGTCCAAAGCAAATTTTAAAGATGAAACAGGCTTTGCCTGAAGTTCAGTTAGGCACTTAAATATCTGAAAAGTTCACAAGTCACTTAATATTTTAAAATTCAGATGCAAATGCAAAGTTCAATATTGTCTCATAAGCTTGGAAACTTTTTTAAAATATTACTTATGAATCTGTGCTTTAAAGTATTCAACATGGGTGCTGGTTCTTATGAACCTTTCAGTAAACCAAGCTTTTCTGTACAGCCTTGAATAGGTTTTGTTTTGTTGATTTTGTATGGACCTAAAAACTGATTTCAATTTCATAACTTCAGTTTTATGTCTAACTTTTATTCCTGAGTACATCTGATAGGTACCATTTCTTTAATTTTGCCTTTATGAGATTTCCTGTTCTGATTGCAAGTCCCAGTTTTCTGCATGGATCTTTTGAATTTACTTCTTTTCATAGATGGTCTTTAAACTTAAAGAATTCTTCATTATTTCAGCTTCCATCAGACTCTTTATTCATTTACAGTTTTCTACCAAAGTTCAAAAGGAGGTGAATTGATACTTCTTTGAAATTGTAATCTGATGAATTTCATTTTCATATTTTTACCATTTTGTAAGATTATGGCTAGTTTGGAATAGACTGATATAATGATAAAATTAAAAAATTCTTTTTGTGTGACACTGGATCCTAATATAATAAATGAATATCATCTAGTAATCAACAAATTGCTGAAAAGTTAATGTTCTTTTTCCAGCAACTATATTGCTAGGGCTTTCAGGCAGTGCTTTTTGGATGTCAAGTCTAATATGTGTTCTTTTAATTCAGTTTCTTGCTTTGAGACCAAACATATAGCATATAAAGTATTTCATAATGTTTCTTTTTTTTTTTTTCCCCCACAGAAATTAGATCTGTAACCTAATATCTTGCAATTATAGCACTTAAGTTTCAACTTGTTTCTTCTTGATGTTATTAAACTTATTAATGCTCAATCCTTTCAAATTTGGCTTATTGGTGTTATGTATTATTTTATAATAAATATTGATATACTCGATAATAAATATTGAGTTTTCAAAGATCCTCAATAATAAATATTGAGAGGAGTATCTTTATCTGAAGGATGTAATAATCTTTCCTTTTTCCCGGATTTTCATTTGGCCAATATATGCTGCACAGTTTGTGATGCATTTTTTCCCCTGCTTTAAGTTTATATAAAAATCTTGCTTTCTTCTTTAATAGTTTAGTAGCAAAACTACCATGCTCATTTGTTCATGAGCATTTTGAATTACTTTGTAATATTCTCAGGAATCAGTTTCATCCTCAGATTTGTAGAGGATGTCATTTCATAGGAAATCTTCACATGGTTTTGAAACTTTAATCTCAGTATCATCGTGTTGAGTACTTTTAATATTTAAAGTATTGTTTTCCTGCTAAATCACCAGATGACCTAGTTACATTAAAGTAAATGACCTAATTACATGTAACATTTTAGAGCTTGAATAATGTTCTTATTTCAAAATCAAAGTCTTCAAAAAGCAGTAATAATTGTTCTGTTCTGTTACACAGATCACATTTACTTACAGTGTTCTGAAATGCATTGCAGTTAGTAATAAGTCTAAAATGAATTCCTAGAACATAAACTCTGAATTTCGTTACAGCTTCAACTACAGCTAACATTTCTGATTTGCTTTCTGCCTTTGTTTCGTTTTTACTCATGAAGTAAACGGTGGAAATAACTGTCAATGCCTAGCCCTTTGCATTATCACTGATCCAAAATCATCAATATTGTGTGAACTACCATTTCACTAGTCTTAACTACAAAATTTCATGTGCTGATCTTTCACAAAGCAGTCATTTGAAAATGTTAAATCTTTTTAACATTCATGTCACAGTGGAGGTTATTTTTTTTAAACAAGTCATTCTAAGCCTTTGCAGTGCTAGAGTGTGAAGAAATGAATTTATGAAAGTAACCCATGATATTTTTTAACATCTTTAAGGCAAATTGATTCGCTATAATTTATTACAGCTGAATCTTTGGGAAAACAAGAAAAGTTTGCGGTTTTCAGTTACGTACCCTTGAGATTTATTTTTGTATGCAGAAACTGACACTAACCTATAATCTTGAACAATTTCAAGAACATATTATTTATTAAATAAAGGTATCACACAAAATGTTATTAAAATGCCCCTTTAAACGTAATTTAAAATGTGAAACCTTTCAGATTTTCTTTTTTCAAAGTTTTTAGTCCTTCATAAATTCTCTGGAGCTTTCAGTGTGAATTTTAAATATGTGATTTGGCCAAAAGTAATGCTAAATTCTCTTCTAGAATAATCAGTTTCCCTCTTTAAATTAAAAATATAAATGATATTACAAAAGCCATATTGCAGATCTCTGCATTTTTACTTGCTTTGAAATGTGCAATGAATGAAATGAAGACCTTGCTCAGTATGTGTTATTTTATATCTGGTTATAACAAAAGATTTCTGCCAAAAGACGTTCTTAATAAAGTTAAAAGAAAAACTTGAAAGCAGTATATTTAGTGCAGGTTGTAATCACCAAACAAATCTTTGATTTTCTTGCAACATTTTGGTAGTTTTTCGAAGCCTTCAGCCAAAAACCTTACACGTCCTGTGTAGAGTGGAAGATAGCACCAGTAAGATGTAGCTGCAGGTGTGATAAAAGGTACAAGTCCGAAGCAGTGATGTTGGGGCTATATGGTGGATGTGGCAAAAGATCCCATTGGAGTCTGTACAAAGCCCAGCCAGTGAATGCAGACACATGTGGTCTTGCATTATCTTGATGTAACAACCTTTTTACGCCATTACTTAGTTCGACATTCTTCCTTGATAGCAGCATCAACACTGTCTATCATCTTGCTGTACCCTGTACTGTTGAGGGTTTTATCTTTTTCCAGATACTCTTTGTAGATAATACCATGGGATTCCCTCCAGATAAAAAGCATGACCTCTTTGTTAGTCAAATTTTGCTTGTGATGTTGCCGATGGGCTCACCAGGCACAGACGAACCCCCTTTTGGCCTGTTTTGTTAAAGCAAATCCACTTTTCATCGCAAGTGATGATCCTGTCCTGAATTTTGTCCTTGAATTGATATTCGAGCAGATAAGTGCCAGCCCGAACACGTCTGTCCTTATCTGCTTGAATCAACTATGTGACACCCAGCAATTAAATTTGTACGTCAAATTTATGTGATGCATAGCACTACTAATGGACATGGCACTAACGTCTAACTCCTCAGCAAGCTGTCAAGTGGTTGCATACTCATCTTCCACAAGTACTCACAGGCGGGCCTCATCAACATCAGTAGGTCGGCCAGAGCACTCTGCTTCTTGAATTTCATAATCTGTTATTTAATTTTCAATAGCAAACCTTCATGGGGTTATATGATGCAACATTAGTACCTAAAGCTGTAAACATGACTTGGTGACAATTTGTTAGGAAATAATGGTTCTAATCTGGTAGCATGTAGTTCCATTTCAGACACCTTGTAACGATATTTTTTACAAATGTCGCAACACAGTTACTAAGGCAAGTCTCTTTCTTTCAAATGCTAAAAATTGTTTGACGCAGACAATATTTGCGGTGACAGAAAACTTTTACTGGAATCCAATATTTTCATCATTAATATAATAATTAAAATTAGCTGACACTTTTACAGTGGTAGAAAAAAGTATCTAAACCCGATTGTAAGGAGTCATTTCCATCAACCTTTTCTAAAAAGAATATCAGTTTTAGTTGTAGAATCAACAAAAGTAAATCTAACATTTTTGGTTGGAAGTTTAATTTATTATAATATTTTATAGAAAATCTCTAAGTAATAGTCATTAGACATTTGTCCCTTTATTATTGTAGAACAGCATATATTGTAAATCCTTTTCAAAATGGATTTGGATTCTGATGGAAGCAAGTTTTATAGCTGTCTTTTACTAAATTTAAATTCTTCATCACTATATGCATTTTCTCCATATGTATAATGTTTTTATTTTGAGCTGCACAGTTGTTAAAAAAATTAAGCATGTGTTAAAGTTGCAAGTAGACCTCGTATGTAACTGATTAAACACCAAAAAAGTTTCTCAGTATACATAGGATCTTGTTGCAAGGTTATGTCTGTATGGATGCTTAAGTTGTTATTTAAAGGAATCGCTATAGCTATATCATTCAAATGAATGATAGATTCTTTTCACTTATGTATGAAAGAAAACAGATGACTGACCGATACATATAGTCTGCATATTACGAGAAAAAAGATACAAATATACATATATCCTTTTGCCACTAATGATATTGTTATGTAACTACTCTAACATATTTTCCCCTACCAGTATATTCAAATGTCTTTATCTTAAACTTCAGTGTACTTAAACTCATTTCATTTGGAAATGCCAGTTACGTTCATTATATTTGGTCCCATCAGTATGTTAGCAGTTTCCCCTCAAAATGTTGATGTAGAGAAAGTGAAAATATGTCTGATAAGAATTATATCAAATGAGAAATATCTTAAATATGGAGCGTAACAAAATGTTAACACAAAAAAAATACACTTATTGTTGTTTGGAAAGCAATGTACAGATCAGAAGTTACTATTATTATATAATAACTATATAACTATATAAGAAAGTTATTTGCTTATATACTGTTGTATTTAAATTATAGGTCAAATATTCAATATGCTATGTAGACTATTGTCTGCTTATGCTTTGAGGAATTATCATCGCCTTTGTCTTTTTAAAAAGTAACAGAGTAGAGTTTCATTGCATTAAGTCCTATTTTTTTAATTGTTTAATATGGCATGTTTATTATTTCTGTTATTTAATCATCTAACTCTTTTAGATGGAGAAAAGCCAGAGACAAAATTGAAAAGGCTTGAAGCAAAATATGCGCCTTTGCAAGTTGTTCAAAATGTTGAGCGATTAGGAACTCCAAAGGTTAGTTTTGCACATTTAATTTTCTTATTTTCCTGTAATTTAATGAAATTATTATTGTTTGGAAATTTCCTGCTGTTACGCAAATGCTACTAAATTTAAAGAAAAGAAAATTTGATACTCGCAATCTTTTTCTTATATTTAATATCTGTTCATATAGATTCAATATGTATTCATGTGTATATTCATTCGTTCAACAAATACTTCCCCCGACTTCCCAGCCACTGAACATTGTGCAAAGTATTTTTCTCCTGAAGAGTGTGTATTGGCACATTTTATTTTTTTCAACAAACTTCTCCGGCTCTGAGTACCTTGTCATTGTCTGGAGGCTCCCTTTCCTAAGGGGATGTGGTCTAAACTCAGCAGCTGAAGGTTGTTTCAGCCATACTTACTGCCTTACTAACAGATGGACAAACTACTCTAAATTCATTAGAAGCTCTCTAGGAAGACTCAAGTAGAGTCTCGAATATCTTAAAAAGAAAAATTATTTTTAACTTGTTGATTACACAAACTGTTGAAAATGCGATTCTCAAGGGAAAGCTTGAAGAACACACGACAATATTGTCAATGCTTCGGCCTCTCATGTATGCAACAGTAGCAGACTCAAAAACATATTCTCAGAGGATAATACAGAAAAAACGTGAAATATCTACTTGTAGAAGTAGATCCGGATACTTTACAGTACTACTGTATCCAAGAAAGGATGCGGTTACTTCCAAGGAGGTTAAAAATAAAATTGTGAATTCGATTGATCTTACCTAATTACATACTGGCGTGAAAAAATTAAGGAAGATCAATAAAGGAGGAGACTTAATAGAATGTTCTAAATTTTTGGATTTAAAAAGCTTTTGAAATGGGTTAAATCAAATGAACTACTCAAGAATGAAATGGTTATACAATGTCGTTTTAAAAAAGATCCAAAAATTATTATCTATGATGTAGATTCTGATCTATCTCGAGAAGACATTAAAACAATGATCAGAGACCAAAATATGGTCTTTGAAAATGGTGGCTTTAAATCAAAATTTTGATGAAAGGTCAGAATAATAAAGTACGCTGAATTGCCAATTTAGATGCAAAGAAATATAGGGGCTTAATATTGGTAAACTTAACATAAGGCCTTAGGGAAAAGAATTCTTGAAAGTAATACAGTACAAAGTCTTTAATCCGGACTCGTCAGGACTTCAGTGATTCCGGATTATAGATCATCAATTTAAATCTGGTAAGATGGTATGCAGAAATTATAAAATTAAAAATATGAAACTGTAATTTATGAAATAAAGAGGCAATCATGATGTAAAGGGTATCAAATTTACAAAAAAATGCTTTATATTTTATTTGTTTACTTTATTAAACATTTCTTTCAATGTAAGTTGTTTAAGATGCTTCCACAAAAAATTCAAAAAGTTCTTTTTTCTTGTGTCTTCCAATGCCATACTCCTCGTATAATGCCTTTATCCATTTTTTCGAGCAGTTCCACCTTTTGTTTAATGGATATCGAAACATGCTTTCGCTTTGTAGATCCTTTTTCAGCTCCAGAATCGGAAACTCTTTTCGAATTAATCGAAAGTTCAAGCTTACTTTTTATAAAATTGCTCTAACAGTCTGCAAAAAATAATAAGCCGGATCCAATTAGAAGATTAAGGAACAACGCAATCTGCAACATTAACTGAAATAGATAATTTTAGCCTAGCTTATACCATCCGTTATACATTAAATGCGCATGCATAAATGCATAATGTGTTTACATATACGCAGAAAGTTTTGTAGCTTTGAGGTCTGGATTATAGATCATTCCGGATTATGGATGTCTGGATTAAAGACTTTGTACTGTACAATGTTTTAAATGCTCGAAGTATGGGCATTTTCTTATGGGCATTCGGATTATCACCTGACCTTATTGAAGAAATTGAATTGGTATAAGGGCTTCCTGAATATGTCGGGTTATATTGATTTTACAGACGGTTCTAAATTAAACGGCCATGTGGATGCAGCTTTTTGTACCTTTTCACATTGCCAATTAAGTATACAAAGAAAGTATATAATAAAGAAAGAAAGATAGTATATAATAATGCATCTGCCTGACAGACAGATGCATTATCAGATATCATTAGTGCCTTTTACAAGAAGCTCTGTATTGTTTCATTTCAGATTTCACTCAAGCTCCTGTAGAGATCTGTAGTGATTGTCAGAGTGCTATTATTTCAATTACAGCCTTTGATCCTAGTAACTATCTAATAAAACAGATAAAGGATATGCTTATCTTTCTTGGCTCTTTTAGAGTTGTTAAACTCTTTTGGACAAAGAGCCATATCGACACTATCAGTAATGAGCTAACCGATAGACTGGCAAAGTCTGCCACTGAAAGTCAAACATTTTGATTTAAAAAGCACTTTTGATTGTCTGAAATCCTTGCTGAAAAAAAGAAGTGTCTTCTTGGCAGGCAAGGTGGAATGACCCTGATTTCAAAGGAAGGTTTACTTACGATTTAGTTTCAATAGTAAGTGAAAGAAGGTGTGTGAGCGACAAGTATCTTAAGCCTTGACAAGGTTCTCGATTAAAAATTGTGCTTGTCCTTGTACCATGAAAAATATTGTACAAAGATTTATCCCTAATGTTAAATTTAATACCTTAAGTGATTTGTGTAAAAGTGTAGTCTCTAAATTAAGATTGTCAAATTTCGTAAAATATGTGTCTGTAAATGAAATGGAATTGTATATTGAGTGAGTTCACGATATTCTGTCTGTTTTATTTAAAACTAAAATGTTCATATTTATATTATTAATTTATTCTTTTGTACATGGAAGTAACATGTGTTTTGTGCTTGTAAGTAACATGTGTTTATTTTATATTACAAAGTTTGTAATTAAGTGTTATTTTGCCAGAGTGGCTTGTAGATCTCACCAGTCTTTAGAGAAGAAGTTTAAATCTGTAGTAATCTTTTTTTTTTTTTTTTTTTTTTAGTTATTTTAAACAGTATGCTGACTGTTCTATTGTTTATGGGCATGGATGGCCCCATTTTAGTATTTAATGTCTTGTTTATAGCTCTACTAAGCCCTGTTAAACCCCTAACAGTGGTGCAGGTAATTTTGATCAGCCATATATTCATGTAATATATTCTGGGTGCATTATTTTTAATTTATAAATGATGCAAAAGCAGTTTTTTTGCAGTAAAAAAATTGGGTTTTGCTTTCAAGATGTAAATTATATTGCAGACATTTATGTTAAGAATCTTCTTTATTGAAACTCTCATGGGGTTGAAAAACAGTCTCCTGAATTTCATTAAAGACATTGGAATCAATGCTAAGTCACTCTGTCTCATGTCATAATTTCTCTTTTAATTCTCACAGACTGCATTTTCCATCACTTTTTATTTATTTATTTATTTATTTTATTTCGGCAGCAAATAACCTCATAAACATTTACAGATTTAGTCAAGTAGGATCTGAAATTCCATTCCAGGCAATAGACTTCTTGGCTTAATTTTGAAGCAGAATTATGAAATACTTGCAGCATAATACCAGTAATAGCTGCCAATCCTTTTATGGAAACTTCAAATGGTCTTTCTGACAGTGTGTCATTTTATCTTCTCTGATTACATTTAAAAAAAAATGGAAATTGGTCTTCCCATTCTAGAATATTCATTGTCAAAAAAAATTTATGCAGCTATAAGTATAGATAGCTCTCTGATGTCAAAAATATTCTGAGAAACAGTTTGCTTGTATTTTTAACAGATTTATTTCATTTTGGGGGAAAATCTGTTATATCAAAGTATCACATTATAAAGAAAAAAAAATCTATTGATAAAATCTATTAATGTAGTATACTGTGTATATGATTGTTTCTATGTATGTATAAATATTTGTCATTGATTGAAACAATATTTATATATTTTTTCATAGCAAGCTGCCATTGCTAGAGAAGGTGATTTGCTGACTAAAGAGCGTCTTTGTTGTGGTCTTTCAATATTTGAAATAATTCTCACAAGAATAAAATCCTATCTAGACGAGCCTGTTTGGAGTGGTACGCCACCAATGAATGGTGTAATGAATGTGGATGAATGCACTGAATTCCATAGACTGTGGAGTGCTCTTCAGTTTGTTTATTGCATTCCTGTTGGAGAAAATGAGTTCACTGTTGAGTATGTAGATATTTCTTATATGTTTACAATCATCACGAACATTTTACCATGGACCACAAAATATTTGAATAGTGTTCTTTTTACATTTCCCCCCCCTTTTGTGTGTGTGTTTGAATGAATGAGATGCAGTTATTTTTTTTTAGAAAACAATAACTTTGTATAAACTTATGTAATATATATTTGATGTGTAGCATGCAAAATCCAAGATGCAAATTTTTGAGAGAGAAAACTGAGTGATTAATCAAAAAACGTTATAAAAGCACATGGTGCATATAGTTAATTATAGATAGTAGTTAAGAAATATTCAAGAAAAATGAAATAGAGAAAAGCAGAATTTGTTCTATAATGTTCATTTAGTTTTGTAACTTTTCAGGCTAGGTTAGATGCATTAAAAATGTCTTGAAAACAGAGTGAACTGACTTTGTTCATACATGACACAATTGTGAATTTGAGAAATTTTGGTTTCTTTTATTGGTAACTAATAAAATATTTAAGCATATAAGCTGTTAACCCTTTGATGCATGCGATATTATTTTTAAAATATTTTAAACTAAAAACTCTAGAAATTGAATATTATGATCCTAGAGACAAATAATATATGAATTATAAAAAAAAGTATTCTTGCCCTTCGTTCTGTGGGTGGTAGTCGCACTGCGAAACCACCGCGGGTCGAGGACTTTGAAACTTACTGAGGTAGTAGGGGGGAAAACTTAACGTTTCTCCTTGCACATTTCCAATAAATGATGAAATTTACGAATTTTAAAAAAATGTACGTAAGAATTGCGTTATATACAATTTTTTTACATTATTTTACTAAGTAAATCGTCAAAAAAAATTTAAAATAAACATTTATGTCATTTTCCTATAGGAGTGAAAATATAAGTACCTACATAAGAAGGATGTTTGGCTAAATGGATAAAAAAAACTTGGCAAAATAAGGATTAAAAAGAAGACTTTTTTTTTTTTTTTTTTTTTTTTTTTTCATTTCAAAGAACAAATTTTTTTTTTGTGACACTGTTCAAAGCATGTTTTGTCTTTTTGGTACGTGCATAGACCCACATTGCATGTTTTCGCACATGTATCTTCTATGAGGTTTCTTCCTTGTGCTACAAAATGTACACTGCCTGGATCTAAATTTCACTGGTATATGTCCAGCATTATTTAGTTTCTTTTCATTTGTGTTTTTTTATGTTAATAGGGAGGGGCTTGGTCTTTTTGGCTTTGGTACGGATCATTCGTTTAACCCATTAATATTTATTTTATTTTATTTCGTATTTTCGTCCCAAAATATTTAGAAAATACTTTTAATTTAAATAAAACTTTTACACGATTTCTATTTTGAATTATACCAAAGTATATTTACATTAAATGTAAACCACGTCAAATATTTTATAAAATCACAATACTAGTTTGGCAAGCAAGTGTGTTGAGGTCAGAGAAAAAGTCTCTGGAAAAGAAAGACTTTTTCACTGAGCAGGTGCATGTATTGTTTAGTAATAAAATAACTCAGTGGTTTCAAAGCACCTCATCTATATCCAGGTAAAAATACACACCGCCATTTGAAGAAGCAAGCAAACACCATTGTGAAGAGCAGTGGTTTCAAAGGCACGACCACTGAGCCTCTAGAGGCATTGTGAGTATTCTCACACATGCTCTAGCGGTGCAATGGTCGCACCCTGAAACCACAAAGCAAATGCCATAAATATAGATAGTTTTTTTTTTATATATATGCAGCTTAATTATTGCAATTTTTTATTGTTCACGATAGAAATCATGATGTAGCAATGAGTAACTTTTGAAACTTAAAGTTGTTTATATTAATAAAAGGAAGTTATTTGGTTTCATTGAAAACGAATTTTAAAAGGCATCCGATTTGAAGTACTTATAAGGTATTTCTCCCACTTTCCTAGCGTGCCTTCGTGGTGTAATGGTAGCTCGCTGGGCCGGTATTCCAGAGGTCCGTAGTTCGATTCCTGGCAAAGGCAGTTGCATATTTTTCATCTTTTCTGCTTCCAATAAACCTAATGTCTCTACAAGTGGTGCCGGAGGGTTGTTGATGATGATTCTCCGCACCCAGGATTTGGCGACTAGGTCCCCTAAAAACCCTAGTTGCCCTTTAAAAGGGGGAGTATATAAGGTATCTGTCCCACTTCCCTAGCGTGCCTTCGTGGTGTAACGGTAGCACGCTGGGCCGGTATTCCAGAGGTCCGTGGTTCAATTTTCGGCGAAGGCGGTTGCATATTTTTCATCTTTCCTGCTTCCAATTAGCCTAATGACTCTACATACTAAGACCTAAAACATGTATGATTCTGCAGTAATTTTGTGTTATTTAGAGGTAAAAGATCAGTAATCAATTGATTTTTACTCAAAAATTTCAGAAAGAAGAGGAGAAAAAAATTCGAAAATTGGTGGTTTCAAGGCACGACCACCACTCGTCAAAGGGTTAATTATAGCATTAGTTATTCTACAGTGTTAAAAAGTGTGAAAAAGTCATAATAGACAAAAACTATTGCAGGAAAAGTGGAAGGGCAGTCAAAGAAGAATTAATATATGAATATTATCCAGTAGGTGCCAGTACATCAAAAATAATATACAAAAAAAAATTGAAGCACCAAGAAGGCCTTTTGTGATCGTGACGAAATTTGGCATGCAAAAACATCGTGATCGAACAAGCAAATGATCAAAGCTTGAAGGCAAATGAACAGGAATTGCGATCATATCGCGCATTTCTGTTGTGAAATTTGCAAAGTATAAAAGCAGTAACAGAGGTGGAAAATATATCTTTTTTGTTGCTGACATTGTAATTCCGTAGAGAAGCAACTAAAGTTGCCATTACGTTGATATCGAAGACCTTACAGGCAACTAAACAACTTTGAATGTGGCCACATTGTAGGGTTGCGGTGAAGTTGGGTGGTCATACTGAGCAATAGGCCACCACCTTCGGCATACAGACACTGCTGTGCAAAGATGCTGGCAGCAATGTTTGCTACAAGGAAATTGCCGACGAAATGAAGGCTGCGGAAGGCCAAGGAGCACAAATGCGAGGCAAGATAGGATGATTGTTCGCCACCCCAACGGGTGGCTATTCAACGTAAAGTTATTTTTGCTGTTTTATACAGAAACAAAAGGACCGATATTGTGAATTTGAAGCAGAAGCATTCAGCCAGAAAGAAGATGGGAAAACAGAAATACATAACATTGACAAAATTGAATAATCTGTTTTCACATGAATCTGTGGGCTGATTATTAAAAGTTTATTTAATTATATGGCTGGTGTAATGTGACAGTGAAGAACATCCTTGAATAGTTTAGACATTGCATAGCATGAAATATTGTGTACTATCATTTTGCGAAACTGTATATGGAGCTTTTTGGACAGATATCTCTGAAAACTACTGATAAATATCAAGCAACATAATTGGACTGGTAGATGTCAGCTATTGCTGAACTGGACAGCTTCCCAAAATTCTTTACATTTCATAAAGCATTCTTTTCTTTCTAGCAGTTCCTCATCACCAGTACCTGTTAATATGCATGCTGCAAGTTCTAATCTAATACTTAAAAGGTTAAGGGAAAAGCCGCTGTTTATGGCAAAATGCCTTACTGATCATAATTATCAGTTTGACGAATTCACAAAGGAAAATTTAAATGCATTAGTATCCAGAAAGTAACTCAGAAAAAAGTCCAACTTGGCAATTATTTTAAAAGAATGTTGAGAAACAAAATAAAGTAACAACTGTGTGACTTTTGTGGTGAAGCATAATTAAATTTAATAAATTAGAAAAATTCATACTTTTTATTTCGTGAGTGAAAATATATGTCTATGCATGTATGTATGCATGTATTTCTGATTTATGTAAAGGTATGTCAAACTTTTACTGCACAATTTGTTAATGTATATTCAATTATTTGAAATGAGTTGCAGTCCACCCCTGGATCTGGAGCTGAATTTTTTTTTCATGTAAAAAGATTTTTTTTCTGTATTTTATCTTTGACAAAATTTTAACACTTTCGCATTAATGTTGTAGGCAGTTATTTGGTGAAGGTTTAAACTGGGCTGGATGCACTATGATAATGCTACTAGGCCAGCAAAGGAGGTTTGAAGCCCTTGACTTTTGCTATCATATTTTAAGGGTTCAAAGAATTGATGGAAAAGACGAAGTTGTCAAAGGAATTGTAAGTTTTATGTACATAATCAATTTTATATGTGCTTATAAAATATGTGCTGTTCTGATTTTACTTATAAAGAAATATAAAATATTTTTAAAAAGTATGTTGACACAAATACAACGATGTTGTCACCAAATGTTGCTGTGTATTATTTTAAAAAAATTTTATAGTGAATATAAAAAAAAAGTTGCACTGCATTTAACACTTTATCAGGAGTTCTGAAGATGTTTGATATGAAATATTTTTAACTTTGGTGTGTCAGTTTGTTGCCATTTTTTGATGCGCAAGGTATTTAGTTTTTCTTTTTTAATTTAATCTGTGACTTATTGATTAACAAACTGATTTGAAAGCAATAAACTTAGTTCTTTATCTCATTTATTAATTACTAGTTGGACATATTAAAAGCTTTTTCTTTTTCATAGTAACTATTTTGAGCACCTTTCCACTCCAGCAGCTAGTTATGTGAAAAGAGAAATGAACAACAAAATGAATTTGATGTGAAAGTGAGGTTCGAGTATAAAAACCCTTCTTATCACTTCATCATTGATTCCCTGAATGTCCACTAACTTAAATTCTTTGCTTTGCTGCCCAAAAATAGCGTTTATCTGAGGAAGTTAAAATTTTCCTTTCTAAAAAGAGTTCTGTGGGGGGTTTGCATAGTATCATGTTTCGCCATTCTTAAAGCATAATTCATTGACTCGGCTATCCCAATGGTCATGATAATTTTTAACGAATCCCTGAATAATTTTAAAAATATTTTTGTTTACATGTTCCGCTATATTTGATTGAAGCCTATATGGTACCATTTTTAGATGGCATATGCCAAGGTTTTTCAAATAATTGACTTACAAATTGTTTTCCGCTTTCAGATATCACTTTTAATGGGGACCTGTATTTCAAAATATATTTATTTAAGAAAGAATCTGACACTATTTTTGTGGATGCTGTTTAAGGGGAATTATTTCCACCTATTCTGAGAAATGATCAATGATAGTTGAGAGATATCTATTCTTATTTTTAACCTTGTTCTAGGATAAGGTCTGAGCAAATCAGTGCCCACCATTTTATTGGGGAAAGTGGTCTTTTATGTTGATTAAGTACCGGGCCTGGTTATTATTAACGTCATTAATTAATTGGCACATGTGACATGACCTGACATAAGTTATTACTTCCCTCTGTAACTGCGGAAAATAAACCCCCTCGCAAACCCTTTGCATCGTTTTCCTGATACCTAAGTGACCCGAAATGGATGAATCAGGCAGCTCCCCTAAAATATTTAACCGTTGACTCACTGGGATCACTGGATGGTATTCATGATTCTCGTTAGTTATTATCATGTAAAATAGCAATTTGTAAATAATGTCATGATGGGCTGACCTATTTCTAATTGCCATTATGTTTACATAGTCGAAATGGTCGGGGTCTTCGAGATATGTATAAAATATCTGTGAATTTAAGGTCCATCTTCAGTTCTGAAATTGTTTACAAGAATCAATTGTTTCCGAAGTTAACGTACATCTGACTGTATTTCCCTCTCTGTCAGTCCTAATTGTTGATAGGGCATCGAGGACAACGTTTTCTTTCCCCGGCATGTGTGTTATTATGAGGTTAAACTCCTGTAGCTTTAACACCCAACGTATAAGCCGGGGTGAAAGATTTTTTCCCGAATACAAGAAACGAAATCCCGCATGGTCTGAATAGAGTATCACCGGAGTGCTTCCAAAGTAAACTTGAAATTTCTGCACTGCTAATAAAACAGCAAAAGTTTCTGTTTCCATTGTGGTATAGTTCCAATGAGTTTATATCAGCGTTTTACTGAAGTAGGCAATTGGCTGCCCATTTCGGGAGAGAAGGACGACGGCAACTGCGAAATCAAAGGTATGCTGAGATTTCTAAATTCTGGTCCCTTTCCAGGAACTTGAGAACTGGGGCATTGATTAATGTGTGCTTTAATTCTGCAAACACAGTGTTCGCCTCTGCAGTCCACGTGAATCTAGTTTTTATTGCATTTGAGAACCAGCAAGGTTTCAACTATCTTTGCAGTCCTTGAACATGAGCACATGCCTAAAAAGGATGTTAATGTTTTGGCTGTATTAGGAGGTAGATAACTCTTGTAATCGCTATACTGGTTACTTGTATGACTGAAAACAAATAAATAATAATGAATCATCAATTTCTGTTTTGATGTATCATAATAAAATGTTTTATTTAATTAGGTAGCTTTTCATTCTAATCAGAAACAAGCTCTTGTCAAATGTTCACTAGTATTTTTGTTCCTTAAAAGTTTAGCCTAAAATGTGAGGATGTCATCAATGTGATATTTTGGTTTTGAATAAGTGCAGTAAGCCCACAATAATATATATAAATGCAGCTAGTGATTCTGTTTAGAAGAAAGCTTTCAGTATTTGTATATGTATATGAAACTATTAAAGTAAAAAAAAAAATGTATAGATAAGTTTTGCCTCTAAATCCTGCCATTTACTAGAGAAATGGTAAAACTCTATAAAATGCTTGTTTCATGTTTTTATTAAACTATTTTGATGCAAGTAAAAAAAGTCATAAAGTGTTGTTTAATAGTAAAAATTGCATAAAATTAAGTAAGACGTGTGACTGTTGAAATATTTTAAAATGTATATGTGCAAAGAATAAATAAAATTTCAAAGAAGATAAAACATGCAGTGATGATCAAGAAAATGGTCTTTTATCAGTTAATCAAGAAAATGGTCTTTTATCAGTTAATGATATTATGAAATGGATATGCTTGTAATCATATTTTAAGTCTACTATGGAAGATACTCGAATATGCTATTTTTTTGGACTATTATAGCAACACATATTTGTCATTATTGTAATTTTAAATGCTACTTTTCTTCATTTCAGCCACTAAAGAGGATGGTTGATCGCATTAGAAGATTTCAAGTGTTGAACAGCCAGATTTTTGCCATTTTAAATAAATATTTAAAATCTAGTGACACTGACAATTTACCTGTTGAACATGTACGTTGTTTCCAGCCTCCAGTTCATCAATCCTTAGCAGCTGTTTCTGGCCCACAAAGTGCAACAACTATTTACATGAGACCTGATGGAATATCAAAATAATGACTTTAAAGACTTAACTATATTTCCTAGGTCTCTTGTATAGCCAAAAAAGAAAAGAAATATAACCTTTTTCCCTGTCTTTTGAGATTTTTATATTAGTTAAAAAGATACTTGACAGCCTTTATAGTTTTTATATTTTAAGACTATTTAGATGTTTCATAATGAATGTCATTAAAAAGTATGTATATTTTGCAATAAAAATGTAATTTGTATTTAATGTACATAGGAAAGAAATTTTCTACTTTCATCATATAATAGAGCTGTAAACACTTTTCAGAACTACATATGGTCATTTTTGTGACATTTATAAGCCATCATCATACTTTATTTATCACACTGTTGCTCATAAAATGTGGTTTGTCCCAGAAAGATTGAAAGCAAGTGTTATATTCAGTGGTGTACTTGTGTAGATATCATTTGTTTCTGTCATATGTGTTCTAAAACTTTTAAAATGTTGGGTTTTATCACTTTTTGTATGAGCATTTATTGTATTTTTTAACTGATTGATAATCTGGATCACAGAATTTCTCATTCGCTCTCTCAGTATCAGCTGATTTTACTTCCTGTTATTTTTGTTGCAAAATTCTATTGCTTTCTTAAGATGTAAGTCATTGCATTATATTTCAGATATTGTATTGCACCTTTGATGTTCATTTATACGTATCATTCATGGAAACAATTTTGTGAATTCTTTGACTATCACAGACATGTTGCGCTTTTTTTTTTTTTTTTTTTTTTTTTCTGTTTTATTTGAAATTTTGTCTTGTTACTTTATTTGTAAAAAGTGAATTTCTTCGTCTTCTCTATCAGTTTTAGATTTTATTTAAAGAGCTAAAATGTGCTGTGTAATTTTTCGCACAATTATTTTCATAACACCTGCAAGTATTAGGTGTTGATAATAGGAGAAAGAAAGGTTTGGTGCTGTATTTTATTAAGGTGTGTATCTTAATATCTCAGCTTTTATTTATGAAAGTGCACATAATAGAAGATAATCATGTAAATTATGTGTTTATGATATTTTCTGTTCCGTGTAAAGTATTTTGTGCATTATTTGTTTGGCAGGAATTTGAATGTCCATAGAGTAACATCAAACTAAATAAACATCTTAAAACTCCATGCTAAGATTGTAATATTTAATATAATAATAGTAGCATGAAGGCCAGATGCAACTCAGTGCTGAAATTTCATAGAGCAAGAAAATCTTTTGAACTGAGCATATGCTACTGCATAAGAGTGCATTGTTCTGTGATATTTTTTATTCAATGAATAATTCTGTGTTACAGTTTAATGAGCAGTGGTATGTACATGCAGAATAATAATTTGAAATTTTATGCTGCATTACCAGTGCTTCATACCATTTCTGTTGTTGTAAAGGCATGTGCATTCAGTTTGCTACACAAAATTTGTTTAATCTATAATCACCATAATCTGTCTTTACCTTTATTTACATATTATGTACACATTTGGGTCATAACTACTTACTATGAGTCAAACTTTCATGTTACACTGTAGATTAATAAATCTTGATTTTGATACGAGATGTTGCCTGCATATTTGTTGTACACCTTTTTGTACTCCTTTACTATATTTGCCTCATAACTAAACTATACTGCCATGCATTTGACTTGTAAACATGTTTTGTCTATTTTGTTTATGAATATGTGCATCTAATAATATTGCATTCTTGTATACAAACCTGAGTGAAGCATTTTATGCTCCTGAGCCACTTCACACATGTGTTCATAAAGAAATAAGTAGAAAATAAATATTCTTATTTGTTATTTTAATCAAAAATTTAATTCCATCTGTAGGTTTTTTATATTCTGCAATGAATGTTAAATTATCTTCCTTTCGCTCATACTTTATTTGTTATGAACAAAACTATGCTAAATGTTTATGATAAAAGGCTTATTGAAATAGGACATATTTTGATAAGTAATTAATGACAACATCTGAAATATCAATGAGTTTTGACTTATGCACAATATTCTGCAAGTCAAAATTTGTTGTCATAATAATTTGTAGGTCCAAATTTATTCTACAAGTCAAAATTTCTAGTCACTGCAGTTTATAGTGGATGCTAAGTAATCTAGGAACTGTATATTTCTGTAGTTTTCAACTCATCATTTTAAATCATTAAGATTGCAGCTTTACTCTGTTTTATTATTTGTAATTCTTTATTTACTTTGGTGTTCATTTAAGATGTGTGCTTCCACAAGATGTAATTATTTTCACGTCAATTCTAATGCATTTTAAGTGTAAATTGTGCTGTGATTTTTCTTTACAAGGATCACTGGACTTGGTTTGATGTGTGTATATTAATCTTAATAAGCTTGAATTGATAAATTTGGTATGTCAAATTTATTACATTCAATTTCAGTGTATTTGTTTATTATTTTTTAATTTATCTTCCAAAATTTGAAATTCGTTTTGTATTTCATTCAGTTTTTGAAAGTTGAACTTTTTAGGGAGAATTCTAGTTGCATGACTTACAGCATTTTACCTTTACAAAGTATTGCATCTAATTTATAATTTCTGAATTTCAAAATTGTGGTTTCCTGTATTATATGGCCGTGTTTTATATTTATTTCATCCCATATTAATAGTTTTCAAGCATTGGAATATTTAACTCTACTGCTTCGAGTAATATCTTTTAAAGTAAATCTAAAATAAATTGTATTATTATTAAATTACTACTGCAATAAATGCATTTATCAATAGTTCATTATTGTTATTGTCTTTCATTACAAAAGTAGTTCTGATGTTTATTGTTCTACAAGCTTTAATATGCTTCGTAAATTGCTTACTGAATATTGAAAAATTGATGTCCATTTTAAACAAAAATAATTGCATACTAAGTTAAATAGTTTGAGAGAGCATTTTCTTCAATGATTGCTTATACTAGAGGATGAATTATTAAATTTTTTTTAGAAACTCGTGTTTTCTCAATTTCTTACAACATTCATTTAAAAAAATACATTTCATTTTTATGGGGGAATACTAGACTTTTTGGTATTTTTTGCATATTTCTTTCTTAACTGCATTTTATAAAATGCCAAAATTGATTTTGAGTATTGCACTTTGGTTACCTTAAGTTGCATCCAGGTGATTAAAGAAAGTGAAAATTATTTATATACATGTTCATTGTGCAAATTACTTTTATGAATGCAATATTCTGAGGGGCTTTTAATCTTCATTGTGTTTGCAGACTTCTCTGTTTTAACATTCCTTTAGCATAATTAAGACACAATAACACGCCGAATAAATACTAATTCAGAAGTCAAACAACAAAAATCAGCGGTATATTTACAAAATTTTCATAGGACTAGTTTCAATGGTTTTACCGAACCACCATCTTCAGCTGCAAAACCGCAAATATTTGCGCAAAATACCGCATTTTGCGGTTTTGCAGCTGAAGATGGTGGTTCGGTAAAACCATTGAAACTAGTCCTATGAAAATTTTGTAAATATACCGCTGATTTTTGTTGTTTGACTTCTGAATTAGTATTCCTTTAGCATGTTATTTACTTTTTATTATAAAATAAATTTTGTGAAGAGTTTTAATTTTAAATGTGTTCATAATTTATCAAGTGTTAAGCCTAAATTTGCTATGAAAAGCATTTAACATTCATGGATTAAATAGAACTTTGCATTTTCTATAAATGTCATGTACACGGCTTGACATTGAAAATGCAACACCAAGAAGGAGTGGTCAGAAAGTGATGATATTTGGAAAAAAGATAGAGATGGCAAGCAGCAATAAGTAATCTTTATTTCGAAATGATAGTCAGAATACAGAGTGAGAACGGCGGCGTCTCAGTAGGCTGTAGAACTACTGCGGACAGCGATGCACGAAGAAACACGTCTAGACATAGAGTCAATAAGAGTGCAGATGGTGCCCTGAGGGATGGCTCTCCATTCCCTTTTAACCATTTGCCACAGTTCCTCTTCTGAACGAAGCAGGGGCAGAGTCTGCAAAAGGCGTCCAATCACATCCCACACATGTTCAATTGATGACAGTCAGGAGAGTACGGTGGCCAGAGAAGCATCTGTATACCTTGCAGAACATGTTGGCAGATGCGAGGACTGTAGTCGGGTGCTATCTTGCTGAAAAGTTGCATTATGCAGCCCCTGAAGGTAGGGGATTGCCACCGGCCGCATTACATTATCCAAGTATCGTTGGGCTGTCATAGTACCCTGAATACGAACTAGAGGTAACCTGGAATCATAGGCAATAGCACCCCAAACCATTATGCCACATTGTCACTCAGTGGGGCGTTCCACACTTACTGCCGGATCAGATCTGTTGCCCCGTCAATGGCACACGTATGCAGATACTGTCCCTGGATAAAGAGAAGTGTGACTCATCTGAGAACACAATGTTTTGCCATTCTTTCTGTCATTCACATCGCTCCAGTCCAGCATCATTCTAAACGTTGGCGTCTTTGATGTGGGGTCAATGGCAGTCTTCTTAATGGACGCCGTGAGTGCAGGCCACATTCAACCAATCGACGGGAAATGGTTCTGGTCGACATGGGAACATCCAGGGTATCTTGCACATGCTGCAGAATCGTGGTACAAGTGACTTGCGGGACCGCCATAGCTTTTCGGCAGATGCGTCGATCCACGCATGCAGACGTCACTCTGGCTGCACTGCACCCGTCCTTCTTCCCAAATTTCCTTGTTCCAACCATGTTCGCCATAGCCGATGCACCGTGCTCACATCCATGTGGGTATCAGCTGCGATTTGACATAAGGACCAACCCGCCCCTCTCAGTCCGATCACTTTATCCCTCGTAAAATTGTCTATCTGCTGGAAGTGCCTTCGTTGACGACGGCCAGGGATTCTCTCCTATTACACATAATTTCCTGGACAAAAACCGACTTTCTTCGATAATTTGTCTGGCAGAAATAACGACACGAATATTGCCCGTTCTGCACGTTCCTTCCCTTATATCTTACTTCACGTGCATTGGAAAGCTGTGCATTTCACATCATTCGCATAACTCAGTGACGTGTGTCTACTCTAAAATTTGCATAAATTTTGTACCACTCCTTCTTGGAGTTGCATTTTCAATGTTGAGCAGTGTATTATGTACATGAGCATAAGACATGTCATATGTATTATGTCAGTGTACATGAACAGATAACATGTAGATACATGTTTGGTGGAGGTGTGGTGAACAGAGGGGGAAAAAGAAGGTAGGAAAAAATTAGAATCCAGATGCAAAATCTGAACTTAGTTTCAAATATTAATTAATAATTGAGATTTTTGAATTAAAATTTTTGATCTGGTGTAATTGTGAGTTAATATATATGATTCATTATGTGGGATTTATTATACTCTATGTAATCAGTGATACCAGAGAAGCATACCATTTCAGTATTTCTCCCTGCGGTCACTACTAGTAAGGTATTCAGGTAATCCATTGCAAGTAAGACAATGAGATAAGGAGGACACTGTAATTAATTAATAGAAATTTGCATTAGTACAGCCATGAACTAATAATATTTATTTTGACCTTCTGTTATAATGGCTGTTCAAACATAGGACTTGAATGTTTTGAGAATCTTGTTAAATAATTGTTTGCTTTATACATTTAAATTATAATTATTAAGTATGATTAAGTTAAGTATACCTTTAAATTATTATTAACCTTTAACATACCGCTCTATGATTCAGAAATAAAAGTCACAACTAATTCATCAAATTTACATTAAAATACACCCATAAAGACTATAAAACAAAAAGAATTTCTGTCTATGATTTCCTGGATGTTCCATTTTTGGAACATTGGCATGTAACGCTATATTTTCTCTTTTTTTTTTTTTTTTCTCTTCGTGAAACAAAGCATTGTATGATGAATTTTTTTTTTATTTTATGCTGTAAAAATGGTTTACTGAACAATTTGATGTGAAATTATTAAAATTTAAGTAAGACTCATTAAAAAAATTTATATAATTTCTAATTAGCATAATTTATAAGAAATGCAATGCGAAAAGTGTAAAGAAACAATAAAAACAAATTTATACATAATAACAATAAAATTTAATTTTTTATTCATATTATGTATATTGTTAGTCAAACACAAGCTTGACTGACAATATACAAAATATGAATAAATGCGATTTTAAATATGTAAAATACCTTACCAATAAAAAATAAAATATTTTATCCTTTAGAAGGCACATGGGATTTCAACCAGTAGCACAAAAAATATAAAACGTTCTAAAGCACTTAATTTTATTGTAATTCTTTTTTGCAGTTTCTCAGTGTCCAAGATATTGCAGGAAGCAGTGTACATGAAGCATTTTTTTGACATTCAAAAAAACATGTTTGTTGTGTTTTTTTTTGGGGGGGGCACACTACACAATGCTCTTGTGATGATGTAACTATATAATGTGCATCTAATTTTCTTGCACATGTTGACTGATGGGCATGGAGTCCAGGTATGATGTGAATTTTAGATTTCGCTGTCCAAATTCAAAATAATTTCTTTTCTAAAATTCACATGAGTCATTTCTAATGGGGTATTTTGGTGTAAATTGGTGTGTGAGATCCACTCAGCAGCCACAACCATACTCAGTGCATTGATTAATAAGTTCCAGTACCATGTTTTGCTGCAAAATTTTGGTCTTTAACTTCCAAGAAGTCGATCTAACAGCTCTACTCCACCCATTCCTTCATTATATAATTTTATAATGCAAGGTTGGAGAACATGAACTTTCTTTTTTTAAAACTTGGACACATCTTTTTTGCTCTTCCTAATGATTCCTGAGTGATAAAATTTGATGCAATAATTGCAACAGAACTATCGTTCTAACTTCTCCATCGCATCGGTAATCAAATTATCCAATTTGAATTTTCGACATTTCTTTTGCTGTTTTAAGAGGACTTTATTCCTTTTCGAATCTTGTACTGTGCCAATTACCTTAAAGCCTTTGTTAGACAATTTTGTCAGCAGACTGTGTGATAAAGAAAAGTTATTGAAAAATACTTCGTTTCTATGGATTTCGGAGAGAACTTTTGATAAGCAGCAAATTTTCATTATTGGAACTTTTCGAAGGACTTAAACAAACAAATCCTTGTGAAGCAGGTGTGGTCATTTCTAACAAAAGAAACAAGCAGATATCCGAGCTCAAAATGTGGAAACGCAGCTGAAAGCAATTACCAACCCCCTTCATTGAGAGAGGTCATACTCTCTTCCAGTCCTCTGCCTCATCCTTTCTACAGATGTAAATGACACACCATTAATGCCTCTAAAAAAGGGCATGTTTACAAGATATGAGCACTGAATGCATTTAAAATCTAATAAAGAAAAATATATGTGTGACATCATTGATTTTGTATATTGTTACATGCCAATGTTCCTTTTTTCGAAAATTGCAGTTTTGAGGAAATATTTCTTTTATTAACTCATTAAACTTGTCTTTGCAAGTACGATGGGAATGTTTGAGTGGATTTAAATTTTTAGGAATTTTATAGTTTTTCTTTCCTGAAAAAATCGTAAAATGCCAATTTTTAGAATTTTTTCTATGCTTAAATATTCATTTTTAAAAAATAAATTTTGCGTTAGAAAATAAATCATACTTTCTGTAATAAACGGTAATTTTTTCAAATTGACAGATTTGATAATTAATTTAAAAAAAGGTCCAAAAATGGAACATTGGCATGTAAAAGGTTAAGTAAAGAAATCTGCAACACTAGCACTAGAAAGGTTAAGA